GGGTGCTTCTATTAAGAATTACGACACACTTGATGGGTGCTACATCGCCAACAAATTAATTTTATAATGTATTAAGTTGATGTAATTAAGAGATTTTTTTTGTAAAGAAGACAAAGAGAGTTAAAGATAACAATAATGTTTTCCAAGGAACCTCTCCGCACGATTCTTAATTGAAAATGACTTCAAAAAGATAACATGTATAAAATGAAAGGCAAATATCCTCAAGGGTAGAATAAATTAAAAAGGAAAAATTCTGGAAGCGGAACCGTGAAAACGAAAAAAAAAATGATTGTCAATAATTTTGTTCGATAAGACGATAGATATCGACCTCCGGGTATGTTAAACCAGCGTAATGTATCGTTCGCTAACGATTACGAGTTCGTGTTGAGTTTGAGCGCGAACATGGTTAGTGTCAATCATTAAATTGTGTCTATCATTTTACCAATCATTTGTCCGATTTGTGTATAGAAAGAAAATAAGCCGATGGATCTGTGGGTATGGATTAAAACAACAACAAAATGTATCGTTCGTTCACGATTACGAGTTCGTGTTGAGTTTGAGTGCGAACGAAGTTAGTGTCAATCATTAAATTGTCTCTATCATTTTGGCAATCATTTGTCCGATTTGTGTATAGAAAGAAATAAGCCGATGGATCTGTTGGTATGTATTAAAACAACAACAAAATGTATCGTTCGTTCACGATTACGAGTTCGCGTTGAGTTTGAGTGCGAACGAAGTTAGTGTCAATCATTAAATTGTTTCTATCATTTTGACAATCATTAATTATGTCAGATATGTGTATAAGAAGAAAACAAGACATGGACCTGCGGGTATTGATTAAAACAATAAATGTATCGTTCGTTCACGATTACGAGTTCCTGTTGAGTTCGAGTGCGAACGAAGTTCGTGTTCGAGTTCAAGTGCCAACACAATGACACGAGTTCGGCTTCGAGCTGAAACTTAAAATAATGACGAGCGTGAGCTCGTGTTTCGGGTCGAGTACGAAATACGAGGACCCGAACGTATTCGAGTTCAAGTACCGTAGAATCGAAGAAATAAAATTGGCTTGTCAATCATTTTTGTGTCGATATGTATAAAGGAAAAAAATGAGACGATGGATATCGACCTGCGGGTATGGATTGAAATAACCAATATATCGTTCGTCAATTATTACGAGTTCGTGTTTGAGTTCGAGTGCGAACAAAGTTCAATGGGTACAAGTAACGTTAGAAGACGACATAATTAATACATGGGTCCTTAAACTGCGGATGATTTTTTTGCGAAATTTTGATAGGGCCATGTGTAGTAATCTTTTAATTGATCTCCGTTCGATTGAAAATGATTTTCAAAAAGATGACATAAATAAATTGGAAGGTGATAATCCTCAATGGTAGTGAACAAATGAGGATAAATCATAGGTCGTGGCATCTGAAACAAACCTGATTGTCACTTATTAGTTTGCCCGATATGTGTGTGGGAAAAAAATAAGACGATGGGTATCAACCTGCTAGTATGGATTAAAATAAGAAATGTATCGTTCGTTAATGATTACGAGTTCGTGTTTGAGTTCGAGTGCGAACAAAGTTCGTGTTCGGGCTGAAGTGGGAATAAATTTATACGCGAGTTTGAGTTCGGAGTACGAGTATACGATAACAAGTTCGTTTTGAGTTCGAGTGCGAAAAAAAATACTCGGGTTCAAGTTGGAAGACGATTATGTACACGATTACAAGTATTTAAAACTGCTAAACCGCGTAGCACTTGTTATGTCTAGGAAGGATTTTTATGTTGAAATCATAATGGGGCCATGTGATGTAAATCATTCTGCTTCTCTTCCAATGTGCAATATCTGCAAATTGTTGTTTAATCTTACACGATTTTGTCTCCTGCTTGACATTTAAAGACAATGATTGTGAAATGTATAGGGTCATGTTTGTACGAAATATTTTTTTCCCGTTTGTAACAATTCGTGTTGGACATTTAGGGCCATGTGTATGAATGAAACTTTTTGAAATGCCAATCGCGTCTATCATGCGTTTTCTCGTCGTTCTACATTGATTCTCATTGTGAAAAAAAATATCATGGGGCCATGACTGTGTACAAAACTTTTGTAATATGTAACATCCGCATTTTTTTTTGTTAAATCTTGCACAATAATGTCTCCTGCTTGATATTTGAAGACAATGATTGTGAGATGTATAGGATCATGTTTGTACGAAATATTTTTTCCCGTTTGTAACAATTCGTGTTAGATATTTAGGGCCATGTGTACGAATCAAACTTTTTGAAATTCCAGTCCCATCTATCGTGCATTTTCTCGTCGTTCTATATTGATTCTCATTGTGAAAAAAAATCATGGGGCCATGTGTACAAAACTTTCATCGCCGTTTTGTAGAGATTTCTGCCAAACCCAATTTTCTTGCGTTGATCTTATTATTATGACATTATTTTACAGGATTCCAGGGCCATGTGAACGCGTCTTACTTCGTTTTTGTAAAAAAAATCTGTCTTCTTTATCATGCAAAATTATTTTAGGGTCATGTGGTGCCGTGAAGGGACATGGGTCAAGTATTAAAAGCTATTTTGCAGCTTAAAAACTCTAATGTTGGATCTAAGTTTTCTTGTATACTCCACGTATTCCTCAGTGTTGTAACTTCACCGTTGTGTATGGAGTGAAATACTCTATAGGGCCATGTTTAAAAATCGACTTTATTTGTCCGTGTGACAAAATTTTTCTTGGAGATCTATTGTTTAAAAAATGTTCTACTACTATTAGGGCCATGTGCAGATCTTACAGATTCCTTGCAACATGTAACGCGTGAAACGTAATCAGAATGATGGTTTCAACGACTCCACGATTATTTTGCGACATGAAATAGTCTCTGATCCTTGTAGAAATGTGTCTTATGAACACTTCCTTATTGTTTGATTTCTTCATCCAATATCTGATTCGCAAAGATGGATAATTGCCAATTGTAAATCAGGTGTAATGACACCTGTTGTGTCGGATACGCCTTGTGATCGCTCTGTAAAGTGTATAGTCACAATAGCCTGAATTTAGAGGGTGAAAAAAATGTGCATCAAGTGATTTTTAACAACCACCATGGAGGTTTGATAAAGTCTGATAAGTCCGGTCACAGCTGATCGGCAATATGAATGCTGTTTCCCTTTGAACCGATGCGCGTTGCTTTGCCAATTCGGGTATTTTATCATCTTCGCAACCATGCAGAAGACTAATCCATTTTAGTAGAATGAACTATTAGAACTTTCTTTTTAAACGGTTAAATCCACTACAATGGTCAGGTAAGGGCCACTAGTTGGATAATCTTCACCGTCTGTATGTAAGATACTTTGCACCCAGTTAGGCCTAGAGATGTAAGAAGGGATATAGACCAAAATCAAGTTTCTTTTTTTCTTTATATATATCTTTCTAGTGGTCAGGTAAGGACCATTAATATGCGTTTTCCTTCTCTTTATACCACAGCACCGGTCACAAATCTGACCAGAAAACCACTGTACATTGTACTAACAAACCCTAGCTCTGCTAGGAAGATTTTTTTATTTTCAGCAACTTGCAATTAGATTAGGAGGTCCAGTTAGCCAGAGTGCTCATGTCAGGAGCTGATGACACGGAGGAACCGGAAGCAGGGAGGAGGAACACCGGATGACTGAAGACCCTGCTTGCTGGGCATCCCATTACTGATTTCCCAGGTAAAAATATTAATGTTAGTTTCTTTTCGAAAAAAACCGTCTCAGGATGTTTCAAGGTGTTCTGCTTGTCGTGTCTGCGATTAATTATACCTTATTTTAAAAAAAATCTAGAGGAAAATGAATTTAATGTGAAATAATAATCACAATTTCACAAATCCAAAGAGCAACAGGCGCATAATTGTCCCGCACACATTTTCTTACATGTTCCTTCTAATCTTTTGGCAGAGATAACGGTCTGCAAGATCAATCTGGGGGCGAAGATACGATGACTTCTGTATCCCAATGAACCGGAAGCAGGGAGGAGGACCGACGGAAGGACTGATGACCTGCTTGCAGAGCAAGTCTTCACCAATTCTTGAGGTAAGTTAGCAAAAGGGATCTAGATGTATTTTTAATTTATTCATTTTCATTTTTTGTCTAAGTCTTCGGGAAGTGGCAGATCAAATTTACTATGACATATCCGATAGTTGGGTTGTGCTTTGAATGTGGAAAAAATTTGTAATATATTAGATATATTTCTTTTATCTTTTCAGATTCCTCTTGCTTCGTATAAGCAGCAGAGACGATGACGATTTTTTTCAACACTCGACCGAGTTTTAAAATAGCTAGCTCCTGGAAGTTCCCGTACGGTATACAACGTCGTCACATTTTACATTGGACTCCACTTTAACGTGTAGCTCATACAGTGTCAAACCAAATAGAAAGGAAAGGGGAAATTTGTACACCACTAGGTAATGACTGTCACTATCAGGTCTCCCCATTGAAAATATGATGCGAGCCCCCCCCCCCCCCCCCCGTGTCCGGAGAAAAAAGGTATACATTTCAGCACACCACCCTAAATACATTTCTTGATCCACCCCCGTTAGCGCCCCCCCCCCCAAAAAAATATATATACATGTATAGGCTCTTGAACCGCGCCTTCTCTCCCCCCCCCCCCCAGTTTTCACCTGAGCCATTCGCAACAAGGCCTCAGACCAGCATCTGCAAGGACTGATGCAGCTGCGTAACCAGGGGCGGATCCGACAATTAAAACGTTAGGCTATTCCTTTTAACCTCTGAAATAAGATTGTTAGAGATTGTTAGAGATTGTCTTTCCACTGCATTATTTACAATGTTATCCATACTCTCTGTTTATATTTTGTTCATTTTCTTGTTTGGAATTGGAAATAAAGTTAAGTTAAGTGACACCCCGTGCGTTGTCGCCTGTAATCGGATAGGGGTTTTGAAAGCAAGTACGCCCTCTATTGATTAAATGCATATAATGCATTTGGTCAATAGAGGGCGTACTTCCTTTCAGAAACATGGCAGCCTCCATGGCAGGACGAATATCAAAAAGCCATTTGCTTTTGAACACGCTATCTAGGTCAAAAGTCACCATTCCCGAACGATTTAAGGAAGGATGGCCTGGTAAAGCAGGTAGGTCAAGTAGTCTGGAACACTTTCACTCATTCGGTGTAGGAATGTTGTATCCAGACGCTACTTTCAGCCATGTCAGCGGTTGTGTACAAAGTCTGATTGCAGAATACCCCGCCACGCGAAAATTACCCCCTAAAAATAAATGGCTACGCAGTCGGAAAATGATGCAGAAATGTCCAAAGTACATGTAGATGTCGGGAAGTGGATATGTTGTGCCCATTCTTGAAAATCACGCATTCTCGAGAATGGGCATGCACATTCTCGAGAATGGGCGCGCATTCTTAAGAATGAGCGCCCATTCTTAAGAACGAGCACGCGTTCTTAAGAATGAGCGCTCATTCTTAAGATTGGGTGGGAATATCACGTGCACAATTTATGAATTTTGCCCAATCTTAACAAACATTGCACGACATAATTATGTTAAATGAATTGTATAGCGGTTAAAAGGGAACAATTCATATAAAGAGGAAAGAAAATGTTCTATGCTTCTGTACTCGTATAACTACGATAATTTGAATCAAATTAAACCTGTTATTATTGCTTTTTTCTTCCCACTATGGGAAGTTTTTTAATAACGGAGGACTGGGAACTAGTCTGGGAAGTGCTTTGTTTAGGCTAGACAAGTTACAAGTCCCTGCATGTATCATATGCGTGCCACGAAAAAAAAACGATGTCCAGAAGCTGCCAAAATTGCTCTTTTGACTAGATAGAATCCAGCTCTGCGACGTTATGATGGGATGTGAACAATAAATTGGTGGCAATTTAAATGGGAAATAGCATTAGCACTATGGGATGTCACAGTATTCATTCTCATTCTTCACATTCTTCATTCTTACGTCCCCCCCCCCCCCCCGCTTTTATTATCCCAAAAATCAGAATTCTTTGCACTAGTATTATTATGTCTCTTATTTTTTCCCGGTCCCCCCACCCATATCAATACGCCTTTACTTATCATATCCACTCTACTTTTCAGCGCCTTGCGTTGCAACAGTATAATTATGGAGAATCAGTGAACGAGGATTCAGCTAGACTTGCCAAGCGCAGCCGGTGCTCGGCATCGACAAGACCGTTATCTTGTCGCGCATTCTCAAGAATGTGCGCTCAATCTGGAAGAGTTATTTTTTGCCAAGATTGAGCAAGGATCCAGTTGCACATTCTCAAGAATGTGCATGCCCATTCTCGAGAATGCGTGATTTTCAAGAATGGGCACAACAGATACACGGATACAATCAATATACGGGGTGGATTTGAGCGCTGGAGTGGAGGGTCTAAAGAGGGCGCTATTTCCCTGTATTAAGAAATGCGGCCAGCAGGGACAACGTGAATTGAATGGGGAGCAGGGGTTAAATAAATCTAAGTCCAAAGTAGGTGCCAGGAAGTGGATACGCGGATACGGGGTGGACTTTATTTTTAGCGGAGGAAAATATTTTTGAGAACGAAGCATCCATTTCCATGTTGGAAAATAACGAAGGCAGAGACAACCTGAGTTGAATGGGGAGCAGGGGAAAAACGTCTAAGTCCAAAGTAGGTGCCGGGAAGTGGATACGCGGATACGGGGATACGGGGTGGCACACGCGTGTGGTTTTGGGGAAAAACGTCTTAAGTCCAAAGAAGGTGCCGGGAAGTGGATACGCGGATACGGGGATACGGGGTGGCACACGCGTGTGATTTTGGTTGGGCATCCAAGCGTGACTCCGTATCCGCGTATCCGGATACGAGGTGGGATAGGTGAGTGGCGGGGTATTCTGCAATTGTGCCGATTAATACTATGGAGAGTCAACATGGTCAAAAAGTATTTTCCAACAAAACCTTGAAATGTTTCTCAGTCCCAAATTCATGTCTTCTAAAAATGTTTCCAATGCCTGACCTTTGTTGAGATGAAGAGATGATGAAAAAGTGGCATCAGGATGCAACATTCTTTCCTTTTCTCGTGATACAAAGTCACGAAGAGAGCATTGAACCAGACGAAGATTTGTGACGCTAAAATTTGCAGTTTCAGAAAACACTCACTATGCACGTTCAGTGCTGGTCAATACTTTATCCGTAGTAAACGCACCAGAATTTCATTCTCTGTTTGATTTATGGTGAAAAATATTACTTGAGCAATATATAAATTTGTTTTTTCTTCTTTTTTATTGCAGGTGCCTACATAGCTAATATTTTCCGTGATTACAAAGGTGCTACATTGGAGATATTTACCGATGCTAGGGACCGGCCCATCAAAGCTGCAATCTATGCGACCCTCGTGAGCTGTACCGCAATAGCTGCCTGGAACAACCCCGACAAGAAGTCTTACGAGAAGGCCATTCTGAATGCCAGTAATGATCTCGCTCTCCTGAGCGACGCCATTCGCAACAAGGCCTCGGACCGGCATCTGCAAGAAGTGATGCGGCTGCGCAACGAGGGGCGGATCCGACAGTTGAATCTAGTTGTGTGCTCCGTCATGTGGAGGGACGATTACGGCCCGCTGCTGGGGCTGTACGACTCGCAGTGCGAGTACCTGCGGCCGGGCTGGCGAGACTTTGACAAGCGCGTCCTGGACGTCGGGTTCATGAACCGATGGTACTACTTGGACAAGGCCATGGTGGAATACGACGTTAACGAGGAGGAGTTTGCAAACAGTTAGCGTCATTCAATGTGTAGATACTAGTGTTGACTTAACGTTCATAACAAGTCCTTCACAAGTCCTCACAAACCCCCACAAGTCCTTACAAATCCCCACAAGTCCATCACAAGTTTATCCATCACAAGTTTATCCATCACAAGCTTATCCATCACAAGTCTATCACAAACTCATCAAGTTCCCACCCAACATCACAAGCTGTTTAATTTATACTTGTTCATCCCCCGATACTTGTGACTGGACGTGTGAAAGACTTGTAATTTACGTTTGACCGGACGTGCATTATGAGGAACTGGTGATGGACTCGATTACATCACTGTACTTGCACCTTGATGAAGTCAAATATATACAATGTATGGCACACTGTTTTATTACAAGAGAATACAGAGAAGTGTAGGTTTTTTTGTGTATTGACCTTCTGTGTCTTAGTTCAAATACAAACCAGTTTCTTGTTCCTGGGAAAGATCTCCATACCTTGGCATCACTTGACACCCTATGCACAAACCCCATATGAGACTGGTCTGAAAAATTCCAAGGGTTTTCTCAGTAAATACTTAAATTATCGTTTCTAATGGCCGACAGGTCACTTGTGGGAAAAAGTAGTGATCTCCATGTACAGAATTCTTCCCATACTTTGTAAAATGTTGCATAAATATTATCTTCATCTATTGCAGTTTTTATTCACCATGTAACAGCATAGTCTGGAAAGAGGTCGATGTCTGGACATCACTTGACAACCTGTGCACAAACCTTATGAGACTGGTCTGAAAAAATTCTAGTGTTTTCTCAGTGAATGCTTCTACATTTTTCCCGCTAAAATTGACTTTTTAGGACATGTTATCGCTTTCTGATGACTGAATGGTCACTATAGGAAAGATGTCCGTGTATGGAATTGTTTTCCTTGTTTACTGGATGAAGCTGCTGTTGTTGCTGAAGTATCAGCAAAGGAGTCGAGAAAATGGAAAAGTCCTGCAATCGAGTGTACATAAATGCCTAAGAGAGTTTACCCATTTCTATTGGTCGAGAGCCCGCCACATGGCTGGTTTGAAACAGTTGATTAAGACCGGCTGGCTGGTCTCTTAAACACTTTTTCAGTGTCACATGAAATTTGGACTCCTAAAAATCCAGTGCCTCTTGCCGTTTTATTGGTTGAACGTTCACAATCCTCGCGTAGGCATGCAACAATACTACCAGTAAGTCAGTATTTCAGTCCTAAATTCACAAAGCACAAGCACAGCTGCATTCTGCGGCACATCGCACAGTAGGCGTGGCACACTCGCCAATCCCCATATAAGGAGGTGTTAACGACTTACTTGCAAGCTGGACATGCCATTATAAAGCTAGAGTTGTTTTTTTTTAAATATGATGTAATATTGTTGAACAAAATCGTTCGAAATTTATAATTTTGATTTGTTTTGACTTTTGGACTTTTAAATACAAAACATGTATATGCCTTCGGTTCGGGTCATTATTAGCATCCAGACTCCAACAGGTCTAGATAGATTTGTAAAAGCCAGCAAAGCACACATTTATTCCCTTATTCAAAATTATAACTTGTTTTTAAGGAAAACAAAATTGTGGAGAAAATTTAAGTTTTTAAGGTTAACCTTACATTTTTTTAAGAAGATTTTTCACCGTAAAAAATTAAAAGGGGTTGAAATTAAATTCACAAGTTTATGATCGATTTGAAAATCATAAGGGGTTAACTTTGCGTTTATCAAAAATGTGCGCAATTTGATTGTCAAAGATCCAAAAAGCCAAAGGGTTTACCTTACGTTTGTGTAAATATTCTCATCAATTTAAGTTTTCTCCCCCCAAAAAATAAATTCAAGGGGATTAGGCTTTTCAAGTTTCACAGTACAAACTTTACGTTCCCCTAAAATGGGATTTATATTGTAACAGTTAAAAATGTTAACCCCAAGGAGTCGCCAAAGTTTTTTGTCAAAAACAAAACAAAACAACAAAACAAATGTGACAATAAGCAAAGCATATTGGAGATTTTATTTATTTATTATTATTAACCAAATACGAATTTCAAACATAAATACCACGCAGAGCAACTATCATATACATAAAAATCTAAACCTGTCGGAATTTTTACACAATAATAGAAACAGTTTGCAAATTGTCACAGTTTTGACATTTTAAACAATAAATGTCTTAAAACCAAGTATGTCTGTGAAACAGTTAATTGTGCATTATGAACCTTCAGTGTTGATAAGCTGTTAACCATATGTTTATCAAGTTGCAGTTGAATTTTTGAGCACTGTGTAATTTTTTTTTTTTTTTTTAAGTCAATTGCTTCCTATTTAAAATTTATACTTCTGTATTTATTCAAATCGCTAGGTTATATCTCATGAAAAAAATTCTGAACTTCACAAGCTTTGCACAACATGTAGGCTACAATTAAGTCTGATCACATGGTACCACCATACTTAAAAACTATATATGTACACGTAGTCTGTTAATACTGTATATACAAATGTACAATAAATTTGAATTGCAAACAGAATTTTTGTGTATACATTTCATAAGTGTTTTACTTCATCTACGTTTCATATGATAAAATAAACAAATTGGATTTTCTAATTCACCAAAGTTAATGTTGCACCCCCCACCCCCCCCCCCCCCCCCCCTCATTTTGTTTTGGGGAATTTGGGTCTTTTGATCCAAACTTTTGCAACAGTTAATCTGATGACGTGTTGCACATGTAGTCGCCCTGAATTGTATTAAAGGGAATATACAACATTTGCTTTTGCTGTAATTTTCAGAAATGGATGGATTTGGGGGGTTAGTATTTTATAGCAAATATTGTTGCAATCACTTGTTGAAGTTTTGTGTTCGTAGATGCTGGAAAAACCAAGAAAAACAATCATGTTCCTGTAGTCTGGTTTCCTGACCCCACTTGAGATGAAACGGAGCAATTGATAGACATCGGGGGAATTGTAAGAATTGTACCCATTCAAAGGTGTGTAATTGACTGCAAACAAAATGCCGACTAGCTAAATTTGGTAAATTGGGGGCAGCATTTAAAAAACCTGTTTTTTTTCCAACGCTGGTCAGCCAACCAGCATTGGAAATTGATACAAAAATACCACTTTTCTTGAAAATGACAGCACACCAGGTGCCATGATTTTACAAGATGCTTTAGTCTGCCATTCACTAACGGTCAAGTGAGGTATTTCATAATATGCTATTTTTTTTTATTGGATGTTTGCAAATGATGTATGCATATTCCCTTTTAAACATTCAACTTAATAGAAGTCTTCGGAATAACTTGGACCAAGTAAAAATTAAAAATAGTTTCTTGTACCGATTGTTTGAAAAAACGAAGGAGACAGGTTTTTTTCTTCCCCAAGATGGCGGATGGAGTGGACTCTTCCATTTTCTCGACTCTTTTGCCGATAGTGATACAGATCAGTGTCTAAAGGAGCCATAGCCCTTTCTACAAAGCTAAAATTTTGTTAGAAACAAAGAAAAAAGACTTTATTGACAATATATTTGTAAAATACATTGCAAATGAAATGTATGAATACAAAAATTTAAAAAGCCACGAAAAAAAGGAAGCGGGCGGGGACGAGAAACTGGTTTCTTTTTTTACTTGGCCTAATTTGTTGCGACTTTGAAATACAGACCTTCATCATGCTGCCACCATTTCAGTCATGTTCCCTGTATCCAATAACAGTACTGAATGATAATGTTTTGGTGCAAAAAGGAACCAGACTATTTTTCCTTCCTGCCCCGCTTTGGTTACGTCGATTTGAATGGGGAGAAAATCAAGATGGCCGCAACATGATAACGGTCTATTAATCTGAACTTGGATATTACTGTAGTATTCTGTGGAGTCACCGTTATTCCGCTTCTCTGACTGCGGTGCCGTCAATGTTCAGCTTGTGAACGGAGACAAAATGATCAAAGCCAGACTTGATGATGAACTTCATGTGGCGGGCGGTGGTTTCATCAAACTGTACAGAGAAAACAAAAAAATGACATTCAATAGGGCTTGTTCAATGACGGCCACTTCTGTAGGAGAAGTGCAACTGCGTATTTTACGCAATCAAGCACACATTGCACAGTGTTGAAAATGTTCCAAACACGTACGCTTGTTGCTCAAAATGTGTTCGAAATACGACACAGCTGCTGCGCGTTATGCAAGTTGACGCTCCGTTATGCAACGTTGACCCGTTGCATGTAAACGGTCTGTAGGAAATGACGTCATTTGAACGAGACCTATAGAAAATCGCATCAGAGTGAAGCACACTTGAATAGAACAAATAACGTGCAAATATTGTAGAGTTTGCAATGGTGTCAATCAGTGGGGGCCGGGGAGTCATATTGTTCCCCCCCCCCCCCCATCACTTGTTTCATCCCCGAATAAAAATTATAGCCTACATTTGATTCTATAGCTCAGAATTTGTAGATTCAATGAATTGAAACTCACAAATGTTTAAATGATGATCTTTCCCTCAAACAAGTTGGTTTAAGTGGTCAGAAATTGCCTCAGATCCAACCACTGAGCGTCTAAAATCCAAACATTTTCAGGGCCCTTAGGTGGGCCCCGAACCCAGCACTGTTAGGGTTTCGCGCTCCCATTAGTTCTGATCGAGGTATGCCCCCCCCCCCCAGCATAACCTTTAATATTCAGGCTCTATTTCACTAATAGTGAGATCTGAACCTTTGACCCACTGTATCATTGTACCAGCGCAATTATAGCTACCCGGTTCAGTGTACCGGTAGACAATTTTCAAATTGTAATGTCTTTGTAAAGAAGTCATTTGGCCTTGAAATTGCACGGGTGTCAAACGACCAATTTGATTTCGATTTAATTTTTGGGGAGGGGCGAGGCGGGGGTGGGGTGAGGCATGGGGGGGGGAGTGGTGATGTCAAAATTGCTAACAGACCCTTAACAAATGCAGCACTTGTACCGACCTTGAATTCCTCCAGCTGTAGGGATGCGTCAGATGGCGTTAGTTCCCTCTCATCGATAACTTCAAAGTCTAACGGTTCCTTCTGGACGCTACGCTGTATACTCAGCCCTCTGACTGTGAAATTCGGAAAAATGTTTTTTTTTTAAACAGGAATGATACGACTTTTGGATAGCATTTCTGCCAAGGAAAACTCTCTGACAAGAAAAAGAAATGTATTTTAGGTTTAAAAATTAAAAATTAAAAAAGAAAAAAAAACAGAAATTAAAGTTGCGTCCCCATGCTATTTTCGAATTTCATCACGAGAAACAGATTCCTTTTCTAAATTGCTATTTTTCTAGTGCAAAAGTTATTCACTTTGGAATGAGACATCAACTGAAAAAAAATTGGTTCATGTTTTGTTATTGAATTATTACTTGACAATTTCAAGTTATTGGCTGCCAGACGATAATTCTGTTATTGCTTGGTAGGCTGGTTCCTGCCACACAATAGTACCCCACCTTGTCTGTACAATCCAAGCTTGAAGAAAAAAAAAAAAAGCGAAAAAAAAGCCGCGTTCCCGCGTCAATTCCGGAACTTCGGTCTGACCAGAGACCGAATATTTATTTTTTTTGGCCTAATCAAAACAAAAAACTTCTTTCAGAGGTAGCAGACGTCCAAACAAGGGGGAAAAACAGGTCACTAAATAATTACCATGGAAACAGGACAGCTTGATCTTGGAGACATTCATCATCCCGGCAAAGCTGATGACAAACTCCTGAGGGAACATCCCTGTGCTGATCCAAAAACTCTCGGCTTTGCTGTGAATTGTAAAAAAAAAATGCCAAATTGGATGCAATAATTTCAGGACAGGATTGTGTTGGCCTCACCACTCACCAATTTGGTAACGGGCCAGACTAGAACCTGGAGTGAATAAAAAACATGGAAAACAAACTCGGGTTAAACTCACGGATCCACCCTTTCGTCGTAAACATTTTCAGTAGGAACTGCCTGTGTGAATACTCATGTGCGCCCCTTGCAACCGTGTTCCATGCACGGGTGTAAGTCTTGGAAAGATTTCCATATAAGAAGTTCACTCAACACCCTGTGTACCAACCCTATGAGATTGGACTGAAAAATTCTAAGTGTTTTCTAAGAAAATGCTTGTATTTTCTCACTGCTCAAATTGACTTTGATGACATGAAATTGCTATCTGGGGGCTTGTTAGTCAATACAGAGGAAAATTAGTGAACTTCTTATATGGAAATCTTTCCTAAGTCTTCACACAGGAAGTTTGTACTGAAAATGTTGTTTATGTTTGTACAATGAAACTGAAAGTGTGGATCTGCGATTTATTTTCGGTAAAAACACCTCCTCCGTGGACATTTTAACTTTTTCTAAACCAAGCATCTTTGTAATTCTGGACACAAGGAATATGTAAAGGACTAGACCCGTGAACGTGGCGTTGTATACAACGCCACGTTCTTGTTTCATTTCGAACCTGGCGAAATTGATCCGACATACATAATTCCGTATGGGTGTTGAGTACTCACCTAGAAATCTAAATTTGCCCGTCCGATTGTTTCGGCCGTGTAATTTCGACGAAATTTGCCCATCAGTAAAGACCCATACGAACGTGTAGAAATTAGATTTTAACCTGACCCTGACAAATAACCCCGGACGCGTCTGAGTCGCTTGGACAGATTGACGGCTGTTTCATGTCGCAACCCCGAAAAAAAAACCCCGCAGACGATTGGCTGCTCGGCTCATCTCGTGTACAGCAGTACGTGTGTGCACACACACGCGGGCGCACGTGCGACCGCGTGCGGTGCGGTGAGAGAGGAAAGGACTTGAAACTTGTCTAAAACGATGTCTGTTTTAGCTGCGACAGTAAACAGCCGTCGAATCATACGAAAATAAAACGCAATGCGCATGCGTCAGTTGGGAGAAAATGGCAGCTAGCAGTAGCGGACGGACTTCATGAACCGGGGCCAGAATTTTCCTCAATTTTCGTCAAATGCAAGTTTTGACGTACAAATAGAATTCAAGACAGCTTCATATGTGAGTACTTATTACATGGGCAAAATAACGTCCAGTGTGTGTAACGGAGGGAGTCAGAGGGACACGTTCGCCAGGTTCGAAATGACATAAGAACGTGGCGTAGTTTACAACAAGCCACGTTCACGGGTCTAGTAAAGGACATTTAACTTTTAAGCTTCCTCCAGCATCCGATAAAAATCTTGGGGAATAAATGGAATGAGTTTTGTACTCGAGTGCCACTTAATATCTGCCGCCGCAAAACACATCAATCATTTTTGTCAATTTTCACCTCACTTTCGGATTTCATTGAAGACAATACAAGTCAGTTTCACTGGCACTTAGCCCTAGTCTATGGCCCGCACTGGAGTAAACACCATACCTACCTTCCCTCAACATGCTCAAAAGGTACCCCTAGAACGATGGGGCTTGCTACTCAAGCTTGAGCAAGCCCCATAGCACGGCCCAGGGGATGCAACTTTTTTCTTTAATATCGCAACTGGTCAATGGTGTTTAACGTGAAGCTGAGTATTCTCAGATCTTCTTACCCATCAAGCATGTTTTCTGGCGGGTAGTTCTCATCGCTCGATGTCGTCAGAACGACTTTTGCACCGGCCCCGCTCAATGCTACATCAAACATGATGACTTTTTAGTACAAAAGACGGCAAAATGTTGATCTTAATCTTCATACACTTCGTCATAAAGCGTCCTGCCTACCCCCTGGTAACGTGCGGTTAAAGTATGCGTGACCTTTGACACTAATAGTCTCTTTTTTTTTTCAAGTCGAGTCGCGGCGCGGCGCGGCTAGCTGACATCGATCGCAGATAGACAAAGCACTAGCTTGAGTAACTCCACTCTTACTAGTGCTTATCGCAGAGCACGGAGCTGGAGTTACTCAAGCTAACAAAGTTCTCTAGCGTTGAATTTCAAGAATTATTTGGAAAGAATACTGCATCCTGACGCCACTTTTTTCATCATAATTATCTCAGTGAATGTTGAAAACTCCACGAATCTGGGACTGAGAAACATTTCCAATTTTGTTTGAAAATGCTTTGAAAATGCACTTGACTCAAGCTCCGTGCATGGACTTGATGGGTGCACGCCTGTAAATAGGCCAAAAATCTGTCCGCCGAGCTCATGAAGTTATATCCTCAAAATATTCTATATTAGAGAGTTCTGAGAACCATGGAATTGGGGAATTGAAGACATGTGGCACTGAACCTCTGGCCTGGACTTGGAGCTTCCAATTCTGAGCATTTTGGATGCAATCGGGCCCGAAAGTGGCGCTATTTAGCCATGTTGTGGAGGGATTCTCTTTCAAAATGGCTACTTTTCCAGTTTGGGAAACATCATTCGTTTTAGGGGTGTTCTTCTTTGGGTGAGAAAAAGTCAATTGTCAACCCACCCAAAATTGAAAAGAAAATGAAAGATGACATGTTGATCATCATTTTTCTGTGCAGCTTGAATACCTGTGAGAGTTCTGAGTATTTTTAAATGAATTTTGAAGTATGGGCATTTAGCACTAGTGTCTATGGGAATTTTATTACAGGCGCGCACCCTGATAAGCTTTGTACACAACCAAAGAAGTGCACTAACTTTTTAAAGCTCTGGCAACAGAGCTTCGGAGTCACTCGGTGTCGGTCCGTCGGTCGCCCCCCCCCCCAAAAAAAATGATCAAAATCTAACCCCCTTACTCACCCATAAAACTGTAAGTACCAATTGTAGTTGTCCAAAAAAGAGCAAACACAATACATTAAATACTTACACCAATTTGTTTGTAACAATTTGTCACACTGTTTATGACAAAAGTTTTGAATGGGGCAAGAAAGTGCGTGGTAATGTGATAGTCACGTGGTATTTTTGTGCGCTGCGAACTTAGGAAGTTAGGGGCCCTGCCTGGCCCTGTGTCAGTTTCATGAGCATCAAGGGCTTGGATTGAGGATACAATTGCATTATGAAGGTCACTATTATATATTTTGCATTGTCACTTTTCAACAAAATGAGAAATTCCCCATGCACGACCAGCTGGTGATTTCAAGCAACCCTTTCGGCAAGATTACCATATGCGAAGTTCACTAATTTTCCTCTGTACTGACTAACAAGCCCCCAGATAGCAATTTCATGTCATCAAAGTCAATTTGAGCAGTGAGAAAATACAAGCATTTTCTTAGAAAACACTTGGAATTTTTCGGTCCAATCTCATAGGGTTTGTACACAGGGTGTTGAGTGAACTTCGTATATGGAAATCTTTCCAGACTTTCATGCAAGACGGCCAGAGCGCGCTTATCGTGCAGTCTAGTCCACTTAGTTTTAATTCACCTGCTCAATCGTTGGCATTCCCTAAGTTCTTGGCAATGCAAGACACATCGAACAAAATGCATCATAGTAAACATGACAAGGTTTTTTGAAAACCGAAAAGAATTGCCTTTTTCCGTTGAAAAATTATCATTACGAATTTCTCCCATTTAAATTCTCTCAAAATCCCACATCCTTTTCAAAGAGAAGATTAATGGGAACATGTCTCCTATGGGGATAAGTATCAGTCTAATCACTCAACGCCTCCTAAAACTTGCCAATTGTGATATGTCCACAGTCAACCTAGGTCGCCAACAGGTGGTCTGGGGGCATGGTAAATGCCCAACTGACCATGCACTGACTCTGGGTCAGCTTAGTTCAAGCTACACAGATTAGCACTCCTCTGAGAGTTTCCGCACCAACTGGAGGGCAAATTATTATAATAAGTGGCCCACACTGTACACAATGTACATGTACTAGTATGCACAGATACAGATAGGATTTGTGCATACACAAATTGTTGGTAGTATTTGATGCAGGTTTCCCTTCATTGCATACATACATACAGTACTCAATCTAGATTCAGAATATGCACTCAAAAAATTTGCTGAGAAAGTTTTAACTTCAGGGTTTTTTAACACAGTGAAATGAATGCTAAAAGTAAAAAAAAATAGGCCTATTTTATACAAGTTCAATCATTTACCATTTAATACTGCAGAGTCATCATCAAAATTAAAGACTTAGAAATTGGCCCAATCGTAGGCAGGTCCGGAGGGGAGGGGGTATCCTCCAAGGGGTAAACGTATGCCCCCTTGTTTTCTTTTCAAAATGTCTGTGTCCCAAAATCTTACAATCTTCAATGATCCATTTTGATGACAGATACAGCATTCTTCGAATTAGACATCAAGGTATATTTGACTCCATAAAAAACAACAAATAATGATGTACAACTGATTAAAGTGCTAAAACAACAACATTTATAAACAATGAATATTTTGTTCCCATTCAACTGAATGTTTAATGAAGTTTTTTATTTGCAAAGAATAAACTGTTGGCGCACTTTACATATAATCAAAGATGTGGCACATTTAATTATGCAAGTACTACATACACAAAGCAGTTTTGCTAACATGCACAACCGTACCGAAGAAGTGCTGTAAGGCAATACTACAAATCAAAACTTGCACAATAACTTAAACTTTAAAATAGGGACCCAGGTCAAAAATGTAGCTTCACGTGTTGTTCAGTTTATTTTCAAAAAAAGCAAACCCTTACAACAGTTTGTGGAGGTCTAAAACAGTAGAGTAAAATAAAATAAAGCAACCCAAAACATGGATAACCACAACACGTATGCAAATAAAATGGACAATGATGAAGTGGAAACCAACTGTACAAAGATGCTCTTCTATCTTTTTTTCTTTATGTGAAATTTCGAAGAGTGTGTTGTTTTAAATTTAATCGAACAAATTGACTTGTTTACATTTGTAATTTAAAACCACATAAGTCTAGTTGTGTATTAATTGGAGCTGGAGTTCATGTGCATTGAGCCATGTTAATATCCAAAAATGAATTCTATGTTTTTACAAAAAAACAACTCAGCAAATTGTTCAAAATTGAATGTTGCAACATGGAAAAGGATTGCACATAAAGAGTAAAGGAAGAGACACAAGAGCATAATTGAAAAGAATTATTGTAACATAATACATGTACACACAAGACACGCTTGAAATCTCTTAAATCACTTGGGCTATATGACGCTATGATGACTAAGTGTCTGAGCTACTTGGGGAAAAGACAATCACCAGATTCTCTGTATATAATGAAAATTAATTGTAAAGATACTCTAAAACAAAGTACATCAATTCAAGAAAAATAAATTGATTCATAAAATTTCCAAGCCGAAGCAATATAAATCACTGACTTAAGAGTCTTGCATTTGTGAAATACTTCGCTAGAAGATTCATAAGGGCCTTTTTTGTAGAACAAGAAGTCTATATAAACAATTTACACTTGCAGCAACAAAATCATAATTATTGCATTATAAATATCCTGCGAAATTTCAAACGGAAAATCTCTTTGGATAAGTACATTGTACATGTATAAGGCACATGTTAATTCCATGACAGCTAGCCCTGAAACTCAGAAAGTAATACCATCTGTAGACTGTTGATTAATCGGTGTTATAAAAAAAAATACTTGGTTGGAACTGACCTATATGATTTTTCTTTAAAGATGCATTCCGATCTCTGTCCTTTTCAAAAGATCAGGCTTTATGACGTATAATTCCAAATGTTAATTACAATGAAAGTAACTATTCGTTGTTCAGAATTTTAAATTAAAGAGTTTTGTATAAATGAGCAACAGCAGAGTTGTAATCGTCCACTGTAGTTGTTTGCTTTTTCTTTTTGATGCTCAGCCACTTCTTCGCTTTCCACATTTCCAGATATATGTGTTCTTCAATATTAGACAGCCCTGAATACTCTTTGCAGAAATAACTTTGCTTGTTCAGGGAATGAAACCTTGTGAGTACTTAAATGATGTTTTCTTTTTGAATTTGCGTAAAATAATTTTTTTACATTAAGATTGTAAGCCTTACAATCTTAATGTTGAAAAAAATATTTTAGTTTATGCAAATTTAAAACAGTCTAAGACTGTTTTGATTTACATGTACTTTTCTTTGGTTTTTTTAATGAGACTTATCATACGTGTTTTCTTACAGAAATGTTTGTCACGAAGTGTTGGTTGCTGATTAATTTTTCCTGAGTAGTTTGTTGAGTCCGGCATGTAATCGTTTGCTTTCAATAATGCATCAAGGATGAATTTGTTTTCTGCAACCGAATATCTTACAATGTCTGGAAATTTCTTGGAATTGATTTTTGCTTGCTCATTGACAAGGACACGGTACATTTTTGTTGATTGTCCCTTAGTGTTGCCTTAAAAAACTGTATACCGTGTAACAATCATTCAATTAATCATTACCGTTACAGAGTCAACTTGCCATTAGTTTACTGTCTCTTGATTCATTACAAAAATTGGTCTGAGTAATCTTTACCTGGCAATGAAATGTTATTAAGGCTTACTGCAGCTCCGTCTTGCAGGAAAATAAGCCTTTTGAAGGGATCCACTGTTTGAATATTGCCATTCCTCAAATCACCCTGCCATCAACTGTTTCAACCAGATCGTCTTGCTGGCACTCTCTCAAAAAAACTGCAAGTGTTTCCTCTTAGTCTTACACTGTCTTCTTTTGGTGGAGGCTTGCCTGCAGCTTTCTGTAATGATGATAATTGACAGCAGGATAACATTCACCCAAAAGCAAAATATTCAAACGTAAAGCTGTATGTTCACCGAAAGCAAAATATTCAAACGTAGGGGTGTATGTTTTTTTTTTTTTATTGGGGAATATTGGTGTACATGTATTCGTGCACTGAGATGTTTGGTTAACCTTGTTCTGCCAGAAAGGTCTAGATGCAAACATAAAATGTCATATTATTGTTAACCTTGCTTCAAAATGGCATTTTGTGATATTCATGTACATGATCATAATTGACCAATATGGGACAACCTTCCAATATTTTTCTATTAGGTTTATTGGGGTGTCATAGCCTTTATGTTGTTCTGGTAAAGAAAATACATGCACGAATTCTGTATCACAACAAATTTCACAGGAAATATTTATCCATTATGCAAAATGTTGCTTAGGCCTACTATAGTAAATAAATAAAATGATGCCATTTTACTGATCCTATCAAATTGGGTTTTTTCTTTTGGTACGGTTCATATAAGATCGTTCATCGTGAACTCTGCGTCGGATGTTAATTTTTGGTATTCATAAATTTCAAGTATCCTTTTGTTGATTAGATATTTATTTTCCAATCAAGTTGATTGAGTATATGAGAAGGGGTGAAATATCCACATTTACAGTTTGTTGATATGCCTACAACTATTTAATGTATGGGATGGTACTTACGTCTCTGTTGCTCTTCATAGTGAAGTATTAGATGTCTAATCGAATCCTCATCCACCCAGATATCATCTCCAGGATATATCCCGTAAAACTCACTAGATGACCCCTATCATTATCATCTCTGACTACATGTACATGTACCTTAGCAGCACACCATCTTTCTAACTCATCAATCGCTTGAACTCGACTTCCAATAGAGAATTTTCCTGCCCGTTTTGTCTTCAAGGTTTTCTAGTCAATTTTTATAATCCCACGTATAAAAGCTGGTGCATGGTTTGCAGTAGTGACCACTACCATCAGTGGATGAAACAAATCAGTCAATTACTCGTTACCCACGTGGCATATATGGTGTACCTGTAGAGGTCAATAGGCCATATATACTTGAGCTGACCACAACAAGGGGGTATTAAATTTATGTCCATTGGGGGGAGCTGTCACTTAGGAATGGATGTTTTCTTTCCGAGTTAGAAAGGTCTAACTCGGATTCGTTTAAATGGGAGAAATTCGTAATGGTTTTCTTTAAGTTTTCTCCCCTAGCTTGTTTGAGAGATTCACCCCGAAAAACAGATTTTAAACTACTATTATTCTAGCAATCAGTCACTGAATTATTTGTGAATGGACTCCGCCCAAGTCCCAAGTCGTTAATTGGCCGTGGTAAGACGCCCGCAGGCGTTGGTTGTCGGCGCCAACATCTCCAAACAATAATTATTAAAGCACGAGGTTTGTACAGCGCGGCGGACAAAACTTGAGTGTCTAACGACTTGAGATAAGTCTAAGCCATCGCGCGCCACCGGTGCACCAACCACCTGTTTTTCACGTTGCGGATCCAGGGGCTGAAGGTTTATGAGCCGTGTACTGCAGCCTGCGCCTTTGCAATGATCAGTGCATGAACTAGGAACACAGGGTCAAACCAAATAGGCACAGACCATAACTTAACACATTCTGCACAAACTCTACAGTGTACACACATACATGTACTTGCACATTAATACGAATTGAGCGAACAACGATATGGAAGAGGCCAAGCGCCAGAAAATGTGTGCCGAAACGCCGGCGTACCGCATGCCGGATATCATCGCAACGAAACGGGATGGCGGCGAGTTATCCCCGGCAGAGATTAGGTGGTTCACGGCAAACCTGCAGAGCGATGACGTGGACGACAGTCAGATAGGTAAGAACTAAAGAAAGTTATTAGAGGGTGTACTCTGTGTTTACGTGGCGATCAAGCCAAGCGTACCGTGACGCCTGGCGTACGGGGGATGAAGGGAGGTGTGCGGCCAAACTCTCCCATTCACAAGCTCAATGAGTGGCAACGCCCCCAACAAAACACTGCACTCGCTGAATTGAAAATAATTTTCTCTTCATACCTTTTGTTCGTTTCCAATCATAACACCACTCAAAATCCAAAGAAGAACGTTCAAAACAGATTAAAAACCTAGCCTGTTGAAGTTTCAGCTCGGTGGATATTACACTTTTCAAGAAATCACTGAAAAACCACAACCTTGTAATCACGCGCGAAACACGATTACTCATAACGAACAGTCAAATGACTCATCGTTGGAAATACCCACATTTCATTTCTTGATTTCTTCTAAATGATAGCAATCCAGACGGAATAATTTCACAGGGTGGTTAGTATACCAGTACGATCTTTAATCCAAGTAGGCCTAAGCTTTTGGATAATAATTTCGGTAGGCTACTTTGGGGGCACAAAATGCAAATGATTATAATGCCTTGAAAATATCCTGTGAAATAAAGAAGTACATTTTTCGTACAGTGGAGGAAACATTCCTCGGAATATTATTGACATATGGAACTGAAAATTCGCGTGCCGTTTCCTTGTGGGAAATTTACCTACACAAGCATAGAATAAGTTGTGTATAAAATCCCTTGCGTGAATGTGTATATGCTCAGTTTCACACATTAATTTATCTGCTGTGTTTTCTTTCGTTTTTTTTGTATTGTACTTTTGTTAAATGCTTTCATCTGAGGGTTTTGACGGCGAAAAAAAATTAAGGAAGCAATTTGCGTACGACCAGTTTCTTTTTGCACGAATTATTCTTTTGAGGTCGAGTCGGTCTTACATCATGGAGGAGATAGTGTACTTATAATATCTATAATGAAATTGTAGATAATATTAATCAGTTTTGACAACTGTAGGCCTATATAGATTACATTGTGTACATGTAAGCCTACAATTTAAATCTACTTTGTATACACGGCCCTGCGGTGGCGGTGACGGTGACATTCAAACGATTGGTGTTACGTTTTCAAGGACCACCGCGAAGTCCGTATAGCGTGGAACTTTGACAATTCGTTTTACGCTTTGATAGTTACTTTCTTGATCTAAATCGAATACAAAATTATTGAATGGTAATAAATATGTCTGTATAGCGGTGTATAAGGGGGAGGGGACTACGAAACACGTATACACTACTGATATTGAGGTCAGTATGGCCGAAATGTTCAATCATTCAATCTTTTTAAACCGTTTTGACGAAATTCAAAATATATGTACATGTAGGCCTATGTAAGTTGACAGTATACATGCATGACGTACAACCTCGCTTTCCAAATTATGAGCATTCTTTATTGGTTAAACTGAATGGGGAAACCGATTTTTCCGATCCTACATTTCAAAAGTTCAAACCGACAGTTAACTAATAGAAACGAACAAAAACTAAACAAAGATGCATTTAGGCTGAGAGTGTTTTAAAATGTGCCATTTCATGGAAATTCTGTTGCATTATATACCACTGTTGACATTCACGCAAACTGATGGCCGCCCATAAAAAAAATGGCGCCAAAGTTTTTGTTTAACAATAGGATAAAAATAATACAAGTCCACATGCCATTGCACATGTACACGTATACATTCTATGTACACATGGAATATAGTTCCGCTTTCTATAGTGGACACTGGACTCATAAAAACTAATAAAACACAATAATTTGCATACCTCTTTGTATACGGCGATCTTTGACCTGCCTTGCGGCATACGGACGTACGTAAACATAAAATTACGATAAGAGTGGATGTCCACACCGTTTATGATATCCCTTATCCAGTAATTCTTTCAATTTCCAAAAGATATATCTTTGGCCATATTGCTAGTTTAATATAGCTCAATATTGTTTAGGCCTAAAAAGGTAGTGCAAACTTTTTTGTTGACGGAGATTTTCAAACATCGGGTCCGTTTTTGGTTAGGCTTTCTATAGTGTCCAGATCCAGTGAACTTTAAGAACTGAATAATAATATACTCAGACCAAAGGAACCAATGCTAGCAATGTGCACCTAGCCCCATCACAGTAATTTGGTAGAAAATTAATCCAATTATATAAAGTCTATGTCTTTCACGTCACCGACCGAAGATCATGAAACTGGGCCTGACGCTTCAGCCGAAACGAAGTCGATGTTTGGAAAATGTCGATAGATCCGTACTTAAAAGTGTACGACTCGTCCAAATTCCCAAACGTGAACACTTAAAAAAAAACTCCTGCTAATTCTTGCAAACAATGGTGTTTTGCATGCTAAATGTCTTTTTCGAACTTTCTAAATTTAGTTGATAGATGTAATTTTTCGCTAAAGTACTGTGTACACGATATCGACCACTCGCATTAGACGCGCAAGATGACGCTAACTGGTACATTATGGCCGAACATTCTCTCTTTTAGTTTTAGCTCGCTCAACCGTCGAGAGAGTTTGCCGATTAGTTTTAAAAAGCACTTTCGAGATGAAAGTTCACAAAACCGTACCCTGAAACTGTGCTGTTTCATGTAATTATATACCGCGCGACGGAATTTCGTTGTACAAAATATTGGTCCTTAAATTCCGCTATAGGGCGATTGTCGTAATTCCATGTCTCAAACATGGAGGTGCGCGCTATAGGATCGCCTTTTCTGAAAGTCTGAATCTAGTGCGGGACCTTGTATCAAAAAGTGAATTGTAAATGCGGCGCACCGTCTAATATGGTGACAGCTTTGCTCAAAATTCGATGCCTTTTTTATTTATATTCACTGCTGGAACATAACAACTTATAGGCAAGGCAAAAATCGCTGCCACGCTGGATGTAAACAATCGGGGTTTTTTTCTCCAAAATATTTTTCGTGATTGTGAGACATTTCGTGGAATTCCCGTGATCTATAGCCTCTAAAATATGGCTATAAAAACAATATGTAACCAAAATAATAATATATTCTGGCGCTTGCCGACCGGGGGAAACCTTTAATGCATACAGTTTGCATACTGTATCATGCATTTGCGAATTGGCCTAACATTATACATTTCACATACAGTGATGGAAACGAAAGTGGAAGTTGACGTATAATAATGTCACAGTGTTCCTGTTTAGGTCGGCTGCGGTTGACTGATAGTTTCAGATTCTGAGGATCCGGAAACCGGTTAGAAATTAAAAAAAATTATATGTATAGAGTATCGCTCATATTCAGTGGCAGAAGACTATAACTACAAGGCTCTTAATTCCGCGTATCTCGCACGGTATGGTTACATACGCATACCACATTCTGTGCCAAGTTGTCCTTGCAGTCAGAATCAATCTAGTGACTGTTCAATAGCTTATAAAGTAGGGGGTGCATGTTCCCCAGTACCTATGTTTTCCAACCCTAACCGTAACCCTATAACCTTATCCCCGACCCTAACCCTAAGGATTTTGGGGAACATAGATATTGGGGAACATAGGTATTGGGGAACATCGGGTTGAACCCAAAATAGGGGTGCATACCTATATGGGCATGGCTGTGACTGTTTTATGTAACTTCAACTGTAGGTGATTGATAAGCCAGATGTGCCTACCAGTTGCCTGTTTTTGTCTGTTGACTGAATTTGGCAAGTCAGAGTGCTTACTTGAGTATGATCTGACTGTTGGGGACTGCATGCAGGGGAAGTGAGTGGAATGTTTGACTGTATGTGACTGTTCACACCGTTGGTTGGTTAAAGGAGACTTGATACTTGACTTCACTCGAGCACCATGCTGAGAAATATGAAAGCGAGGTTGCCTCATCAAAATTCACGCCACGATAGGGGAAACAGGGGAGACACGATTCGCCAGTTTCACAGAATAGCTGCATTGGATCGCGAAAGGCAGCACATCTGGTTATTGGACATAACCTTAGTGGTAGCCCGCTCGCTAGAGTATCAACAAAGAACAAATCTTTCCAATCTGGTCAATATTTTCATTGAGTTATGGCCACTTCAAAATAAGTGCCGATTTTTCAATCTGTCCACGGTCTCAATTATTGTTGTTAGGAATGTAATGGATTTGGGGTGGGGGTAGTTTTGCTTTCTTTAATGGTTTAGGCCCCCTAATCTTCCTGTAATTATTTTGTTCTTTTTTATTGGGTTTTTTTTTTGCAACAATGGTCGTTTTTGCTTTTGGAAGTAATGGTAGTCCTGAGAAGAACAGTTTTGTTAACTTCCTAGATGTTTGCTTTGCTGCTCTGTCTCTGCCCTCTACTTGGTTGCCTTTTTTTTTTCACAAATGCAAGTTTCAGACCGTTTCTTACTGCAGCAGTCAAAATATCAGTCGCCGTGGACAAAATGAAAAAAGGGTACTAGTCTTCAATTGGACATAACTCAATAAAATGTATCCGATTGAAAAAAAAAATTCGTTGTTATAAAGTTAATGGACTATAATTGGAGCCGGGGGTGCTAGCTAATACGTTCATAATTTGACTATACTTTCCTGGAAACATATCAACATCTAAACAATCTTATGAAAATTAGGTGCTCTGCTGATGGCCATGTACCTTAAGGGGCTCTCCACATCCGAGACCCTGGCCCTAACCAAGGCAATGCGAGATAGCGGCGAGATACTGGACTGGCCGGAACACTGGCAGGGCACCCTGGTCGACAAGCACTCGACGGGGGGAATAGGCGACAAGATCAGCCTACCCCTGGCCCCAGCACTCGCTGCATGTGACATGAAGGTTAGTTCGGAAATCATATTGGAAGTTGCATCAAGATTATAAACAGCGCGTCCCATGCAAAATACCCGTAACTTTTTGTTTACGAGGCTCTAGCGTCGGCGCGGAAACACGTACCGCCATCATTTTTATATAATTTTAAAGCTTGGAATCTGAACTTTATCCCTGGTGAGTATTGGTTTGATATTGTAAAAGAGTTTCAACATTATTCGTGTTCAAATAAAGGCATGTCGAAAACAAACTCAACTGATTTCAAGGAAAATCGATGATGCGGTGCATCAGATGCAAACACGAGTCACACTAGCTAGTTTGCTGCTCCCACTGTGTGTGAAACATAGTGGAAAAAACGTGGGTACCAACGATGAAAGCATTTCACACTCCGTACATACTTAACGTGGCACAGGGGGTGTGCTATGACTTTTTATAAACTTAACACGTGATCGTTCTAAGCCAATGAAAATACAGTATTCAAGACAGAAGTATAACAATAAAGTTTGTATCTATCAATTTATCTATTTTGGGCGTCTTCAACTCTCCTTAAAAAAATAACACTTCGGGTTGCCTTTAATACGCACAATATGATGCATCTTGCGAGTGTGAGCTTGATACTGCTGATAGCGAGTGGAATCAAGTCTACTTGAGAACTGAATTATGGGTAGCCTGCCGCCAAACTCTATGGGGGGAATCTAACCAATGAGAGCTCAAGGAAATTTGCCGATACCAGCGTGTTGGGTTAATAGGGCGGAAGGTATAAACATCGTTTTCTGATATGCAGGAATTCAACTGTGCGGCATGTAGCATAATAAGGAATACCCTATAGTGGGGTGATATGATAAGGCCTAGTAATAATTCCTGATTTATTTTAAAAAGGTACCAATGATCTCCGGCAGAGGGCTAGGGCACACCGGTGGAACACTGGACAAGCTCGAAGCCATCCCTGGCTACACCGTCTTGGTTGCCAAGGAGCGGATGACGGCCATCTTGGAAGAGGTGGGCTGTTGCATTGTGGGGCAAACCAGCAACCTCGTTCCCGCGGATAAAAAGCTGTACGCGACGAGGGACGTGACGTCCACAGTTGGCAGTGTGCCACTCATAACAGGCATGACATGTTATTACTCTGCACAATATTGTTTCAACCAATTGCAATGAGAAATTCCTGATATTGTTTCAACCAATTGCAATGAGAAATTCCTGATTCGGTAGAGTATATAATGTGAGCATTTGTGGGGGATTTTTTTTGATATTAAAGGTATCCCTAAAAGTTCTTAGCAAAGTTTCTGCTTTGCTATGAAAATATTTTGAGCGAGTGAGACGCCATCAATTGTTTATCAGCAACTTACTACTTGGTCGATTAAAAAAATGAAGGCGACCCTAACATTGTACCGTGTAATAGACGGATGGTCCCGTGCGTGCGCGTGTACAGCGGAACATTTGGTCCCGCCCCACGTAAGTTGACCAACCACAGCCCTGACAATAGTCCGACATGCGTGCGCATTTGCGTATAACGCGCGCGTCTGGCAAATGCAGTGCGGCATTAGACAGGTGTTCGTGTTGCTGCCCACCCACGTGCGAATGGGTGGGGCCTTATATCATGGATCTGTGTATTAATATGTAAAAATGGTTGGCTTTTGTTTTCGTTGGACCAACAGCGTCGATCGTCTCCAAGAAGGCAGCCGAGAACGTCAACTTTTTAGTCCTTGACGTCAAAGTCGGCAAAGCGGCGTTCATGCAGACTATTGCGGAGGGCAGACAGCTTGCACAAAGCATGGTAGGCTATGCCTGAATTACGGGCTGTTTGAAATTTTTTTTTTTTTCATCAAAAGCAGAGAATATCGATCCATAGCACGATGATTATAATAGCCCCGCGAAAATATGAATTTTAAGTGCAAATTTCAGACAAAAAGAAAACATTAGTGCATGCACGCATTCTGTAGTTTGAGTCACCACGCCACAATGTCGATCCAAATCGGATCATATCTCCGCGTGGCAGTCTCGTCAAAACAAAATTAATGTAGCAAGGAAATATTGAACACCGTTGTCATGTTTGATGATTGTGACTTGACTGCTCTACCAGGTGTCTGTGAGCAAAGGCCTTGGAGTAAAGACGTCAGCTTTTCTGACGGACATGAATGCGCCGATCGGGAACACGATGGGCAACGCGCTGGAGGTTGCCGAGGCCCTGCAGTGTCTGCAGGGAGGCGGGCCTGACGACTTGAATGAACTCGTATGCAAACTCGGTGAGTGAAAAACAGGCGGTATACGGGTACAAGAATGACGGGAGAATAATCTAGCCGCCATCTCGCGCGTTTTGTACGCAACCGAGCGATGCGTGCGCTATCCATAGTAGATGTAATATTAATAACGGAATAAATGTGTGTGTTTGGCCGGTTTTAAACACTCTGTTGAAGACCGGTTTGGAGTCTGGGTGATGATAATTACCCGAGCCAAAAACACAATCCACATGGACCACGCCAGGAATCGAACCGGGCCGAGGAAGAACCGCTGGTCTAAGTTCCAAACTTTGGTACAGCGTTAATTGCGTGTTTCTTAGTTTTGACTGCAACGTAGTTTTTAATGATGGGATAACGTTAAACAACCGTTGGTATGACGTTTTGGTACCCATAAACGCTATTGTTTGTGAGTTTGGTAACGTTGATTCGGTAACGTTTGATATAACGTTTATTTAATAACAAAACCGTTACCGAATGACCAAACTGTACGTTGGGTTAGCTGGTTTACCAGGTTGATGACTGCATTGTTAATATTTTGTGACGACAAACTTGGTTCGCTTTCGCGCAGTTCGCAAAAATACTTCAACACTTTCATGTTCGTAAAAATATCTCAGGCGGTTACCTGTTGTACAACAGCGGGAAGGCCAGCACGCCCGAAGCGGGTATCGCTGCCATCAACAGCACCCTTCAAGACGGGTCGGCCTGTAAGAAATTCCAGGCCATGTTGCTATCTCAGGGAGTCAGTGTTGGAGTCGCGGAGAAGCTGTGCACCAACGCAATGGGTTGCGTGGATGACGCGTGGAAGGTCTTGAAACGAGCGGCGTATACCACGGAGCTATCGGCCGAACGCAGCGGTAAAACTACGTTTCATATATTTCATTGCAATATTATTTACTACGATGAACAGATTATAAAATAGGTAAGAACATTTAAAAGAACAGATATCAAAATCAAGTCAATAGTTTACATGTACACTATAAAGCATCGTTACTAGGCCCTACATAACATACTCTTTAAAGTTGGTATACGTGCTTTTTCAAAATTTCGATTTTCTTTTCCGGACGAAATTTAAAGGAATATGACATCCTGTAACAAATAATGTGCTTGTTTGTTTTTGCAGGGCTTAATATAGTTTTAAAATGTGGTTTTAAATGGCGCGCTCCAGTTCAGAAATTCACTATTCGGAACGGCACTGTTCAGAACGTCCCACTCTTAATTCAAAAGTTGAACTTAATTGATTACTTGTCGTGGGCCGATTTTTTTCGTGCGATGTCTCATTGGAAAGCTCTTAACTAAGGAATGTTAGAAAATTATCAATTCAATTTGAACTTCTATTTTTCAAGGTGCTACACCCAAAAAGAACGTAGGCCTATACACCAACTTTCAAAACAAAACTCCCACCAGTGACACAGCCCTAATAGCGAGAAACAACACACTTGTTAAAAAAACTAATTATCATAAAAAAAAGTACAAGGTTTTTTTTTGCTTGTTTTAATTCTTCTTATTCCAGGAGCATTTTTCTTTTATTAATTTTATTTCGTGGTTGAACAGGTTACGTGCAAGACTTGGACGCCCTAGCGTTGGGCAAGGTGACCCTGGAGCTCGGTGCTGGGCGGACGGTAGCGGGCGCTGACATCGACCACGCGGTGGGGCTCAGGCTCACGGTGCGAGTCGGATCCAAGGTTGAAAAGGGTAGGATACTGTTTTACAAGAAATCCTCATTTGTTGTATAAAATAATCTACATAGCAAATTGTGTGAAGAACATTTCTATATTTGTTTTTTTTTGTAATTAAAACAGATTTTATTGTCTTCAAAAATATTTACAAATCAAAAATGTAAGAGAGCCAAACATTTCGACCCTGGCAGATTTTTTCAAAAGGCAACAGTACTTTTTCCGTTTTTTGTGATTAAAATTTACAAACAGAAAAGAGAAGAACTTGATTCCTGGAACACAAATCCGTTACTAATTTCTTGAATTAAATTGAATTTGTGAACAGCTGTTTAAAGAAAGTAAATTATGAGAAGAAGAACAAGTTTATTTATCATTCCCCATCCTCAGAATTCACACCTCCATAAGTCCAAATAAACATTGATTACTAGAGCTACAATTCTGTTCAGAAATAACGAAATTATATCTGAAATTTAGCTTGTAAAACCATTCTCAAAGGTATGCAATAATCAGATTCAAAATTGTAACTGTTCTCTTCAATAATCAACTTTTTTCTACATTCTCATGAACAAAACACCTAAAATGTACCCCCTCTCCCCCCCCCCCAAAAAAAAAACACCGAAATTCAATGAAAGTACAGAAACGATCACATGAAACTTGAAATCATTACCTGAGTCAATTTAGCATTTTTGTTTTTTAAATTCAGGTCAAACTTGGATTTATGTGTATCACAATTCAACCTTGTCCGGCGATCACGTGAGGCGTCTGCAGTCGGCAGTGACGATTGGGCCAGATGAAGTCAAGTCGCCGCCGTCAAGAATACTCGAAATCATCGAGTGATTCCGGTCGCCAGGCTATTTAATAATTATATTTAGAGTGTGCTCAGAAAAAAAAAAATTTACTTCTTTTGGTTTGGTTCTTAATACTTGGTGCTCTGGATTCTTGTTTTTTGTTTGTTTTGTTTTGTGCTTGGAAAGTATTCTTAGCTTAGAGAAATCAATGAAATGGATTTTTTTCCAGCACAGAAGAAATACAATATGCTGGATTAAATTTCTGTGGCTTCTTACAATTTTATTTTTGTAAGTTAATTTACAACTTACGATATCCGCTTTGCTTGGGTCTTTAGATTTGTAGTACATGTGAAAAATATATCCCTGAATACGTGTTTTGCTGATGGTGCTAATTATTGTTTGTTTAGCGGTTTTTGTTGTTGTTGTTTTGTTATTTTACCTCCGCCAAGGAGGTTATGTTTTCACTGGTGTTTGTTTGTGTTTGTTTGTTGGTTGGTTGGTTGGTTAGTGTGTTTGTCTGTGATCTGATACACCGTGCCCTCTGGAGACATGCACACAATAGGGAACAAAAGGTTGTATACGTCTCCACAGGGCAATTTCTATAAGTAAATACAAGTCTCCACAAGGTTTTCACGAAATAGATACATGTATATGGATTTTACTCAAAAAACTAGGAATTTCCAAGGTGGGTTGATCCGTCGCAAATGGAAGAGTTTAAGAAAAGGGATATTAAGTCCGAATTTCAGCCAAGGGAATTAATTCTGGTTAAAATAAGAGCATTTTGAAACTACACTTTCAAACTCGAAAACTTTACTACACGAGAACAGAGAAATGTCTCCACAAGGACACAAATTTCAGTATGTGTGAACAGGATAACCCTCAAAATGTTCTGGACGGATTTTCATGACAATTTTTACAGGGGTGGTCCTTGGTACAAGTACATATCGATTAGATTTGCTTTGGGATGCAGGATATTTTTTTAAATGATTTTCCTCCATCATATGGAAAACTTTCACCAGATCGCTCTGTGACCAGCTCCGTGTGCATGGCACTGACCCGGTGACCCTGTATGCCTTATCACCCACCTAATCTAACCACACAGGTCAATGGACTAGACCATTTTATACAACCGGGAGTGGAAAGGTAGACCAACACAGGCATATACATGTACTTGTAGAGCGGTGGTCCTTGGTACAAGCACAAATAGATTAGATTTTATTTAGCCTTGGCGGAGGTGTGCGCTCTGTGAGTGCTTTCTTGTTGGTTGGTTGTTTGTTTGTTGGGGGGGGGGGGGGGGTATTGGGTGTCTTTTTTTCCTTTTTGTTATTTTTTGAGGGACCAATTCCTTTTTTTGAGAGAGAGACCAATTTCAATACCATGGTTTAAAAGTATATAAGTACCAGTCGATGGCTACCAGAAAAAAAAATAAAATAAAATACATGTACTTCAGCATTTCTACTTCAATATTATCCACTTTTTTGCAATAATTGAACGAACAACCAAAGCGCATTCAATTGCTCTATTTTTATTCACTCGTAAATAAATATAGTCAATTACAATTATATACATGCGACTGGTCTGTGAGGAGTACACACTGGGCGTCAAAACTGGCTAAACTGTGACAACTGGCCAAACTATAAGTGCCTTAAAATGGATGTTGAAAAAAATGGTTCAAATATTAAACATCTATTTTCATATTAAAAGCTTGAATGTAATATACAACGTTTGATTTTGCTGTCATTTTCAGAAATGGATGGATTTTGGGATAAGTATTTTAAAGCAAATGAAAAATACACTGACCTGTTTAAAGTTCTGTGTTCATAGATGCTGGAAAAACCAAGAAACAAATGCTGTTCTTGTAGTCTGGTTCCCTGACCCTACTTCAGACAAAACAGAGCAATTTATAGATGTCTGGGAATTTGTCAGGTCAGGGAACTATACCAGCTGGCTTGCATCCGTTCACAGATGTGCAAACAAAATGTGGACAAACAAATTTGGTAAATTTGGGGCAGTATTTGAAAGAAGTCAGTTTTTGTTCCAACGATGGTCGGCTGACCACTGTTGGAAATTGATACAAAAATACCACTTTTCCTGAAAATGACAGAACACCAGGTGCCACAATGTTTGCAAATGTTGTATATTACTAACATAGCCAGTTATAATGTTTTAATCAAGAAAGGTTACATTTGAAAAAAAAATTGCATATAACTTAACACATCATGTTTTACCAAATCTGCAACATTTTTTTTTTATAAAACTGACAGGGAATGTCAGATTTTTTTTAAGATAAACCTATGAGTTACGCACAAATGTTATTTATGAGTTCCGCACAAATGTTATTTCGTACAATAAAAAAAAGGGTTACCATATACAACAGGTTGGCCTATTGGCCTATAGCTACCTCTGTTTAAAAAAAAATGTGTTCCCATGACAATATTTCAAGCTTAAGTAAATAGTTGTTTTCTTGCAAAACACTTTTTAACTTTGTTGGAGCAGCTCTATGAACTGTTAGCAAAACTACACAATTTCTGTTGAAATCGTATATTCCAGTTATTCTTATTCGCCGGCATTGTCCGACGTCACTTCCAACTTGAGTGAGAGGGCTCCCTTCCTCAACAGTTCACGCTCATTCCATAATAATATTTCATGTAATTTATATTAAAAACACAGACGACCACAGACAGCAATTTTACATCCTATATTTATCAAACTTTTCACAAATTTGTACCTGAAAAGGGGTAAAAGGGTTTTGCAATGAATTTGGGTTTAAGTAAGATTTGAGGCTTTGCATGGTGGAGATACTAAATAATGAAAGGTTTGCGGAAACACCATGTGCGACTAATTTCTCAACTAAGAGAATGGTTCTGAAAAGAACCAGAGGTATAAACTCTTAAGTTGGAATTGGGGTTTCCAACAGCCAAAGCGACGCACTGTGTTCACATTGGGCGGCTGTAGTGCACGTAAACTGGTAATCATGTGTCGCAGTGAGTTGAACTCTGAGTGATGTTCGCTCACAACTTATTCAGCAAATTAGCCAACAAAAACTCTCACCATAGCTTTAAGCAGATTCACTGGACCGCTCCCCACCCCCCCCCCCCCTTGCCGGTTGAACAAAAGCCCACGCCTCAAAGATAGCCACAATGCATGGAATCTATAACTACTTCTAAATGGTACATGAATGAACTAATAAATGAAGCACGAGCATTCTTTGGTTGATGCTACTGGGGCAAACCATTTCAGACCAGCTCCCGCAAATCCCCAACAAAGTTGACAAATTATTTTTTTTACGTTTGGACATCTTCAAATTCTTGCGAACCAAATTAAAAATGCCACAACTTAATATAAGGCCAAAAAAAAAATAAGTCGGTCTCTGGTCAGCGGGCCCGTCGATTTTAATCATGCGCATCGATCTTTTTTTTTTCCAAAATGTTCCGCGGTAGCTCCAACAGCGCCCTCTATTTCCGCACCTCCTCAATTTGTTTTTACCAAAGAGCACCAAGGAATGGGAAATTGCACCAAGGCAAATGATCGAAAGCACCAAGGCAAATTATGGGGGACACCAATGTACATGAGGACACCAAAAAAGCAAAATAGTACCGACCTTGTCTGTATAATCCAAGCTTGAAGAAAAAAAAAAAGCAAAAAAAAAAAAAACAAGCCGCGTGGCCGCGTCAATTCCGGAACTTTGGTCTGACCAGAGACCGAATATTTTTTTTTTTGGCCTAGAAAGGTTGTTTTTTTTGTGGAGGGCACACGACAAATGTCAGCACTAGATGTATTGTTGGAAACTTTCTACAAAAAGTACAACATTGCACCCCCAATACTTATTTACCTACAGACATGTGATGCGATCAAGCTAAATGAGTTGTCGACCCCAGTCAAAAAAAAATTTATTACAGATTTGAAAAGAGCACAATCTTAGCATTACTGCTGTGAAAACCGCATGCTGATACCATCTTTAGTTCAAAAATTATGGAAGTCGGAACACCAAGAGATGTGATGAAGTGATGTGATGAAGTGGCCCTATTTTGGCCTGTATCTCCAAATGAAAATTCCCGACAAACGACTCATGTAGCTTGATAGCATCACATATACTGGTACATCTAGAACTCTATGGACGGACGGGCAAAACTAATGAATACGGTACAGGATTCAAATAACACTGAAGGAATTTAGGTTCCACAAACGCGTACTTTATCATGGAGCCAGTGGCAATTAACAACTTCATATAAATTATCTGCACTGCTATCTGTACATCTGTTGAAGGGGCCATGAGATGAAATTTTCTGTGGAACCCATTTTGTGCAACCTTCTTACTCCTCTTAAATGTATGAAAACTATTTGACATTCCTTTTTGCTTCATTTTATTGAAAGTTCACTTTAAATATTTAAAAGAGAGTGCTGTTGTGATGTCATTTCAGGAAGGCATTGTACAGTTCAAGGTTTTCTGTTCCAATTGTGAAACCAACAATTTGCTCATTGCAAAAATTTTTGAGAAAAAATTGCTAACTGGCTAACTGCCATATACTGACACAACAATGAAAAGACATTTATGTTTAGACGTACGTATAAACATATTTTCAAGCCTACACAAAGCCTGCTAGAAGCCACGTTTTTCGTCAAAAAAAACTGTATCTTGTGTTGTAAAGGGATGACGTACATACGAGGAACGTACATTAAATATAAATCCTTGCTCTATAATGCGCTGCCGAAATCTCATGTTTGAAAGGACTGATTCTCCAATAAAACGCTCAATATTTAAAACACTGCATCTGCAGTCCTACTTTAAATCTCCCAAATAGTGAGAGATTTTAACGACACAATTTCAGGGGTTAAAATCGCGCAGGGCATGGTGGGAACTAACATGGCGCAGCAAAGATCGTACCCCTGGGAACGAGGCTGCCATAAACATGTCCCAGAGAACTAAAGTATCCATTTTATTTGAATACATATCCAGATACTGAAAACATTACCTAACATTAAAAAACAAATATCAGAATAAAATGGAGGTTACAATTTTTGATCACGGACTCACAAATACGTTTTTCTGGGTCTGACTGTGAGGTGTATGATCATGTGATGACGGTCTCCGTGCACTTGACTGTCCAGTCTTCAGATTCTTTGACCGGCATCAAATGATGGCCAACCTGTAGTGAAAGGTCGAGGGGGGGATGAGTAGATTTTAAGAGATGTATTGGCAAGGGATGTTAGACTATAGTTAGCCCCATAAATGTGGCCAATTTACTGGACTACCGTAAATAAAGGCTACACTTCCACCATGTACAAAAACATGTCGAACTTTGTCACATTTAGGCTTAGTTTGTAGTTTATTTTTGCTTTAGAAGCATACTCACCCTCTTTGTAGGCTAATCAGAAAGTGCTGCCTTTTTCAATGTCTATTTTTCGTGAAACTTCCAGATTCGTTTGCACACGTTTGCGTATCAAAATTTCAACATGAAATTTCACGAAAATTACTACATCTGAAAAACGCAGCACTTTCTGATTAGCCTATAAAGAGGGTGAGTATGCTTCTAAAGCAAAAATAAACTACAAACTAAGCCTAAATGTGAAAATCAAAATTTGACAAAGTTCGACATGTTTTTTGTACATGGTGGAAGTGTGGCCTTTATTTACGGAGGTAGTCCAGTAAATTGGCCACATTTATGGGGCTAGACTATAGTCATTAGGACAGTTGTGTAACCATTGTGTGATGTTTCATGACTTAAAATCTGCTTCATGTTCACATTTGGATTATTAGTGTAAGCCCGGCGGACCTTTGCTATGATACACACTAAATTGATAGTTTACATGGATGCTATTAGGACGTTGCTAAGTATCTGGTTCACTTTAGTTGGGAAACTGAAAATAAATGAGATTAACTCGAACCTTCCCAAATCCTCCAAAATGCTCTTTGCAAAATGGAGGATTTCGCAGGATTGAGCCTATATGGCAAAAATGTGTGGCTGATTTTGAAGGATGCACTGTGTCAAGGTCTTGGGCCGGACATTGTTTTTTTTTATGCTCAGCCTTGCATAAATTTAGGCCTAAATTAAACTTGACATCCTCCGCACTGCTCCAGGATGTCACTGGCTCTGCCTCAACATGCTGACAGTGATTGCTGGAGGATTTTGCAGGATTGAGGCAGTGGTCACCCCTCCAAGGACGCCATTCCAAAAAAAAGGGAGCATTTTTCAGGATTGAGGCTGTGTGCAATTTTTACATGGAGGCAATTGGAGGATTTCGCAGGATTAAGGTTACATCCAAGCAAAAATGCCCGGGGAGTTAGGGTTAATGCACAGCCAATTCCTGAAAATAAGGTTAACTCCAAGAGAGGAGACTTACCACAGCTGCTCTTGATGGGATGACCAAGGTATGGTCCAGGTCTGGTCTGCTGCTTGAGCAGTTGCTACTCTTTCCACAGTCCATCCTTAGTGAAAACTTGCTAGACGACTGAATAAAAAAGAAACAACACCAACAACAACGATTACACCGCATCACTGCACATCCACTATTTTGTCACCTAAGTACAGTTATATGAAAATAGACAAAGTATTTTGCAGTTATGGACCTTATCAATATTCCACACTTCCGTCCGTGAATGACTGCGTTTTCCTTTCAGCGGTCAACTGGCAACAAGACCGTTTTCAGTACCCCACGTCAAAATGTTTACAAATTGCGCAACTATGTCATGTCAACGACCTTGAGAAAATGGCTGTCGCACATCGGCTACAGAATTTGTCACTTGGTGTTTCTGTTTTTTTACACAAATATTAGCAAGCGTATAGTTATGGACACCTTACACATCGCCATTATACAATGGCGACAAAAGTGACAGCATAATAATGAAAATGAAATTTAGCACTCGCGGTTTTCATTTTTTACCGCCATTTTTGTTGATAGTTGGTCCCCTCTGCACTATGCTATGAAAAATTGCTATTGATGACCAGCTATAAATCGTGGCGCGACCAGACCAGCTGCGGTAGGCTGGTCCTGAATAGTCGACAAGACTAGTGTAACCATTTCTAACTAGCGTGCGTTTAATCAGAGTTAGTCGAACTATGGTTAACTATGGTCCTGACCCAACTTGGATGTACCTTGTTTTCCACTACGACAGTGAATATAGCATCTCCCGCAAGGCAGTGCATGACAGCATCGTCTGCCTCCTTGATCTTGATCCTGTCTTCGCTACTCCTCATGACAGAGTCACAGACTGCCATCTCCAGGGCGGAGCCACCGCTCTGCAGTGGGAGGGCCTTGATGTGACTCTTACACTTGTCTGTGAAGACGTCGATGACGAAGGGGAGAGCCTGTAGATGAAATAAAGAGGAAATATTGGACTCCATGTTTCAAGCTCTCGGTGGTGCTTCTTCCGTGAAGCAGTGGCAGATTCTGGGGGTACGAAGGGGGCGTCCGCCTCCCGGCAGTGACCGAAATGTTCTCAAGCAAGGACATTTTTTACTTGAGAGAGCTGTTCTGCCTCCCCCGGCACAAACTCAACCCCCCCCCCCCAGCAACCTCTCTGGATCCACCCTCGTGACCTCATATCTAACGAGAATGCTGATTGGTCAGACTGCGCAGTCTCAATGCCGTATCACTCAGGTTTCTAAACGCAGCAGTTTATCGCGCTGTTTGTCCACTGTAAGTGTAAACAAACCCATTGAAAACAACAGAATTCCGTTACTGCTCTCTTATGTAAATGGGGCTTCAGGCATTCCATTATTTGAATCCTTGTTTTGCAATGTCCTTAACCAGTTCGAGTCGGAGGACGTGATAACACGTACTGGCTGTTTTTATACACAGGCGCGGCTGACGGGATAAGACGTCAAGATTGCCTTGACTCGCCTCTGGGTGACGTTTAAACACGCTAATTCCTCGTGCCTTTTGTACACACACACAAAGTCTGTGAAGTCTGTGGAGGCGGACCGTGTGCTGATCTTGAATTGGCCATTGTGCACAGCCTATTGTACAATTTACATCCCAGTGCACACCCTGGAGTATTGAAAAATATGAGGTTTCGGCAAGAAATATTGTACAAATACTGTTGAAATGACTCTTGCGAATCAGCATTAGTGGCGTTTGGCTGTGTATCAGAAGTTGGCTGGACAATTTTGCCTTTTGCGAAAATCGACGTTTTCAGCAAAAATAATCCCGGTGCCGAGTGGTTAAATGTGTTTGACCACAAATTTCTTCCCCCAGAGTCCAAAGTTACCCTTCAGCAAAACCCGCTACAGCGCCACCAGTTCCGCCCTAATTAGTCTACACTTGTGCTTTGAATCGATCTCTAGACGACTACGTTACCTACCTCATCTAGCTTGAGATCGTCTGCGAATCCCATGGAGTGCAGGGTCTCCCACAGGTCGTCCGTATCCCCCTCAAGGTCATTCGCTTCCATCTGATTCAGGTCCATGAAACCCTTCCGCGTCAGCTCGCCCTTCTTCAGCTCAAAGTTTTCTGGAGTTCAAAGAAAAGACAGGGTAGGGGTGGGGAGAAATTTGAATTTTAATCTTCTCGTTTAGATCTGTGACACCAATTTTTTTTTAAAGTTCACAAGTACAATGTACTACTTCCTTTTCTTATTATTGAAATGCAGGAAGTCAGAAGGGATGAAAATTGTTGTTGGCTAACCTTCCACAACTTCCCAAGCATCGTCGTCGACCGATTCCCCGCTGGTCCTGAGCTGGAATATGTTGAACTCTTCTCTGCTCAAGGTGCCGTTACCGTCAAGGTCTACCAGCTCAAAGATGTCAGCTAACGCATTCCTAAGAGTAACAGTAAAAATAGTAAAATAAGTGGGGAAAAAACCAGGACACTACAAAGTTTTACAATTTACATCAGCTCAATGATAGTAATTATCTCAATTCTTCTTTTTAGTTATACTAAAAAAGATTGTGCATAGTTTCACTATTTTCTCAAAAAGGTATGAGATCCACTCGGCCAAAACTTCAACAGGTTTGGTTTTGAACATTCTCCTTTTGATTTTGAGTGAGTGCTATTGTTGGAAACGAAAAAGAAAGAATGAAAGCATTTTATTCTGTACACCTTTAATTATTGCCGGTCCAACCGTTTTAAAGTTCCCTACCAGTACCAGCCCCTTTTACCTGAACGGCTTTAAGATGGCGTAATCCTCTCCATCCTTCTTGGTGAGTTGCGCTTTGCTCTTAGGCTGCCTCTCTCTGGGTTTGAAACGACAGCCCGTCGTCATTGGCAACAGGCGGTAGGTGCCGGCCCTCAGATCTTGGTTAAGACAGTATTTCTAATCACAAAATATCAAAAAATACTACTAGTATTCTTCTTGCTCTCATCGTTCCGACGTGCAACATTACACTTCGCTTCCTGAACCAACAACAATCTAGTTTCTTGTGCATCGATGGTAGGGCTGTGCATCGGAACCGGGTACCCGAGTTCCCGACCGTTGATGTCAGGAACCGGTTCCAGATTATGGGATCGGGTACCGGACACCAACTTTACAAATTACTTTAACTTCTCAGACAATGAAAAAGAAAGGTTTTGAATGTCATTTGTGGGGAATTTTCAAACTGAAAACCAGGCTTCATGGGAAAACAAAACATATTTCACGTTTATGACGCTCGCCAAAGTTGTAGTCTACACTGAAAGCTATGACCACTGTACACACTTGTATCTTGCTGTACTGACACACCGATTTGGTAGTATTGTCGTGCGGACCTTTATGAACAATCTGAACAGCAACTTCCAAGATTTAAATTTTGGGGTGGGCTTCTTTAACGGGTACCCGGATACCCATTTTTTTTTCAATCGGATACACCTCAGGTGATATGCACCCCGAGGGGGTTAAAAACCAGCTCATCCCACATCACAGCAGTCAACAATTGTTTTGTTATATCGTGCCAATAAGTCAAAATGATAAACAGTTGTAACTTACTCTGCAAGAAATAAATGAAATCAGTGGGATGACTGCAGATTTTCCCGCCGGACATGACTGAACGGTTGCGCATTGCATACAGTTCTTAGTCGCGAGCGCGAGTGCAGGTTCTTCACGCGGGTGCGCAGCGTGTATATGAGGTTAACCATTGTATATGTGTTTTTACAGAATGGACACGTGGCCGTTCTCGACCAATGAAATTACAGTATCCAAGCAAACAATATAACAACAGACAATGACATACCTGTTGGCTTTTCAGGTTTGTAAAGGCGACCAGGTCACCCAGCGTTCCGTCGTCTCTTTGCCGCACCAGGTAAACGCGAATATCTGGAAGAGGCCCGTCAGTAGCTGAAAATATTAAAGCGACGCAGACAGTTGTGTTGATGACACCATTATTTTGTATTGATTTAAGTTGCACACTATTTTGGTTGAGAGCCCGTCACTTGGGTGGTTTGAAACGGTTGATAAAACACCGGCTGGCTGGCTTTAAACACTTTCCTGGTGTCACATGAATTTTGGACTCCTATGAAATTTGTTCCAGTTTTCTTTATTTCTTGGCAGATCAGATCCACAGATCCTTGTAAATGACAGATCCTTGTAAATGACAGCTTGCAGATAGTTTTGTACGTACTAAACAGGTGCAATTTCAGCTCAAAAAAACGCCGCAAATGGAAAAGTGATAATAGAAAGTCTTTTCTCTGATCTGACGGCGGTGCTACGTGTATTAAACTAACACGAAAACTTCAGTTCGGCCACTGGCTTTGTGCTTTATCTCTTTAAAGATCCTTCTTCAAAATACAATGAGACATGATCTACGTAGAATGTTGATTGATGTTTCTATGAATGTGAGCGATCCATCCATGTATAAGAGTTCCACTTTGCGAGAATCACTCCTTCACCGCACACACTTTTTACGCCGCCATGCTTGCGTTATATGACTTGCTTTGATTTTCAAGATGGCGTACCCTGATAAAAGTCTATCCCCTAAACTACTCCAACAATCACTGAACTAGTGTGCATTAGGTATACGTTCCATGACCTGCGAGTAACGTAAGTTCTTGATCAAACCTGCGCCCACCTGTTTCTGGGTGTAAGTTCATAGGCTTGACCGTCAGCCACAAGGCAGTGGACGTGGAGACCTCCAGCGCGTACTGGTGGGACACTAGCTTGCCGTGTTCAAATAGACAGCACCCCTTGCGGTGGGTCTGGTTCCACGACTTCAGGTTCCTGGGCTCCGTCGCCTTGGGCGCTACCTTGGCGACCGGGGGGAGGGTCTTGTTGATGGAGGCCCGTTTCCGGGGATGAGGGGTGGGGCTTGTATCTTTACCTGAAAACAAAAAAAAAACACAGAAATTGAGACCACAACTGACTGATATTTTAGAGAGTTTCAAAGAGTTAGGAGAGGACATAAGGCATTTAAAAATGCAAACAAGTTGTATAGCGCCTCTTAACTACTACCTAACATACTACTACCTAACATAAGAGACAATTTACAAACATTAATGCATGTATGTGGTTTCTTCAATAAACAGCACGGTCAATAATGTCCTAATGAAATTGAAATCAGCAAATAGCTGAATTTGTAATTTAGCAGAAAATGTGTAAATTTAAATAAATATTGCAATTTTTAAAAAGTGAAATCTTACGTCAAAATTTTGCAAGATTGTCAGCTCTCTCTAATGGGATCACAGTTGCAAATCAATAAATGCAAAACTTAAGTAGATATTTTGTGAGGCCCGTGAATTTTGACGTTAAACTAAAAAAGTTCTTTTTAATCAGGATTTAATCTTTCAAATGGCAACACCCAAACTCCACACTCGATGCAACAACATACTTATACTAAAAAAAAAAAATATCTACCTAATTTTGAGGCTGGCTGTGCTTTCTCCTTGGTTTTCCTCTCGGTTTTCATCTTTTTGTCAATCTTCTCCTTGGACAGCTGGCGACACTTGCTGGCCGTGGACATGAGCATCTTGCAAAACTGTTCAAAGGGATATTGATTGGCAATTGACATGTGATTTCACATGTGATTTGACGTGTAATTTGACATGTGATTTTACAAGTGATTTCACATGTGATTTGACATGTGATTTGACGTGTAATTTGACATGTGATTTCACATGCGATTTGACATGCGATTTCACATGTGATTTCACATGTGATTTCACATGTGATTTCACATGTGATTTCACATGTGATTTCACATGTGATTTCACATGTGATTTCACATGTGATTTAACATGTGATTTCACATGTGATTTGATGTGTAATCTGACTTTTTATTTGACATGTGATTTGACATGTGTTCTGATTTGTGATTTGGCTTGTGATCTAACTTGTGATTTAATGTGTGATTTGACATGTGATTGACACAATTACAATTTCGGTTCAGTACCTCATTGTAGTTGAGTTTCCTGTCCCCGTCATCGTCTGCCTCGGCTATCATGGTCTCCACCTCTTTCGATGTCATCTTCTCCCCTCGCTTTACAAACCAACACAAAATGAAAGACGGTCCAAGTAACGTAAGGCCACAGAATAACAAGAGAGCAATCTGTCTACTGGTTAAAGGATATGCGTTTTTATCGTTTCCAATAATAACACCACTCAAAAATCTAAAGAAGAATGTTCAAACCCCAACCTGTTAATAATAAAAATAATACCAGGTTCTTATATAGCGCTTTTAACTAAGATCAAAGCGCTTTACATTATTATTACCCCTAATCATTGGGCCAATTAAACATTCCATATACCATCTCAGCTCCCTGGGGAGTATACAGCTCAATGCAGCCTGTTAGGCGCAAGGAAGCTAATTCAATCACAATAACCATCTCTGCCCTCACAGGTACCCATTTACTCCTGGGTGGAGAGAAGCAATGAGTGACAAAGTGCCTTGCCCAAGGGCACACGCACCATGACCCCGCCAGGACTCGAACCCACAACCTGCAGCTTTACCCGCAGACCACGAATCAGTGCCCTTAACCACGAGGCTTTCAGCTCAGTGGATATTACTATTTTCGAGAAAACAGTGAAAAACCACGCTCAAACTTTTGATCACGAAACACGGTTTCCTCAATAGCACTCTTTATTTCCAAAAATCAGTCCATTGACTGATCGTTGGAATTCACCTTTACATTTCTTGATGTCTTCAAATGACAGCAAGCCAGACAGAATAATTTCACAGGCTGTTTAGTACCAGTACGATCTTAATTCTAATTCAGATTTTTGATGATAATTTGGTAGGTTACTTACGTGATAACTGCAAATGATCTCATATGCCTTTAACGTGGGGCTTGAAAGTTAAGGCGCAAACAATGTGCCACTGGTTTCATCAACAGTGGAGAATTTGAGAGAAAGAGATTGTCCTACCTGAGTTAGTACCCTTGATAGCTCGTCATGGGTGATGAAACCGTCGCCATTGATGTCAATCTTCTTGAAGGCGTTCAGGAGGTCACTGGTAGTGGTGGGTTTCTCCTTGCGCATGATGTCACAGAACTCATCGTACGTCAGCTTCTCTGTGGTTCAAAGTGCAAGACAGCAACAATCAGTGGGAGGTGAATGGTTCCCTGTCCCATCATTGTCAAAAATACACTTCAGACTATCATCTGCCGGAACACCCCCAACCTAAGCAAAAGTGGCAACTTGCATCAGCTTCATCTCAGAAGCCCGAGAACAATAGAGGCCTTTTACCTAAGTTACTCTAATTTTCTAATTTTAATCAGTTCGCGCCGGGATTATTTTGACATGACCAGACCCAAGCGCGATGCCTCGAACCACGATGCCAGACGGGTTCAGGCCGTCATCTGCGGGTAGCACACCCCGATATTTCCGGCCTCGCTCGCTGCGAGCAAGTCGCTGACAGATATTTCCGGCTTTGCTCGTTGCGTGTTTATCAGTTATCCGTTCCGAATACCGTAAAACCTTGCGTGTATACACGTCATCCGATGTGAACTGGTTAAAGTTGAACAAAGAAATTGAATGGAGTGAGGTTTGAACCTGCAACCTCCGGATTACCGTCCCGGTGCTCTACCAACTGAGCTATCCAGCAGCAAGGATGTATTCAAGTCCATCACAAGTCCAGTCACAAGTAAATCACAAGTCCAATCACAAGTTCATTCACATGAAACTGTGGATGGGCAACAACAAAGGAATGCCCTTGTCAAAGCTCATTTGAATAGCTTGCGAGTTGAATTGGGACTGGAGGACTTGTGATGGACTTGCAGGGACTTGTGATGGACTCGACTACATCCCAAGTCCGTCGACTACATCCACAGTCCCAGATTCATGTCTTATCATCATTTCACCCCCACAAGCAAGCCACTTCACCCCCACTTGCCTCTCTCCACCCAGGAGTATAAATGGGTACCGGCATTAGCTGGGGAGTAACCTGCAATGGACTAGCATCCCATCCAGGGGGAGTAGAAATATTCTCAGTCGTTTCATGCTACTGAAACCGGAGATAAACGCCGGCCTGATGGGCCACATTGGCTCGTGACAGACTTTACTTACTTGTTTTGGCAGTCCAGTATTTATCCAATGTCTTCTGGGAGGGGTTTCTACCCGATTGATGCAGAACTGGAATAAACACACAAAAATTAAAAGTGTTCAAAACAATTCAATACAAATATTTTAAGGAATGCCTTCACGTCCGGCTTCTTAACCCACAAACCAATTTTTACAAACTCCTGGGACATGTAGTTGCAATAATGCAAATTGCAATACGTACTTCAGGCCAGTAATTTAACACACACACAAAATATGATTGGCAATCAGTTTGGGCCGGCGCAATACAACTTAAATATTTGAATATTCAATCTAAGTCCCAATTAGCATACTAAATTATTCAAAAATAATTACGGAAAAAACAATTACAAACAACACATTATACCTGATGAGAGTTGGCTTCTGGATGTGATAGCGTCGTGCGTGTCGTCCAGCACCGCCACGTAAGCTGCTTGGCATTCCTCAAAGAATTTTGCCTCTTTGCTCCGCTGACTGTCGCCCTCGCCTCCCGTGTTGGACCTCCGGCTGCGCCGGCTGGCTATGGAGGAGGCTCCGCTGTCGCGTCGACTCATCGCTTACTCACTGTATTTGAAAATAACCCAAATGAAGTGTTGTTCTGTTGATGGATAATGAAACCTGTCTCCCCGACGCTGGGCTCTAAATATCCACTGGACTGCATGACCAAGTCCAGTGATGATAACCCTAACTCTCTAAGGTGATTTACTAGGAACCTTCCTCATTCTTGCAAATCCCAACAACATGTGGAAAACTGTGCGCATAAACAGTTGGACTCTGTTTATTTGTGGTATGCCTAATCCAACGTAAAACAGTCAGTTTACTAGTTCAGTACTCATCCTAACAGATTCCAACAAACCCTGGTGTTAGAGTTTAGCTAGCCCCATAAAATGTGGCCAATTTACTGGACTACCTCCGTAAATAAAGGCCACACTTCCACCATGTACAAAAACATGTCGAACTTTGTCAAATTTTGTTTTTCACATTATTTTAGGCTTAGTTTGTAGTTTATTTTTGCTTTCGAAGCATACTCACCCTCTTTATAGGCTAATCAGAAAGTGCTGCCTTTTTCAGATGTCTATTTTTCGTGAAATTTCCAGATTCGTTTGCACACGTTTGCATATCAAAATTTCAACATGAAATTTTACGGAGGTAGTCCAGTAAATTGGCCACATTTATGGGGCTAGAGTTTAGCTGGTTGGGGATCCCAAGGGTTAAAGGTAATATTACAAACATTTGCAAACATCAAAAAAAAAAAAAAAAATTATTATGAAATACCTTATTTGACTGTAAGTGAATGATACTCTCAAGTATCCTGTAAAATCATGGCACCTGGTGGTATACCATGTATACTGTCATTTTTAAGAAAAGGGAAATTTTTGTATCAATTTCCAACGATGGTCTGCCGACCATTGTTGGGGGGAAAAATGACCTTTTTTTTCAAATGCTGCCCTCAATTTTAATACCAAAATTAGTTAGTCCACATTTTGTTTACAATGATGATAGTACCGTGAGCATGCACGGCGCGCTGAATCGCAAGGCACGCTGAATCGCAAGGCACAAAGAGTAGTTACGCCGCCAGAAATACAAATAAAGTTTAAGGATTAGTTGAAGGCACAAACCGCGCAGGAAAATTGTGATTTCTTCCCCAAGAAACTGTTCAAAATTGCAAAACGGGTGTCAATAGAAGTGAGAAAAGTCTGCTTTTGATTGTACAGGTGATTTTTGAGCAATAAAAACATTTTTGACTCTAATTTGTGTTTTTATTCCTCCATGATTTGATCAAAACATCGCCGAAATTTGTATGCACTTGACTCTCCATCATCATGATCATGTCCATAGACTTTGTACACAACCACCATGACAACCAAAGAAGTGGCGTCTGGAATCTACATTCTTTCCTAAGCGACACACAAACATGCAGATTAGCTGGACAACTACCTTGCATACCAACACCGTGTAAAGTTATAAGAATGCTTGTTGAACAAGAGATTTGGCATGTGAAATACCGCTGATTTCTCTACCGGCGCGGCCGTTCACTTCATCAGTCATCGATAAGCGATGTCAACGACGCCCTCTAGTGACAGAATGAAGACATGCAGGAACTGCGGATACCAATTTTTAGAGCAATGCAGTGGCTTTGAACCCACGACCTTCTGCTTACTAGTACAGACGTCTTACCACTGCTGTTTCAAAATTAATTAAGTTAAGTTAATTAATCGAATAACTTGTCATTTTTGGGCCGATTTTTTTTTCATTGGAAAGCTCATAACAAGTGTAATGCTACCAATTCAATCTGCCACACTAAAAAAGCACGTATACACCAACTTTCAATGCTTTATCTTAAAAAAAAATGTTTGTTTGTTTTTTGTCCTAACGAGTTTTCAGTTATATTGTTTTAACAAAAAAAAAAATTTACTCCGATTTTTGGCGTCTGAACCCTGATTGATTAAATTAGATTAGATTAGATTTCTTTATTGTCATGTTCAAAAATACATGAAAATTTCAAGAGCCGAATTATTGTCTGGCAGATCCGGACAATAATTCGACATTTGTGTAGAAATAATTAATAAATGAAGTAAATAAATAAATAAATAAACGTTGCTGGATTTCTTTGTTGTTCAATGTTTCATTCAAAAGTGAATAATTTTATTTTGCTGAGAAAATAGGAATCGGGAAAACAAAATCTATTTTTCGGGGTGAAACTCGAAAATAGCAGGGAGACTCGTCTGTAAAATAACTCGGGGGGGGGGGCATTCGGGGGTACAAATTTTTTTCTTTCAAGGGGGGCACTGAAAGCATATATGATACATTTTTTGGTTTAATTTCAGATTTTAAATGGGGGGGGGGACACCCCGGGGGCCACGGACATCTGCTGGGGGGCACGTCCCCCCCCCCCCCGTGCCCCCGTAGTTACGCCCTGCCTCATAGCCACTCGGTCTCGTTCCCTCTTAGGAAAAAAAAGCTTCTGCCTTCTGAGAAGTGCCCACATTTTCAGTAAGAGATGATGGCAAAGTAAGATCAATTTTGCCGGAAAGAAACCCGTTTTCTTTTCTTTTTTTTCATTCCTAAAATCTTGTCAAGTCTGTGCTTAATTCGAGTTCCACCCCGCATGTACGTATATTTTGCTACTGATAGAAAAGTTATTCACTTTTGAATAAATCATTGAACGCAAATAAGAAGTCACATACGTAGGACTACGGTTATTTCACTAATATTCGGCTCGTATAGGGCTGTGTGAGTACATTGTATTTGTGAGTTACATGCGCAAAAGTGACGCAAACGATTTTTTTCTCCTGAGGGTTGCAGACGCCAAAAATTCGGGAAACAAAAGTAGTTTTTCGTTAAAATAAAACCAACAAATTCCAAATTAGTAATGAGAAAAAAAGTGAGAGCACTAGTTATCAATTTTTAATAAATTTCCAAATGTCATTAAGGGAGGGAGGGTGCAAATTGCTAAATAGTAAACGTGATTATTGAATTTTCACGTCACTGAATCATGCTTGTTTCTCCTCAAACTTATTTTTGTCCATTCTTGTTAATTGTCAAACTTTTTTTCTGAAATTAAAAGAAAAAAGTTTCGACACAATATTCCATATCTCAGACCAGAATCAAATTAAAGGAAGTATCATTTTATTATTATTATTATTATTATTATTATTATTTATTCGTCAAACAAACAAAGAAACAAACTAACAACAAAAATACCAAAATACCAAAAAAACAAAAAAACAAACGAAAGCCAGAGTCATATGCCTGGAATTGAAAAAGTTTACCCAAAAACTGTGACACGAAGGCCTTCAATTCCAATACCCCTGGCTATACATAAAAACATAAAGACATAAATAATCTATAAACCACTTAAACTACATTAGATTACATAAATTGCTCAGCCATTCATGATTGTTTTTTTCGTCATAATTATCGGAGGTCAAGAGAGCGCATTGCTAGCCGTGTGACCTTCACAATCGGCAGACGAATTAATCCGCACATGCGCAGTTCAATCAAAACATGGATCGCCATTTTGTAGACATACAAAATTTTATACACACACGGCGCGCGCGGTACGGACACGTACAACCGGAACACCTCTATGAAAAACCGTGCGCAAGGCTTCAAAATGGATTTAATGTTGAACACGAAAACGTCGGCTTTTGAGGAGAATTTCTGGGTAAGTACACTTTGTCTTCCCATATTGCACTGATTAGATGTTTCATTTAGTGCTGAGGTCTTTGAAAACCGGTCGCAAGATGGGAAAATAACGGCCTGTTTTGACGCCGGTAGGCGGTGCATTTGCCTCGTCTTTTCACCCGGTGCTGACCGGTACGTGTCGCGGGTGTTTTACGGTGCGTGTGTTGCCGCCTACACGTCTTCCGGTATTGGTGCCGTGTATATATCGGTCGTATTAAAAATAGGCCTACCCAGCAAACTGTGCGGCGTATTTAGTTGATGAGGACAGATCACTAATTGAACCATGATAGTAGGGGAAAAATTTTGCAACCTATAACGCCACTTCAGCGGTTGTGTACAAAGTATATAGATAATGGAGAGTCAAGAAAATTTTCTTATTTCCTAACAAAATTGGAAATATTTCTCAGTCCCAGATTCATGTCTTATCATCATTTTTGCAAAATGAATGACCTTCAATGCTTCATTGAGATGATATATGAAGAAAAAAGTGGCGTTAGGTTGCAACATTTTTTCCGAAGAAAAAAGTGGCGTCAGGTTGCAACATTTTTTCCCGTAGTAGGCCTAGCCCTAGGGCCTACTGGAAAGATGCCACTTGTTTACATCAGTTGAATGATATATCGTCAGACCCCCTAAAGCTACGCCATGTTCACGGTCCTTTTTCTACGCACTCATCTTCAATTTGTGTGTGACAACGCGCGCGCGTTGCAAGCGTTACCTGCGCAGATTATGGAGGGTCAAGGATATTAAATATTAACTCAATGAATGTCAGTCATTGCAAAAATGTTGAAAACACATGAATTTTGGGACTGAGGACTGAGAAACACTGATGATAGAACAGGACGTGTGGCATGTCCGTCATCGTGCCTGACATCAACACAAGTAGTGCAAGCTTCAGTCGACCAATGATGATGAATGAATGATGATCACTGAACATTTCCAATTTGGTTAGAAAATACTTTAAAAATGCACAGGATGCACTCAACTCTCCACAGACTTTGTACACAACCACAATAGTGGCGTCAGGATGCTACATGCTTTCCGTAGATTTAATCTATAGATTTAATTTATTAAAATAGACTAGTAATACTACATGTAGGTTTCAGGTTTCAGGTTTTATTTCCGTACCAGGACTATTAATAGTAGTTATATTATAATTTAATATATAAGGCTGTAAAATACAAGGAAAAGAAAATTTGACGGAACTTGAAAGTTTAAATATAAATAGTAGGTCAGACAACTTGAGAAGCCAAGAAGCCAAAGATTCTACTGACTGTCTGCCCCTGTCTCTGACAATACATGTAGTTATAAAAATTCGCGGTTAAATAAAGTAGATGTTATAAATAAAAGATATTAGGTTAATAAATTCATGAATTCATGACCTAGTAAAAATAAACTAATAAATTACCAAATTACCATCCTTAAAATTTTCAATGAATATTAATGTCTTAATTTACCATCCTTAGAAATTTCAATGAATATTAATGTCTTAATTTGGCAATTAAAGTTGGCAATAATTGGAAAGAATGTGATATCCAGACGCCATTTCTTTGGCTGTGTACAAAGTCTATGGAAAGTTGAATGCATTTTGAAAGTATTTTCTTACAAACTTGGAAATGTTTCTCAGCCCCAGATTCATGCATTTTAAACATTTTTGCGATGGGTGACTTATGGCAAAAACTAGTGTCGTCAGGATGCAACATTCTTTCCGAATAATTGCCATCAACCACAGTGAGAAGTATTTCTTTTAAAATACTTTTTGCATGCTCTGATTGAAGTCATTGGGCGGGAAGATCAAATTTTGTTCCAAAGGAGGGGTCCCTGGTGTGTAACAGTTGAAAGGTGTAGAGATGTTCTAACTATGTAGTTTATCCGATGACCTAGTGTCGTAATTATGAATACATTGTAATTCACTTTTGAATGAGACATCAAAACACGACCCCCCCCCAAAAAAAATTGACCCAAGTTCAGTAATCGAACTCTTACTTTACAAATTTTTAAATAACTTACTGCCCGATAATAATTCTGTTGTCGCTGGATAGACTGCTTCCCGACCCAGAATCAGTCTCGATAATGTATGGACCAATGGGTTTGTGGCCAAAATATAAACCTTTTTCTTTTTTAAGGGTTGCAGACACCCAAAAAAGAAAAACAAAAGGACTTTTTGGTTGGAACTTGGAATAAACATACAAGTTGAAAATTTGTTAAGAAACAAAATTGAATTTTTGAAAGGGCACGGGAAATGCAACTGTAACAATTTAACTTTTCCGAAATACGTACATTCTTTTTAAAATGCAAAAGGAGGGAAGTCTTTAATTTGGATCTCCTCCTATATACGTTCGACCTACGTAGTCTCAAATGTCAAAGTTAGAGAACAGATCGATTGGTACAGCTTGCTACACCGCCCAGACCACTTGTAATTGTTCCCACAATGAAATGTCAAGGCCTGGTCACTCAGTCATAGGTTATGTCAGAAAAAAAAGAACCGGTTATGAATACAAGGTCGAGCTGAATGAACTCCCAAATCAAAGGAAGTCCAACTGGATTGCTCAGGAAGGATGCCTTTAATCGTAGCCCGTTTCCAGGTAAACAGACCCCCCCCTACCTGCATTGTTATGTGAAGTCGAGGCTTTATAACAGCAATCTGAGTGACCTCAGTGAATTAGGTTTAGATTATTAACAAAACTAGGAGGGATTATCCATTCCTTGCTCTATGGATTGTCTAATTAGTGTTGCTGACAATGGCTTTGGCTGTGATTCGAAAGGAAAGATAAAGAGATTTATGTACGAAGAATGAGGGATGGGTCTTCTGAAAGAGATTTATGTACGAAGTATGTGGGATGGGTCTTCTGATGTTGATCATGTACTGGGTAGTGGTGTCACGCCCCAACTATCGCATCGGTCCCAACTATAGTTGGGACTGTCCCAACTATAGTGCGGCAGTTGGGTCGGCCCAACTATAGTTAGGACTGGAGTTGCGCCGGATGCTTCATGCTTGATAGATCTTGTTGGATTAAATGTTCCGCGGCGCTGGCACCGTGTATTCGTCGTGCATGCATGCCGCAAGGCTGGCCGGTCACGTGGTACTGCCTAGTTGGATGAGTTGTCCAGCTGCTGCTGGGTTTTATTGTCCAGCAACATTTTGCAAAATTCAAAGATTGCCATGGCCGGCCAACTATAGATGGGCCCCACCCATAGCTAATGTCAAAGGTCCCAAGTAAAGTCGGACAGTATGTAACAGAGCTGTAGGGAATGTTTTATAGTCGTACATCAATGTAAACTATAGTTGGGACCGCCAAATAAAAATATTGCGGTGGCCCAACTACAGATGGTCCCCACCCATAGATAATTTCATTGGTCCCAAGTAAAGTCAGATGTGTATTAGAGTTGTAGGGAATGTTTTATAATCGTACAACAATGTACACTATAGTTGGGACCGCAAAATAAAAAGATTGGAGTGGCCCAACTATAGATTCGCCCCATCAATAACTAATTTCAGTGGTCCCCAGTAAAGTCAGACGTGTATCAGAGCTGTAGGGAACGTTTTACAGGTGTACATCAATGTCAACTATAGTTGGGACACCGCAAAATAAAAAGATCGGAGTGGCCCAACTATAGATGGGCCAGCCCAACAGTGGAACTTACAGTTGGGACCGTCCCAACTATAGTTGGGACAGGCCCAACTATAGTTGGGCCAGCCCAACTGTGGAACTACAGTTGGGACAGGCCCAACTATAGTTGGGACAGGCCCAACTATAGTTGGGACCGATGCGATAGTTGGGGCGTGACAGTGGTATTCTGCGGATTCTGACAAGCGATCCAGAAAAACAAGACGTTTCAAAAGTTGGAAGACCACACCAAATTGTACCACAACTATGTACGGGGACAGAACAGGGATTGTGAAATAAACCCCTGCAACAAAAGAAAGTCCGCACACATTGGAGGGGTCATAATTTTGAGTCTGATTGTAATATGATAATGTCATTTACAAATAGGGGAATTTTGTTAGCTACATTTTGATACCCCGTGTGCTACCAAAGACTGTAAATCATCCAAGATTGAGAACGGTTTATGATAAATGATGCAGTTTGAAAAGTTTTAAATTTAAAGGATTACGCGAGTGGAAATTGTGGCGTGACAATGTTACACTGCCCGAAACGAACGCCGGGGACTATCAATCGCACAGTGCTTGTATGCATGAGAGCACACTATTTGAATGAATGAATGGGCCAATTACAGGCGTGTGTTTGGTTACGCTGAGCAACTTATATCCTTGCATAATCGTTCGAATTTTGAACAAAATTCCCAAAGGTCTAGACTCTATACCATTACCTGTAAATGACGTCATCATAAGACGATCAGATTCAGCATTTCGACCCCTCAAATGAGAGTGGAGTTTCTTTTTCTGCGGTGTTTGGGTTTTGTAAGGAGCAAAAAGGAAAACATGGGAAAAGAAAGTCCCAGCAACTTCGTTCAACATTGAATGCAGTTCTTGCCACAGTAGGCCCTACTACCAACAAGGGGGCGGGGAGGGGTGTTTGTTTGTCATGTTTGTTGTTGGCTCTAGTTCTAACAGTTGACTAGAGACGAGTAGTCCAAGTCTATACCTTCCTCCATTGCCCAACCAACCTGTGTTTGAGCAAAGTTAATCGCAGAAGAGTAAAGCACGGTACTCGCCTGAACTTGGTCTTACAGTAGTTTTTGTATGGGTTAACAATTGACAGACACAGCCTGAGGTATCCAGACCTGTCTGAGCTTGTGATGACTCCTTTGTGTTTTCGAGATTAACATTCTTTCAATTCTTCAACCTCAATGCCAGCTTAAAGTGTTTACGAAGCTCAACAAACATCAGTCATTCTTAAATTTTGTAAGAATTTGCAAACCTTTTTCGAGACAATTTTTGACTTGAATTTAAAAAAAACCTCAATTAAAGGGCCCAGCCCAATTGGGCTCCAAAACGCATTTTTAATGAAATCGTATTAAAAATGGAAAGATCATTTAAAAGTAGAATATGAACGTCCACACAACAATCCTTTGAAAACTAGACATTTTTGTGTTATTCTTGCGAGAACCATGCGAGAATGAATTTTGGGGGTCAAAATTTGTCCCCGAAAAATCGAGCTGTTGAGTGCTGGTTGTGATCCAACGTCACAGTGGTTCGCATTCTGCGGACGTGTAAGAAGCAACTTTTGTGTATTGGTGCTGTGTGTATTATGTGTCACACACACAACATATGGTTCATTGACACGACTTGAAATACTTAATGGGTATGCCACAAAATGTCCGTCATGTTCGCTGTAAACAACCGGGTTTTTCCGTCTTCTCCGGAACGGTAAGACATTGGGTTAGTTTCCTTTCAACCAGACCTTTGAACTAGTATTAAACAATCCCAAATATTAAATTTTCGGGGGTTGGCTATAATGCCCCTTTAACTTTAGCATGAAAGATTTCTAAACTCACTAATAAGACCCTGAATCAGCAGAAAACGATGTTTACTCCCTGTAAATGCTTCAAACCGGCATTCTGTGGTTTTATTTACAATGTATTCATCGGTTAATAAATATACAAATGTGATACAATTTAACGGTTAATGGGTTATGAAATTTGAAATTCAAATGATAAAGGACTCAACAAACTTATACCAGGACAATATGCTCTTGGCTTTCTTTTGGGAAATAAACATACAAAATAATACATGTATGTATACGTGTACTACAAAATATTGACTTTTGAAACTTGTAGCAAACGTGAGCAGCACTTTCGTGACAATGACTGTTTGAACTGTGCGTTAATCATTAATCTTTATGGTAACTGATTTATATTTACACACATTTTGTTCGTGATGCAACATTGCAATTCTGGCTCAGGAATTTGGTAATTTGACCTCCACCTGAAATCGGTGTCACGGAGTTCACAGTTTCAATAACGATCGTTATAATTCTTTTAAGACTAAACCATCAGCCCTCCTGCTATCTGAACAGTCACAGACAGTCAAAAATTCAATCCTCTTCCTCTGCCATGCTTTTTACACAGGCTAGTCACCAACAGTCAGATCAGATTTCAAGCAAGCACTGTGACTAGTCAAATTCAGTCAAGTGGTAGGCACAGATGGTTAAAATCAATCAGTTACAGTCACAGCCAGTCAATCCTGCTTTAGATAGGCTTGGAGAGACTCTCTTAACTGTTAATGAAAACAGTCACTTGATTGATTTTGACTGAACGGCACAGAATGAATGTTTGCATAGGAGGATTAAAGGGACATTACAACCTGGAATGCGTTCAACTGGGCTACAAAACATGTATTTAAACGAAACAGTGCTAAAGTAGGATATAAACATCCACACAACCATCTTTTAAAAGCTGGGCCTTTTTGTGTCATTCTTGCGATAAAGCACAAGAACACATTTTGTGGGTCAAAATTGTGAATATTAATAATTTAATATTTTGGTAGGAATAATTGTTTTGAGTGAAGAAAAAACTCCGTAAGTTAAAATAAACTCAAATTTTGACCAAACGATAATCTACATACACAACAAAAAAAGTGATTTATTGAATACAAAATCAAACGAAATCTTTGCCTGTCTGGTATTGTTTTGGTTTTGTTTTATTTATTTTTAGAGGATGATTTTCATTTTTATTTTTAGCACCTGAAATTAAGTCTTTATTCTATGAGACCAAAACTAGCTTTACAGACATTAAAACAAACTTTAAGTTTAAGTCAACATGTCTGTCAGTTGTACAGGAAAAAAAGTGACAGCACCGCAGGGTGCCGGAAGACTTACATTTAGTCAAAACAAAAGTGATGTCAAGGTTTCTGGTATCAGGGAAGATTGATCTTGGCCTGATATATTTAGTTGTGCACACATGATTATTTTGAGTTGGTAGGGACTCTGTTGATATGTATTCACTCATGGAGGCATACATTGTAACTGTACAAAATCATGACAATGTACATTTAGTGTACCCGTAGTTTATACGTGTACATAAGCCCTTTTCACACTAGACAAATCTCGGGGTTGACGCAGGGTTGACGCAGGGTTGAAAACATGCATCATTTCACACTTAAAGAATTTCAACCCTGCGTCAACCCCGGGATTGAGTTTCCCCCAGGTTGAACTCAACCAGCTGCTCCAGACCAGGGTTGAGATTTTCAACAAGGGGTTGAAATTATTGCAAAATTGGCCAGAGTTCTAAACAGTAGTAACTGAGCATGATAAGCCTGATTTGCATGAAACAAGTGTGAAACGATGCGGGGTTGAACACAGGGTTGAAAAATCTAAAACTCAACCCGGGGCGGAACTGGGTTCACCAAGGGTTGTGTTATACCCGGGTTGAGAGGCTCTAGTGTGAAAAGGGCTTACATGTAAGAGCATCAAATAAAGTCCTCGAAAACTGCTACACTGTACATGTACATGTAGATTGTAGGTGGAAAGATCTCGTAGTGGTTATGTCATGTTACATAATATTGCAATAAATATGACTTTTAAAAAGGTACGGTAACATGTACAACATTTGCGTTTGCTGTGATTTTCAGAAATGGATGGATTTGGGGGTTGGTACCGGTATTTCATACCACGAAATGTTAGCAAATATTGTGACCTATTTAAAGTATTGTGTCATACCGGTAGATGCTGGAAAAACCAAGAAAACAAATGCTGTTCCCGTACTCTTGTTCCCTGACCCTACTTCAGACAAAATGGGGCACTTCATAGACATCAGGGAATTGTCAGGTCTAGGGAACCAGACTACCAGTAGCTGGCTTGCACCCGTTCACAGATGTGTAACTGATTGCAAACAAAATGTGAACTGACTATAAATTTGTAAATTTGGGGGGGGGGGGGGCAGTATTTGAAAACAAGTCAGTTTCTTTCCAACGATGGTCGGTGGACCATCGTTGGAAATCAACTTCCAACGATGGTCGGTGGACCATCGTTGGAAATTGATTTAAAAAGTCTGATTTTCTCGAAAATGACAGCACACCAGGTGCCATAATTTCACAGGATGCTTGAAACTATTATTCACTTACAGGCAAGTGAGGTATTTCATAATAATTTGGTAGTTTTGTTTCTTGAAGTTTTGAAATATTACCTTTAAACAATTGTTTCTGTTTTCGTTGTCGTTTCAGGGGGAAAAGAACCAGGGATTTGCATGTCTCTACCACAACATGAAACACGGGCAGATTTCCACAAGGGAATTAGCGGACTTTATACGAGAAAGGTAGGATTGAAAACTGTACCATTACTTGTACTTGCCTGGACAATAAAGGTCAACAAAAACTGGTTAACAAACACAGAAAAACAAACAACTTGACATCACCCCCGTAAATTAAAAAGGTTTGTACTTTGACACCGCAGAGAACTAAGTACGTGTACATATGTAGGGTGTTAGTTTCCATATAATATACATGTACATGTATGTCAGTGGCAGAAAATCACTTACATATTACTATTAGTGTGGCATGTTCATTGTAAAGTTTATTCTGGTTCAAGTCAACAAGTACATGTACATGTGTATGTCATTACTCACTGCGTTTGAATGTTATCAGATGTAGGAAACTACATGTATTTACGCGATACGCATGCATGCAACATTCATGTATCTCAGGTACGCTTAATGAGTGAAAGGGGGGGGGGGGGGCACTTTGTGACCAAGGCACCTTTGCAATTTTTGCATACTTTGATACAATTTTTGTACCTTTAAGTGTGACGTTTTCAACTTTTTTGGAGATTGACCCACATCAGTTCGGTCACATGACAGGCCAGTCCAAATTGACCCGGGTAAGGTGGCAATCCAAGGGTAACTTTACCAACTCTGGTTCAACATTTGCTTTTGCTGCAATTTGCAAAAATAAATGGATTTGGAGTATTAGTACATGTATGTTATAGCAAATATTGTTAAAATGACTTGGTTCAAGTTTTGGGCTTGTGGATGCTGGAAAAGCCAAGGAAACCAATCATGTTCTTTTAGTCTGGTTCCTTGACCCCACTTAAGATGAAACGGAGAAATTTATAGACTTTGAGGAATTGTAAGGTCAGAGAATCAGTCTGGCAGGCTTGTACCCCTTCACATGTGTGTAATCAATTGCAAAGAAAATGCAGAATAACTATTATGAAAAAAATTAGAAGCAGTTTTTGAAAAAAAACAGTTTTCTCCAAAGCTGGTCGGCCGACCAGACCAGCATTGGAAAAATACAATTTTTTTCTTGAAAATGACATCACACTAGGAGCCACGATTTTACAGGATGCTTTAGACTCATTCCCTAACAATCCAGTAAGGTATTTCGTGATAATTTGATCATTTCGTTGATGTTTGCAAATGTTGTATCGTCCCGTTAACATGTCAACCCGATTCAAATCAACCTTGTTATTACTAACCAATTGTGTATATCAGAAACAATAAAACCATGTCGTTCAACTGTATGTGTACATCGTTAGTGCTACCATGACTACTGCATTTGTTTATATACTGTGTTTAGTTTTTTTTTCTTCATATTTCCTTTTAAATTGAAAAAAAAGTTCATCTCTGCAATTGGAGAAGTCTCCAATAAGCATTACATGTATGTAACAATGATATCATTCGTTCACTCATACTCATGTGGTCACATTTATCTAATCACCTGGATGTGGTCAAAGGCATTTACCCTTGAATTGTACAAACAGAAAGGGGAAGAGAACCACAGTATACAAATATTGAGTGGCTCAGTGTGAAATGGGAAAATCCAGCTCGGTAAAATCTGGACTTTTCCAGTTCACGAGGTGAAACTGGACAAGTCCAGATTTTACCTTGCGATAATATTCCTCCCATTTTACAATTTAAAGCCACTCAATATTTGTTTTATATAACTGACACATACATGTACACTGTAGATCCGTGTCATTTGAACTATTATTTCAATACAACATTGATGGAAAATGTACTTCTTTCTTTCAAACCACCCCTTCAAGAAAATGTTTGAACCCAACTCTGTAGCGCTGGCTCTTTGGAACAATACGCGCTACGCTGAACGCGCATGCCAGCATGCATTTGCACACAAATACCGCGTCATGGAACAAGAATGATCCTAACTGTTCAATAGTATTTCCCATTCCTCATGGGCGAATTGGACTTTTTGAGCCCCGGCGTCAATGAGAGCAATAACGAATGTCACATGATGTGAGTTCCACCAATCAAATGACAAGGATCTGTATGTCAGTTATATAAAAATAATTATCTTAAACTTACCTAAAAACTGAGTGAAAAGCATGTTATCTTATGCTCCCTAATATTGTACGTGTGTGTGATTGTGTATTCAGCGTATTCAATTTCATGTGTGTGACTCATGGTACAGTCATATTACCATATCACATTAACATGTAACCAGATTCCATAGAGAACCGCAATGTGGGTTTTGTGGGTTGTCATGTGTATGATTTCCCTTTTGTTTTCAATGAGGAATGAAATGTACTTTTAACCCTAACGCCCTAGCATGATTTACTAGGAACCATACCCATCCTGGCAAATTCCAACACCATATGGGAAGCTGTACACACATATTTCTGACGTTAAAGGGAATATACATTTGCAAACATTGGAAAACAAAACTACCAAATTTTTACGAAATAGCTTTCTAGGATGTTGGTAAATGAAAGTCTGAAGCATCCTGTAAAATTATGGCACCTGGTGTGAAGTCATTTCCAAGAAAAGTGGTATTTTGTATAAATTTCCAACGGTGGTCGGCCGACCAGCGTTGGAAAAACCTCACTATTTTTCAACTACTGCTCCAAATTTACCCTTTTTTCAGTCCAAATTTTGTTTGCTATTGGTTCCATGTTCATGAACGGGTGCAGACCAGCTACATGTAGATTGGTTTCCTTACCTTACAATTTTCCGGCATCTATAAATTGATGCATTTTATCTTAAGTGGAGTCAGGGAACCAGACTACGTGAACATTTTTGTTTTTCCTGGTTTTTCCAGCATTTTCGAACACAAAACTTCAAACTTGTCAGTGTAACAATATTTGATCTATTATACTTACCCCTCAAATAGTTCATTTCTGTAAATTACAGCAAAAGCAAATGATGTACATGTACATTCCCTTTGATTCTGGAGGTGTGCCAACCCAATGTAAAAGACTGTCAGTTTAGGGGTACTGTACCCATCCCGACAGATTCCAACAATACATGCTGTTGGGGTTTGATGGGTTTGCTAGGGTTTTACATTAGTGTGAATTATGCCAGGTGTATGGTGAATTACACATTGTAGGTGCTACGGTACGAGAGGCTTCAAGATTTAAACCTCTATCAACTCATTTGAAGATTTTTCTACATGTTTACTGAAATTTAATCCGGAATACTAAACGTACATTTGTAGTGTTGATTGGTCCTAAACTTTAAGGCTTAAAAGCAGGCATGATAGTTTTCTTATTTTAATACACGTAAGATTTCCAGTACTGGTATTTCTCCATTCATTTCCTATTCTTTCCTCTATTTTCAGAATTTTTGTACTGTAAGAAATTACACTTTTGGGATCTGCAGGATACTTTTTGTTATTTTTTCCTGAGGGTCAAATATTGTACCGTATGCGTGAAACAGTTGTAGTATTGTGCATGTATCATGTACATGTACATGTGTATATAGTTTACATACATGTACATGAATACTTTACTGTGTTTATAATGCACATAATTATACACCTGTGGCCAGGCACAAATGATCGTCTGTCCTCAGAGACATGTACATGTACTTGTACTTGTACCGTATCTGTATGTGCAGCACTCTCTAATTAGCATTCCTCATACAGCACATGATTCCATATGTCCCCGTTTCCATAGCATTTGGAGACATTCCGTACAACCACACGGAATCTCACCGGTGTATATTCAGTATCTAAGACAAATCTGAGTGTCGTGATTAGCATCACGATTGTCTAGACAAGATCTCCATTCCCCGCCTACATTCAATTCCATTCAGATTATTATGTACTGGACATGCATTGACCCTTGTACATAATCACCCTGTATACAATTATGTACGTACGTGTACATTGTACATTGTACGTACTACAGGTATGTACTCCACACACAATACATTAGAGTACATGTACATTAGAGTTCCTGTGCATGTGTAAACTACATACGTACATGTATGCACATGCTGTGATGAAATATTACATACATGTATGGAAACATTTGTCAAATACACCGTAGATACATACTGTACATGTGTATTAACAAGGCTGGCTTTTTTTATTAATTATTATTATTATTATTTTTTTTTACTTTTTAAATTATTTTTTTATAATTTTTTTTTTTTTTTTTAGATGTAAATATGTTAAAATCCCCATGTTTTGTGTACATGTTCATGGATCTTCATAACAATGTTTTCAGGTTTATTGTATACATGCATGTACAAAACCATACATGTAGGCCTACCTGTGCTTGAATGATGTACAATGTGTATATGTAAGAGTGCATTGTGTATATTGTGTGTGCAGTGTTCACTCTTGGAATGGGTGAATTATTGCCTTTCTGAGAACGTAAATAATTCATATCCTTCAAAAATTTATGATATGGATCTGACAGCAGTGTACCTGTAAAGGGGAATATGCGCACATTATACTCTGTGCATGTGCATCCATCTGTGAACATGCATGACACATGTACGATGTGACTGCCATGACTAGCTTTAATATCACAACTATAGGTGAATTGTATGGTTAATTAATACGTGAGAACATGTGCGAGTTAGGCCCTCTGCACATGTACATTAGATTCTGCAGGGGCATGAACATAGCACATGTACATGTACATTCAGACACATGTACCGGTGCGTTTAAAGGGCCAGTGCAGCGTAATGTTTTTAACATTGGGTTTTAAGACTATGGGGGATCGTGCATATATTTGCACAAGCCGCTCCCAGCTTATGGAACCAGCTACCGCCTGAAATTCAGTCTCTTCAGTCTCTAACAGTTTTTGAGACTAAGCTTAAGGCTTTTCTTTTTACAAAAACATTCGTATAAGGTTTTACTATTACAATGTATCTATTTTAAATGTAGGTCTTGTTTTTGTAATTTTAAGTTTCATTTATTTTGACAGTGTTTTCTAAAATATCTAGTGTTTTTTACATTTAAGACTAATGTTTAATTCGAATTCGTACTTTTATTAATATTTTAGCTACTGTTCAAATGTTGTAATGCGCATTTGAACATTTTATGGTATATGCACATATTAAATAAATGCAATTTTATTATTATATTATTATTATTATTATTAATGCGATCCTTGAAAATGTAGCTTTGCGTCCCATTTATTTTCCATTTTCGTGTTGCCATTTTCAAGGGTATTTGATGCCTTATTGGTGTTATGCTTATTGCAAATTTTCATATTCACGAGCAAAAGTGTGATGTCATTTTTAGGCAGAAACCTCAATGTTACAGCTATTTCAGCACCAAAAAAAATAAGTTGCCAAATTTGGGATATTTTGCTGGACATCGTGAAATTTCTTTCTTTTGGTGATTCATTGTTGTGTCAGTACCGTACATGGCAAATGGTACATGGAAATTTATTTTCTTCCGTTTTGAATCATAACCAATACGATGAATATTTTGATATCGACCATCCAACAGTATGTCCCAAAAAGTGTTCGTCTGACTATTTTTGAAACAAATACGAAACTACCTATGTAGAGCAATGAGCAAACTTTTCTCACAAGTCTTGTAAGTGAGCAAATGTTTGGGTTCACAATTTCAACAAAATCCTTTTATAACTGAGTGTATTGTTTTACTGTAATGGAGTACCTCTTTCCATTTAATGAAGCTCCGTAAGGCCCCAAAAAAGTCTCCGGTTTCTGGTATGCGCGCGCGTCGTGGTAGCCATGCGTGTCGGCAAAATTTTTTTTTTTAAATTTCAATGTAAGATGATGTCTCAAAACCGCCATTGGAATCTGCTGCTGCACAATTTTAACGTGTTTTTAGATGGGGTTACGATCTAGTATAAGATTTATGTGGCCTCTCTTAGCTCCCATATATTTTGCCCAGAATTTAGTTGGGCACCATTTGCAGTCATCAGCCGACATTTGAAGAAGGAAAAAAAAAAAAAAAAAGCCGCGTTGCCGCACCACATTTGGGCCAAGATCCATACCAGAAACTGAAGACTTTTTTTTTTTGGGCCTAAGGGTGCTCCACCCCCCCCCCTTGCAAATCGGACCCCAATCAGTGTTTCAACTGTCAAACAGGCATGAAACTACTACTTGTTTATGTAAATGTAGTGCCTGAGCGCTCCACATCTCAATCCTGCTTAAATCCCCCAGACTCCCTGGTGTATTTCGGAGGGCTTTTGGGAGGGTCAGGGTTAACGCATTTTGTCACTTTGAAAATGTCAACCAATCATCCGAGACTGGTGAGATGAATTGTGAACAAGTGCTATGAATTGTGAACTGGTGTTACTTACGATCCATTCATGCATCAGGAATTCAGATTGTATCGGCACTCAAGAACATTTGAAAGATTTCCATATAAGAAGTTCACTAATTGTCCTCTGTATTGACTAACAAGCCCCCAGATAGCAATTTCATGTCATCAAAGTCAATTTGAGCAGTGAGAAAATACAAGCATTTTCTTAGAAAACACTTAGAATTTTTCAGTCCACTCTCATTCATAGGGTTCGTACACAGGATGTTGAGTGAACTTCTTATATGAAAATCTTTCCAGAACATTTAGTAAAAAAAAGAAAATGGTGCTGTTCCCTTTTTTGAATAATTGTGCTTATTGGAGCTTGCATTGGATGGAATATATTCAGTTATTCAAACATTGATCTTGAGCGAAATACTTTTTATGAATATCCGAATTATGAATATATGAAAATGTGTTTTGAATATTTTTTTTTCAAGGTTAGCAGACTACCTGATGTTTAATGGATTTGAAGAATGCAAATTAGGGTTGATATTCCTCTCGGAAGCTCTCAAATTAGGCGTGAGTGGCTGTCCACAAGATTTTGCACTCAGTAAACCATTCAATCCGATAGTGTTCGAAAAGTCTATTTGGTGAAATGCTCGTTGGATATCCAGTGCATTCGACACATTTTTTCTCCGCAGTTTTTAGTTTAATTCATTGATTGGTTGATTGTTATGGGTTAGTCTGAGGATACGACATTCACATACCGGTACATGTGCAGAGCCACTGTCGAACGTCTGATATATCCTAGCATGTAAATTTTATGCAGCCAAGTCGACTTTAGAAACTGACATCATTTCGATCAGAAATGTGGACTAAGCTGTTGATTGGTCAATTTGGATGCTATGTTTTTGTAATATAACAACGGGTTATGGAAGACCCGATATAGAAGGCGCCTGCTGAATGGTCACAATCTCGAGGTCAAGACGCAGTCTTTTAAGCATAATAAATCGCCGAATCTGCTTGCATGTCATAGACCTTTGCTGTGCAAGGGGATATTCCATAGTTTCATAGAGCTGCTTAAGCAAAAAATTTGCTTAAGCACGAAAAAACATTGCTTAGTAAAACTAGGTTACCGGCCAAAACTCCATGTGATGTACATTGCTTGTGACCGGTATTTTATAGCTGTTGTTTACTTAGCATAACAATCGCATGGAGTTTTGGCCAGTAACCTGATTTTATTAAGCAAGACGTTTTTGTGCTTAAGCAAATTTTGTGCTTAAGCAGCTCTATGAAATTAGCCACAGTAGTTTAATGGGGAGAGGAGTATTCAAAATCGAAACATTTTCCCAATTTAAGCTTTTTGTATAATTTCCACGATTGATTGGCATTTCGGCCATTTTCCCTCCTTTTTTTTCAGAGCTGTAATTGAAGAAGTCTATTCCAAGAGTATAAGCAAACAAGCCAAGACAGCAAGTAACAGCTCCTGTTTAGGGTAAGATCACTAATTTATCAAGGTAAAGAAGGCCTTTGTTGTATCCAAGAAGGCATGGAAATGGCTGAAATATTTCCATAACTTATGGTTTAGAAGATGTCATGACTGAAGAAAAATTGAGAACATTGCTTAACTCGAACTCAGGATACCTCCCTTTTTTATCATTCCCTTGAGATTTGATTTAACAAGAGTTTACTTGTACTAAAATACAGCTTGTTAATGGCTCTGGAAAACAAAATCTGCTGAAAATCTTCCTTAACCCTAACCACCCCAAGCCCATCAAAATCCATCCCCCCATTTTGGTGAATTTTGGGGGACTTGGTCCAGAAGGCCTGGCGTGACTAAATATTGATGGATTATGATGGACTTGGGCCTAATGGCCTGAAGCAGTGCTAGGGGTATCCAATTGATTTTGCCTGGCTTCCTGTACTGCTATTGTGATAAAAGCCATGTGTAGCAAGTCCATGAATGTCAACCAGTGCGTCAGTGGTGGATTCCATTATGTCATGTACGGTTTTGTATTGGACGCACAGTGATCGATGGATTTTGATGGACTTGGTCCAGTTCTTAGGAAAAGACGCTAGGGAGATACGGTTAAGCCTGAAATCCCTTGTGCATTAAAATGTCTGTTTCAGCAATATTTTTCTTGCCTTCTTGTTGTTAAAATAGCACATTTGCGCCGTTCTGGCAACTGATCAAGACTGCCACCGACAAAGTATCCGCTGCCCACCACAAACTGATTCAGAAGCTCCAGGACATCGTCAAAGAAGTGCAGAAATATGGAGAGGAGCAGCATAAAAAACACAAAGCGGTAATTAGCCATGATTTCCTTTCCCTGTTGGTCCATTCTGTGAATCCAGGGTCCAATGTGTGACGTTCTTCCTGTCCCCATTTCCTGGATTCTCTGTATATAAATTTAATCCTCCTATGCAAACATACTGAAACAGCTTTGACTGTGGGTAATTGATAAGCCAGCTGTGCCCACAACTTGCCTGCTTTGTCTGTTCATGGTCTGTTGACTGAGTTTGACTAGTCGCAGTGCTTGCTTGACATATGATCTGACTGCTGGTGACTAGCCTGTGTTCAAAGTATAGCAGGGAAAATGGATGGATATTTTGATGGGTCAACAGACAAAGCAGGCAAGTTGTGGTCACAGCTATTTTAACACTCACCATGAGCCAAAGCATAGCTGTATCAAGTTACATAAACAGTCACAGCCAGTCAATCCTGCTTTATGTTGGCTGGGAGCTCTTAACTGTTGAAAACAGTCACTTGATTGATTTTGACTAAAAGGACTACTTGGTAAAGAATGTATGTTTACATACATGTACATGTAGGAGGGTTAATATAAACTCTTGGTTTCCCTTAGTTAAAGCCTGCAAAATTGGGTAAAGGTTCTAAAGTGTTCAAGTAAAGTACACAACCTTTATACATGTAAATACAAAAAAGGGAAATGTTTCTTAAATGAAGATAACTTACACACCCCAGTGTACCTTGTATTGTGTTGGATGCAGGATCTGGGCCCAATTTCATGTCTCTGCTTACCACAGAATTTCACAGTTACGATCACCATTTTTTGCTTAACAGTGCTAGCAGAAAAAACTTTGTGCTAAGCCTGTAAGCACAGGATCCTTAATAGTTTGTACGCATGCGCAGAAACAAAACTTCCTCACTAACCTGTGAACTACACTTACAGTAAGCACAGAATTTTCTGCTACAGTAAGCGGGGATTTTTCGCTAACGGTAAGCAGAGCCACGAACTGGGCCCTGAAGGCAAGAAATGTAGCCTGGACATTTTGGATTACCAGCAACATGTACAAGTGGCATGCAACTTTTCCTCGGATCCGCTGATTTCCTCGTTTTTTAATTCTCATGAATGCCATTACAAATTGAAAAACCACTGTACAAATTCTTGTGTGGTTTAGAATTTCCTCCTTGTTTTCTAAACTCTTTCTTTAAAGGGAATATACAACATTTGCAAACATCAAAAAATAAAACTACCAAGTTTTTACGAAATACCTTACTAGGATGTTGGTAAATGATAGTCTCAAGCATTTTGTAAAATTATGGCACCTGGTGTGAAGTCATTTTCAAGAAAATGGTATTTTTGTATACATTTCCAACGGTGGTCGGCCGACCAGCGTTGGAAAAACCTAACTATTTTTCAATTACTGCTCCAAATTTACAATTTTTTTCAGTCCAAATTTTGTTTGCTATTGGTTACATGTTTCATGTACGGGTGCAGGCCAGCTAGACTGGTTCCCGTGCCCTACAATTTTCCATCATCTATAAATTGATCCATTTTATCTTTTGTGGAGTCAGGGAACCAGACTACTTAAACATTTTTGTTTTTCTTGGTTTTTCCAACCTTTTCGAACACAAAACTTCAAAAATGTCAGTGTAACAATATTTGATCTATATATACTAACCCCTCAAATAGTTCATTTCTGAAAATTACATCAAAAACCAATGATGTACATTCCCTTTAAGTTTTGTTGAATTACGCTCTTGAATTTGGGGTGAATTTTGTTAGATTTGGAAAATTGTTGTTGATTTGGAATGAATTTTTTTGCACACTCGTCCACAGATCAAAGGTGAAATTCAGTGCACTGCCGACGCCGTCCAAAGCCTACAGACCACCCTAGACCTACTCAACAAAGCAAAGGAGCTGTACAACACGCGGTGTATAGAGTTTGAAAGACTCAAAAAAGAAAACGCCAGCACTAAAGAGCAAGAAAAGGCCGAGGCCAAATACAAAAAAGCGAGTGAGTATGATTTTACGAGTCTTCATGTGGTCGACTTTAACTCTCTCAAATCTTCCAAAATCCATGGTTGAGGAAGGTAGAGCCCAGTTTTCGTGCTGCTCGGTGTACAATGTACTTTGAAAGTTGAGAGATTGTGTCATTGGATTCCTGCAGACTTGAGAAAGGCTGGGAAGGTTCCTTGCAAAATAGCTAGGAGTACGGGTTAAGTACTGGCTATAAACCAACCCTCCCGCCCCCCCCCCCCCCCCCCAGACAAGATTATGCCATATTTTGAAATGGTCATTTATGGAAACAAAAATGCCAGAACCTTGCAGCTACTACTGCTAGTTATACCCTCGCCCATGGTCATCGCACAAATAGTGCCCTCCACAGGCAGATGGTGTCCAGCCCCCATTCCCCAGCCCCCCCTTCCACCCCCCCCCAACTATCCCAACATAGTTTTTAGAATTGCCGCACGATTCCAAAGAAAGCCAGACAACATTATTTTCAAAATGGTGGGCTGAGGTGATTCAACGACTGTTTCGTGAACAAACAAAATCATACACAAACAGCTGTCGTAAATGCTGTTATTACTCTCATCCAAGATGTTTAGATTACGTAAAACGTTGCGCAGCTACGCCAAGTTTTGTGAAATGGATCGTAAGTTTATTGCACGCAGCTGCGCAACAGATTTGTTGCATAAGTCCTACGCATGGCGCAAGCTTCGCACTTTTTTATGAAATTGGCTGCAGGGCCCAATTTCACGGCGCTGCTAAGCACACAATTTGCTGCTAACACAGCCTCCGTCTATTTCATGGAGACCGTAAGCATGAGCACAGCAAAAGACACGCTTACTTCAGAGGAAAAATTTGCTTGACTTAGTGACGTAACAATAGAAATCTCCATGCACGCGTGACCGTTAGCACGTCCACGCTAACGCTAAACACAACTTTTCTGCTAACTGTTAAGCAGCGCCGTGAAATTGGGCCCAGGTTAATCCAGTAAGTTAGGAGTTTGCAGCAGTTTGATTCGTCTTCAGATTAATTAATGCATTGTTCATTAGGCCTACTATTGGTTTAATTGCCTCTGTTGTCTTTTGTGTTTCCTCCTATGTTGTTTGCTTGATGCACAGTGGAGGATTACAAGACGTACGTTGAGAAATACGCCAACCTGAGGGCGGATTTTGAGAAAAAGATGACCAAATCGTGTCAGGTAAAGAATTTCGAGACTTTGATGTGCATCGTTTAGAAGTGAATGTCTTGCAAGAAGTCTTGCATGAAAGTCTGGCATGAAGTCGATCAAATTGATCCCTGGCAGAGCTTAAAAATGCGATGCCGATATGGAACACCATACTTTTGGTCAGTGTTAGGGGACAGACAGACAGACAGACACACCGACCGACCACCAAGTGACATATAGAAGCTCCTGCCAGAGCTTATAAACGAAACAATGGTGACATGTGTTAAAAATGCCAGTATTGTCACCGACAATGGATATTTTTTATGACAGTGATAATGTTATTAAAAAATGCTACAATGTACTACAGTGAAATCTCGATAATTCAAAACAACAGACTGTTTAGTCAAGCAAATAAAGAATCCATTGCCTTCAGTAGTATAAAGATATACAACCCTGCTTAACTCAAAACTCTTTGCTAAAGGCAAATTTTGAACCTGTTACCTTGAGGTTTGACTTATCAAGATTTCACTGTATTTTGTTTTTGTAGTTTTAGACGATGTTTTGAGGTACTTGTACTGTGAGTTCATCTGATAGATCCAACCACAGAGGAGTTGCTTACTTTGTTATTTTTTAAAAACTTTTTCATTGTCATTTTTTTTATGTCGCCAGCAATTACAATCTATAGAAGAGGGCCATCTACAACAGCTGAAGGAGTTTATCAAGCAGTACAACATAGCACATAGGGAATGTGGCTCCAGTGTAGAACAGGTGGGTTCATCGTCTTCTAGGCCAGTCTCGGATGTTTCTGTCTGTCGTTCAAAGTATCGTAGACACTTATTGATTTTGCCGTTTAGTTACATATAAGTTATAGGTAAAGGCGCTGTGTCATCTGATGAAAGCAGCTATTCATTTGCATGCAAAGTTTTATCAGTGTCTTTGTGTTGTCATTCAGCACTCAGGATTTAAAAGTAGGGTAGGTCATTTGTGCATTTTTGTTTTCATTATAGGTAACAAAAGTGCGCAAAATCTAAAGAAGGATGCTTAACTACTAACCTGATGAAGTTTTAGCTCAGTGAATGCTGTATATTCCGAGAAAACAATATTCTAGGATCTCGATCTCAATTCAAAAGTTGCTGAGTCATGTTTTGAATTGCGCCAGAAATTAGCATCTGGGACACGTTCCTTCTGGCATGCTATTTTGAAGAAAACAATAAAAGAAGGCCATTTCCAAAGATAGTCAAGTGATGCATTTTTGGAAATTTTCGTTAGTAGTGAGTTTGTATTTTGGTGAATGGGGGCGCGCAAGCGTTGACACAATGCGCACGGTTGCTATTATTCGTCAGTTCAGTGTGTGTGACATCGCATAGCTGCAATCAGCTAAATGAGAACGTGTCCCGGATGCTGATTTCGTGCGCAATTCAAAACATGACTTGCCAACTTGTGAATTAAAATCAAGTTTCTAGCATACTGTTTTCTCGGAAAATACAGCATTCACTGAGCTAAAACTACATCAGGTTTGTTGTTAAGCAGCCGTCTTTACATTTTGAGCACTTTGGTTGCTTCCAAAAAAAAAAAATGCACAAATGACAAATGATCTACTCTACCTTTAAAGTGCAGAATTAATATGAGTTTCTGGCACATATTGATTGAGTAACGAGTTATCCTGAAGACAGCACTTTTTGGGCACATTTGTCAAATGGTTTGTCAGGATTGAGTTTCTCAATTTGAGCGATTCACAATGCAGTGCACCACCAAGAGTTTGCAATGGAGATTTAATTTTTCCCATTGCATTCTGGGTTATGGTCGATAAATTCGCAGAGCAGGACATTTGAAATTGTTCGTTTTTTCAGTCAGCGGTTTGTAAGCGTATGAGTCCAGTATCTGTTTGCACTTTTCTTTGCTTTTTATCAATACAAGTGTTTTTTGTAAGGCGGCAGAATGCTATGCCCAATCTATAACAAATTAGCTCAAGTTGCCTACTGACACTCATTCCAATGGGCTATGTTTTGTCGACCGTAAACTGGAAAAATGGACTTTCCATGGCAAACTCTTGGTGGCGCACTGCATTGTGAATCGCCCGAATTGATAGCATTGACACACAGTGCACCATGTTTTTGGGCTCACTCAGTTGGCAATGCAGGCCAAGTTCGGGCAAGGACCATTAGTCGACTAGTGGTTGATTTGTGACGTAACTTACGCCTGCGCACTAATAGCAACGTGCGAACGTCTCTAGTCAAACGCTGGTCAAAATGTCATCGCAAAACTTCTGGGTCCTGGCTCCCAGCTGTATGTTATGCATGTGCACGGCTATTGGTTACCAGCGATGCAACAAGCCCCAGTAGGTTGGGAGCAAATAGTCGATGAGCGTAGTCAACCACCGTCGACTAGACAGAGTTTGGGCTAACTTTAGTCGAACTATGGTTAACCAATGGTCAACAATAGTTCTTACGCGAACTTGCCCTCAGAGTTGTATAAACTGTGCCGCCATTAACATTGGGGCATCATGACTTACCGGTACTGTGCATACAGTCACAGCCTTGTGAGATATGCCAAAAAGCCCTTTTTGTAATCCTGCCACTGCAACAATACAACTAACGAGCTAGTCCTTCTTTTGTCTCAGGTTCAGGGAGAATTCAGCCAACAGTGCGAAGACCTCACGTCGGTCAAACTCATCGAGATGTTCTCCGAAACAAAAGGCACGGGCAAAGAGAAGCCAGGTAAAGGCAATGGAGGACGTAACAGGGTTAGGAATATAAATAGGTCAAAGAGCAATTGGAGTGGAATACAGTCATTTAATCTTTACTCAGTTTTGTAGCTAAACAAATTTAACATGCAGAGTTTAAGTTCGTAGTCGAGATGAAGACACATAAATGGGATGTGTGCATAACTGCATGTTGCCTAATTACAAGGGCGTCAATCGCTTTGAAAAGTGAGGGGGGGACATACCTTGATCAGAATTAATACGAAGTGCGAAGCCCTAACGGCGTGGGGTATGGACAATTTTGGATTCTATACGCGCTGATGCGATCTGAGGCAATTTCTGGCCACTTTCACTATTTTCTTTTAGCATAGCTGTATCAAGATACTTAAACAGTCAAGCTTGTCAATCCTGCTTTATGTGGGCTGGGAGCTCTTAACTGCTAAAAACAGTCGCTTGATTGATTTTTGACTGAAAGGACAACTTAGCAGAGAATATATGTTTGCATAGGAGGGTTACTCCTTGATTCTGATTTAATGCATAAAAAGACGTTTTTTTCTCTATTGCTCCACTTCAAGGTCCTGTCGTGTTTGAAGAGTGCGACGTCTCCAACATCCCGAGCCCCGACCCAGACAAGAGCAAGAAACGAAAGACGAAGAAAGAGAAGACGAAGAAAACAAAGAAGGAAAAGGACGAAAAGGACGGGTGAGTTGATTTCAAGAGCAATGTTTAATGACAAGGGGTCATCAGTTTGAATCCGATCGTCTTAAGCCCGGTTCATACTTCATTGGAAAGCGAAAGCGAAGCGAAAGCGAAGCGAAAGCGAAGCGAAAGCGAAGCGAAAGCGAAGCGAAATTTGTGACGTCAACAATATGTTTGAAGCACGTCCACCATTGTTGACGACACGAATTTGGCTTCGCACATACTTTCGCGTGAAGTATGAACCGGGCTTTATGATGATGTCATTTATATAGACCTTTAGGGAATTTTGTCGCCTACATTTTGATATCCATTTGCTACCAAAGACTGTAAATCGTCCAAGATTGACAACGGTTTATGAAAAATGATGCAAATTTAAAAGATTACGCTAGGTCATTCGAATAGCCGTGTGCTCTATGCACACAAGCACTGTGCGATCCATATTCCCTGGCGTTTGTTTCGGGCAGTGTAACAAGCCTAAAGCTCGCAAGCCTAAAGAAACCCGCAGAGAGGAGACAGTGAGAAGAAGTTACAGTTTTAGAGGTGGGAGGAAAACCCCAGAAGAACATTCTGGAGAAAACCCACGGAATCAGGCAGGGACTGAAAACCCAATCCACATGTTGGCCCAGGCGGGATTCGAACCCAGGTCACTGCGGTGGAGGCCCAGGTGGGATTCAAACCCGGGTCACTGGGGTGGAGGCCCAGGTGGGATTCAAACCCGGGTCACTGGGGTGGAGGCCCAGGTGGGATTCAAACCCGGATCATAGCGGTGGAAGGCGAGGAAAGTACCACTACATGTACGCCAACCTGAGTGTCCAACATCAGTCTGATTACTGTCCATAAAACCACGCACAATTTTCAATAAAAAAATTTGAAGAAAAAAATTGACTTGAAACACATTTTGTAGACTTAACCTCATCCCCACCCTACATAGTTCATCTTGAAATAACAAAATGTGCCACTACTGACAGTACTCGGAGCAGCCGACAGTTTGTTCCGTTGCCTCGTTAGGAGATCATTTCCTAGTTTGATAAATCAATATAAATGCACCTGCTTTGTGCAATCGGCGGCATTGGGCTCACATTCACACTCATCCTCTCCCGTCGTTATTCCTGACATTTATACGGAGTCAGACTGTCTGATTTCGGAGCTAGTCTCGGTGATTTTCTTTTCCTGTCATTACACCCAATGGAGTACTTGATAGGGAGATACGCCCATCAAAAGTTGAATCACCTCAATTATGGAGACGAGCAGAGCAATGGGGAATCATTGTCTGGGATTGCGTGCATTCGGCAAGCAAGTGATATCTGTTCTGATTGGAACTCCATTTGGATTGAAGTGTGGAATTATCCAAATTTGCTGTTGCACTTTAGAGGGCATTCCCTCTGCACCTAGACATGGTGGATATTTCAGAGATGCCAACCGTTACTCTTTTGGAGTAATTATTAGGATTTTGAGGCATGTTTACTACTCGTGAAAATTCCAGCTGTCCTATACGCCAACATTGTGGTTACTCTGAAAAGTACTATGGTTACTCTTAAACTTGACTGTTTGCCTATGTATTTACATTAGCATTACTCTTTGCAGGAAGAATCATTACTATTTTGTAGTCTGTAAAGTTGTCATCTCTGATATTTGAATGATAATGACTTTTTTTTCTGTTTTCTTTTTCTTTGCAGGGATACTCCAGACGCGGTGAGTCTTACACCTTTCTATTTATTCCTGTAGTTTAGTGATTTAGTGAAGTTCTCTTCAAGTATGAATAATGGAAAGTTATATCTGCAGTTTAAGCAACTAGAACTAGCTACGTTAAGTAAAAACCCGAAATAATAAGTGTACTTTTGCGAATATATGAGTGTAGTCATGAGCACAAGTAAAGATGACCTCAACTTGCCTTTTTTTTAAAACCAAGTTGATTGAAGTTTTGAACTTTTTAAATTTTGTAAAAACGACATATTTGTAAATAACCTTGTGTGGAAAAAATGAAGTTAACCGCATTTACCGTTTGTCTTTTATGACGTTTTTACTGCGGAACACTGATCTACGTTTTTGTCCACGAGGCATCAAAATTTTGCAAAAGAGCAGAAACAGTACAAAAAAGACATTAGAGACAACACAGATTTAAAACTGATTGCACTTTAGCTTATGGTTTATTTGCCTGTTTCACTTCTTAATGTTTATGCAAAGTTTCTCTGGGCTATACTGTAGTGACTGTGTCCTTCATTGTTCACACAATTGCAGCTCTGCCCTCTACTTGGCAACCCTGCAAGGCAATGCATGTCTCGGCTCTAGACCTCATGGAAAGAACAGCTCTGGGGGACACATTTTGCGCTCTTATGCAATTTTTAGACGCCTCGTGGACAAAAAACGTAAATCAGACCCCGTAGTAAAAAGATTCACAAAAGACAAACAGTAAATGCAATTGACTTCATTTTTTCACACAAGGTTATTAACCCTAACTCCCAAGCATGATTTACTAGGAACCATACCCATCCTGGCAAATTCCAACACCATATGGGAAACTGCACACACATATTTCTGACTTTGATTCTGGAGGTGTGCCAACCCAATGTAAAAGACTGTCAGTTTAGGGGGTACTGTACCCATCCAGACAGATTCCAACAAAACATGCTGTTGGGGTTTGATGGGTTGAGTTCTGTTAGGGTTAACGAATATGTCATTCTTACAAAGTTTTGAAAATTCAAAACTTCATCTTGGTTTTGAAAAAAAAATGATGGCTCTTTTGTATTATTGCAGTTATTTTTTACTCACCCTGTATTATAAATGGATTGAGAGCTAGATAGTGTGGCTACAGTGTCCAACAAGTTTGATATTTGTAGACCAAACACCTGTGGTGAAAATTTGAGTTACGCAACAAACTCCCCATAATATTGAACCCACTATAATCATACATAAAAATAAGCCATTTGCGAATAACCTATACCCTTTGCGAGTTACATTTGAATAACATGGGGTACACTGACTTGCTCATAATGCTTGGCATGTTTTTAACTTTGAATTCTCCAGACCAAAGACACTGTTGCTATATCACATGATTCGGGGCAAGCTCTTGCATAGTTGCGTAAGAGACGCTCAGCACCAATACACTGCTCACAATGGGTGAGAATGGCACAAAGACACCAGACCATGCCAGAGCTGGGGTTGCTAGCATAAGGTTTGCCCCGAATCACGCGATATAGCAACAGTCTCTTTAGTCAGGAGAATTCAAAGTTAAAATGTGCCAAGCAGTCGAGCAAGTCAGACTACCAGATGTTTATCGAATTTAAGTCGCAGGTAGGTTATTGCCACAAGACCTCCAGGCATCTTGAACCAAATTCTTGTGTTGATGAGTCCTTTCTTGTTCCTCCCATAAACCCAAACCGTTACCCATAATTATGTACTTTTTCCGATTGTTGTTTATGCTACATCTGTCGCCGTTATTCAGCTCGCTTCCAGTAAACCCACAACAATCAGTACCATATCCCCAACCACCCCTACTGACGCCTTCATGGTGAGTGGGTGTGCAACGTTTCTGTGCGTGTTTGTCACTTTGTGTGTTTCGCACCCGTGCCCCCCACAAAAAAAAGGTTAAAAAGTAGTAGCGTAGAATGCGCATTTTAATATTGTTGCAGTTATATCATTGCAGTTGTATGTACAGCCTGTCTCAAAAAAAATGGTTAAATATGAAATTTCAAAATAAGTCATTCTTACTTGGCATAATATTAAAGAACAAAGACTGGGCTTTCCAATAGTGTTTGTTTGATCTTATTTGCTTTTGTCAATTCAGAGATATAATCAATTTAGTGCGATACACCAAAATCGATTTTTGTGCCACTTTTATGCATGGGCAGAGTTGTTTCGAGTACTGTGCCATGCTGTCTTGAAGCTCACAAAAGATTGCAACTTGGCAAAAGAAACAAACTCGATTTTTGTGATCCGCAGTAAACTGGAGTTATCTCTGGACTGACAAAAGCAAATGAGATGAAACAAAAAGTATTTGAAAGCCTGGTCTTTTTTCTTTAATGTGATGCTCAAAACGACTTACTTATGTTGAGATTTAATATTGAAAAAAAAAAAATCGTTTTTGATTGCACCATTTTTTTTGAGACAGGCTGTAGTTTGCTGAAGCACTGAACTACCGATTTGAACGTAGGGGACGTAGTGTAGAAAAAACACACAAATTAGCTGTTAACAAAAGCTATAAAGCAAAAGTTGAAGTATTTCACATTTATACAAAAGCAAAGGTACCAAAAAAGGTACGACTGAGAAATGTAGAGAATTTTAACATAGCAAAATCTGAAACTTGCATTTTGAATTGCAAAAATGGTTGTGCATGGGTGTGCAGTGACATCAAGGTGGGGTGGGCAGTGTTGTGTGGTCAAGTCCACCACATGTCTATCCATCACAAATCCATCACAAATCCATCACAAATCATCCAGGTCCAAGTCGGGTCACAAGCAGGGGTAAAATTTGTCAGGATTTTTCCTGATTTCACAATTTTTTGTCAAAACTTTACCTGATTTCTGGACTTTCCGTCATGATTTTTCCTTCTTTCTGCATCTTTTGTCAGGATTTTTGGGGTAGGATTTTTCCTGATTTCTGGATTTTTTGGTCATTTTTTTCCTACTTTCTGGATTTTGGGGGCTACGATATTTCCTGATTTCAGGGATTTTAGTCAGGATTTTTCTTGATTTCTGGATTTTGTTGTCAGAATTATTCCAGATTTCTGGATTTTTGTCAGAATTTTTCCTGATTTCTGGATTTTTTTGGTCACAATTGTTTTCCTGATTTCTGGATTTGTTGTCAGGAATTAAAAAATAAACCAGTTGATCGTCCCCACCCGCATCCTTTTTTGAATTTTAGTTTTCTCACCTCAAAAAGCTAACTTTTTTTCTTGTATTTCGCTTTAATACAATACATAGAACATGTTTAACATGAATATTTTGACTTTACGTACTATTAGGATAGCTAATTAAAAGCTAGCGGTCATTTTGAACCGAAAGTGGCAGCCATTTGTGAATTTAAATACATGGTGGCCATTTAAAAAAAAAATTAAAAAAAAAAAGGCCCTCATCCTCTTCTTTTTGGAAAAACTTGGACGATCAATTGGTATTTTTTTTTACTTGGCCTTAGGAATATCTTAAAACAAAATGTCTCTTCCTTTTTGAGAAATCTGCCTCTGGAAAAAGGGTAAACATTTTTATGGACCACCATGCAGATTGTTCACTCGTTACCAGAATTGTGATGGACTTGTCATGGACTGGACTTACTACCACAGAGGGGCTAGGGCAAAGTTTGCAGATATGCAAAATTAACAATGCATGGTTTGATATTTGCAGTTGCTGTTATGCCATATTGCCTGAAAGTTGCTACACTGTATACAATTGTAGCAGATTTTTGCAGTGGCACACAACTTTCACCTAGTTAAGCATAACATTTCTTTCTATGAATAGAAATAAAATACAATTTTATTTGCTGGTATATTATGAGTGCTTGTTTGAGAAACACAAACAACAAACAGTATATTAAACAAAAAGTTTTGTTGCTAGGTTTTTTATTTAATGTATTGTTTTATTTTTTGTTACTTTGACATGTACCTTTTATTTGTCACCTTATTGTGCAACTGCTAGGAGTACGGTGTATCATTGTATCTGTCTCGTCTGTATCACCCTATGTGTCAAACTAGTCTGCACTGTTTGCAACATGGTGTGTCACCCCTTTTGTTGTACATACTGCTGTCCCATGTACATGGGCGTTGCGGGGGGGGGGGGGGGGGGGGGCAAGGGGGGATGCTTGCTCCGAAGCCATATTGCGAAGCCATATTGCTGTTAATTTGATTGGGGGGGGAATGATAAATTGAGAATATAATGAAAAATTTAAGGAATTTTGGGGGACAATTTGCTCCCCCCCGGAACAAATCCTGGCGACGCCGTGCCCATGTATCATGCAGTACGTGTACATGTATGTCAATCTGTCCTCACTCATTGCTGAAATGCACACTCACTGTGTAGTTTAAATTTTTTCTCTTCTTGGAATGAAGAAGAAAATGAGACACGGTTTGAGTAAACATGCAATTTTTTTTTTTCGAAGGGTGCTTCTTCGTATCAACTTGTGTCCACGCAGACATCAAATTCATTTTATATTTCAGTTATTTTCTTTTCTAGATTCGTCATTGTCTTTGTGAAGTTAACAAGATTGTGAAAGTTGTTTGTAATGTTTTTCTTTTGTGAGGGTGTTATAATTTTTCTTGTGTGAATCTGTGTAGTAATGTGTGTATCTTCCACTTGTAGACACAGATTTCATTTCAGATGCTGCATATTTGCAACTCTCACGTGATGCTCCGGACGTTTCAAGACAAAATTATTTGTCAGACTCCACTCCTTGGTGTTGTGCACTTTTTTAGTTTTACCAACATAGGAGCGTCTTTGGTCTCTAGAACCTGTGATATTTGTCCTCGGCCTCTCTAACTTTTGACCTTTGACTGTGCTCTCTCTGACCTTTAACCTTGGAATAGTGCCTTTAAGCTGTTGACCTTGGTCTAACCTTTGACCTTTGACTTTGATTTATGTAACCGTGACCTTTGACTCTAATCTCTGTAACTTTTGACCTTGGTCTCTGTAATCATTGACCTTTGACACTGATCTATGTAACCTTTGACTCTGATCTCTGTAACCTTTGACCTTTGACTTTGATGTCTGTAACATTTGACTTTTATTTTTCGACTTTGATCTCTTTGATATTTGACTTTGATCTCTTGACCTTTGACTGTGATCTCTGTAACCTTTTAACCTTTGACTTTGATCTATGTAACCTTTGACTTTGGTCCCTGTAACCTTTGACCTTTGACTCTGATCTCTGTAACCTTCGACCGTTGACATTGATTTATGTTACCGTTGAACTTTGACTGGTCTCTTTGACCTTTGACTCTGATCTCTGTAACCTTTGACCTTCACCTTTGATCTCTGTAACCTTTGATTTTTATCTCTTGACCTTTGACTTTGATCTCTTTGACCTTTGATCTCTGTAACCTTTGACCTTCGATCTCTGTAACCTTTGACCTTTGATTTTGATTTATGTAACCTTTGACTGATCTCTTTCACCTCAGACTTTAGTCTCTCTCATGTTTTAACCTTTGACCTAAGTTTCTCATACCCTTTGACCTTTGACATCCCACACAGTCGCCTAGCCCATCCTTGTTATCGCAGCAGAGCAGTATGCTTCCGTGCAGCTCCATGCCGGATGTGCGAGGGGTGAGTGAGTCCTCAACAACGTGCCTCATGCCTGCTCTTGATGTAAACCGTGTGTCGTTGCATGCATGTGGTTCACAGAATTTGCAAAAAGTATTCTTTGACGAATGTTTATTCACACAAATTATGCATCATTGTTGTTGCACTTTGAAATTGTTGTACAATAAACATATTTAAATTAATAGAGAACTTTTTATAGAATGCCATGAGGAAAAGATGATTTGACCAGTTCATGCCGGGATAATTTTGACAAGAACGGAACGAGACGCGGGATTACTTTTCACTCGACCACAAACCAGGCCTCACTGTATGTCATCCGTTCCAAATACCGCAAAACTTGTGTGTGTTTAAACGGCCTCCGGCGCGAATTGGTTAATGGGAACTTACAAATTTGGAAAAAAAATTGCACAAGAACACAGCTTTGAAACATGTACAACTAACAACATTGCCCCTTCCCCCTATGCAAATTCCATGCCATTGCTGTTCATTAGACGTAGATGCTTTGAGTACAGCATAAATATAGCAGGCATGAGATTTCTCAGCCTTTTTTGTGAAATGCAGCCCTTTGAATAAGAGAGAAAGACATTTCCAGTATAGAAGGAAACGCATCTTTCAGGTCATTCATCCAATTTTCAGACTTTCATTTTAATAAATTGGCAATTTCTTCCCTAAAAATGTCTGGAGTTTCCAGGAAAATAGGTCCCATTATGGAAAATTGAGGAAATGGGGGAACCATTATCGATACAAAATAATTCATGACGAGAATGAAATATTTCATGCGCATGACGCACCGCGGTAGCCAGGCAACTCCACTGTTCACTTTGCCAGCTTCCGTACTCGTAAGCGAAATTGACCATTACAAATTTAATGATCTCCTTGGATGCACGTCTACATGAAACATGGGTGGTATGTGGCTGTGACATAATTCTTTCTGCATGTTGAAATGTTTAATATTTGTGAGTTTTTTTTCTTCTGCAAATCGATTCACTGTGCTACATGTGTTTTAGTTGAAATCATGTATATAATTTGATATTGTTTCCTTTCAGGACGGATGTACATGCACGTTATTTTGTCTTTATTTCTTTTCTTTTTTGAGCACTGTCTAATTTTGTAACAGAGGACTAATGAGAGATCTGGTATCATTGATTACTAATGAATTTGATTGCATTCTCGTAAATAATCCTAGCCCATTATTAAAATGTTATTAAGAAAATGTCTCGTATCCTTTTGAACTCCATACAGAAAGTGTAGGCCACACTGTTTTTGCATACACACGAGTGAATGAAGGACGTATTGCATGCGCGCATTGGTTTACGTTAGCAAATCGCTGAGTTTGCGCGACCAGCTTTCAACTGAATGTGCGCAAAGCTGTAGCATCTTCGAGGGAGAGAAACGCACCTGACTCGCATGCCCTTCTGTCCCAATTTTTCTATTGTGCATTTTTGCATCGTATCTTGTTTATATCCCTAATATGGCGCACTTGGATTTTTCAACTCTAGTGCATTGCTAGAGCAAAAGTTTTACCTCAGATTTCACCGTAATTGAAATTTCACCAAGCTCTAAAAGTTCCCATTCATAAATCTTGAGTTTACCTACCCATTAACAGAGTTAACAGAGAAATTTATTTAAGAGAAATTTATTTCAGTTAACAGAGAAATTTAATTTGGCGTGATTTTCCCATTTTATTTTAAAAGTGCACAATGAACCCTTTTAAAATGCGCCCAAAATTAAAAAAAAAAGACCATTATTTTCTGACAAACTTGTAGTTGGGTACGTGAGTGGAGATAATAATGGGTTATCAGTTAAAAAATTCTGAAATGTTAACTTGGGATTTTATGCACACACACACAACTGTGATGTGATTTGATTGTAAAATTTGCAGCGCTTTATTGTCAGGTGTTACTTTCTTGTCGACGGTAACTTTTTTGTCGATGGCGGTTTATCGTTCATATCCTTTTAGCAGGTTAAAGCCCTTTACAGAAATAAGATACTTACTGCAAAATGCTCTAGCCCCCGTATCGATTGCCGCACACAATTTTAACTGGCGTGGTCTTGGTACAACTTTTTACTGGCGCAGCACGCAGCTGCAGCAGGCAGTTTCGAATATCCGAATATTTGGTCAAACACAGTTTTGAGTAATCAAACACTAAATTATTCAGAAGTGGACAGCCCTATTGACATGCGAGCTTCTCGCATGGTGCCTTATCTTTAAAACCTTTCCATCCACTGCTTATGTGAATCAATTCCAAACTAACTGCATTGAAACTAAGTTGCTTATACATACCGCCCATACAGCACTCACGGAAACGATTTAGTCCCGGCATCCATGCCATGGCGTCTTTCCATTACGGAGGCTATAGTACCCTGGTGAGTGTGCGGGCACGTCGGCATGGCAACGCATGATGGCTAGCCAATGGCTGCTCTTGCACAGTGGCCTATCTTGTCTGTGATTGGTTGGAATGGCTCGGACTGAATTTTAATGAGAGCAAGTTACAGATCCCAAGATCTAGGTAGTGATATCAAAGACTACAATAAAACTACATAGGACCTTTGGGAGACGCAAAAACGTCATAAGTTATACCTGTGGGAGACGTGATATTAGAGAGATATTTCAATGTCTCCCTAATGCCTGCGCCCCTATATACAAAGTCAACATTTTAGTGTCGCAAATAGGCTAGATCAATTCCTCATGGTCCAATTAGTACATGTATGTAAAAATACCAACATTTGTGAGGGAAGGATAAAGTAAAATTGGGATAGGGGTCATTAAAGTTGATTCATAAATACTTAAGACAGTTTACCCATTCCCATTGGTAGAGAGCCCGTCACGTGGCCGGTCTTAAAGGGATGATAAAGACATGGCTAGCTGGTCTGAAACACGTTTCCAGTGTTACATGAAATTTGGACTCCTAAAAATCCAGTGCCTCTTACTGTTTTATTGGTTGAACGTTCACAATCCTCACGCAGGCATGCGCAATACTACCAGTGAGTCATTATATTTTAGTCCTAAATTCACAACGCAACGCCCCAGGTGCATTCTGCGCGACATCGCGTAGTACGCACGATGTGCGTGCCAATCTCCATAAAAGGAGTCTTTTACATCTTATTCCCGAGCTGGATACTCCATTATTTAGCTAGAGGGGTGTTTCAAAAAACATATTAAAGTGAACTTGTTGAACAAAATCGTTTGTTTTTTTACCGAAAAGTTTAGATTTTTTTGACCGAAAAGGTATTTATGAATGGGAATAAATATGTGCTTGGTTGGTATTAATCACTCTGTTTAAGATTGCTCCCAGACTCCAAGCGGTCTTAAACAGAGTGATTAAAACCTCCAAAGCACACATTTATTCCCTTAACTATTAAAATTTGTGCACAAGTCTATGGGAATGTCTCCCTAACGGTACCATTTTTCGGTTATTTTTTTTTTAATTATTATTTTGGACAATGAGACATTTCGTTTTGGGGAAAACTTTGTGCCTGTGGAATGGGTCTCCGATATGCATGCAATATAGTGGGGTTGTGTTTGTTTGGTTAAAAAAAAAAAAAAATATCAGCCCATGTTGACTTATGGAATGATTACTTCAAAAATCTTGACCAAACAAAAATTGAGTTCTCATAGGGTAGACTGGTTCCCTCTTCCCTTTCTGCATCGAAATGTCGAAACCAGGAACCAGACTTCATGCACTCACACAACTGATCTATTTGTGCCCATAAGCAACCCAAATTACACCCCTTTTTTAAGAGGTTTGCAGCTTCTAAAAGACAACAAAGAAATTTTAACTAGTTAAAACACACAAGTTGAAAAATTCAAGAGAATCAAAAATTGAATTTGTCAACAAGCGCTGATGGTACATCTGTAAGGAAACGAGCCAATCAACAGGAATTTCCTTGTGAAGAAGAACCGATACCTTAGCTTGGGTAATATTTTGTGCGTCATCACTAGTTACTGTCATAAAACTCTCCAAACACATGCAACTGTAGTCACACCAATGCCACTGTCAGATTTCCGTTTGCATATAGGTCTATGCATTTCCTCCTTTCCAATTTATATGGCAAACGTAATCATCTGAAACTAAAAGCAAATGACAACACATACACAGAAAGGTTACATGAAAGCTAACGAGCTTCGACGTCATTACTCTGCGATTTCGTTTTACGTTTCTAATTATACTTTCGGAATGCTACTAGCAGCTGTGCATCTCACAACCTGCTTTATACTAACGCTGATGAAACGTCCGTTTGCATGGTTTGAGAATCAAACTCCTGTAAAAAAAAATTGTTACTGACAAGATTGGAATCTTTTTGACGAATCACAAACTCCTGAAACAATTTTACAACAGCGGCCGATGAGGAACAACAGCTCCAGCATGTTCTCCTTCACTTCGTTTATTGGCAACCACTCGACGTCGGTGAGTAGTGTCATTTTGTCAGCACGGCATGGGTCTGACGAATGGTGATGCCTCAATATTAAAGAAATAACGCTGAATATTTTGTCCCTCTTTTGGGGGTTTTCATGACGAATGCGGAATACTAACAATGACCGAATCTGCATTTTTTTTTTTTGTATGACGCAATTCAAATAATTAGCCCACCTTAGAATAATGAAGGTCTTATTCCATAAATCGTGCAGTTCATTTTCCTTTGGTTTGCGGTTGATTTGGCCCCTACTTTAGCTAACATGGGAAAGATGTGTGTGCATGTTTTTCCCGCCGACAAAAGTTATTCCGACAACTGTACATTCCATTGCTGCGTTGTAAACCAAAAAAATAAATAAAAAATAGTCGGTCTCTGGTCAGACCAAATTTCCGGAATTGATGCGGCGATGCGGTTTTTAAAAAACAAAATTGCTTTTATGTCCTCATATACCTAGGTGTCCTCCATCATTTGCCTTGGTGCCCTCCATCATTTGGAGTCGAGCTGCCTACGAAAATTTGAGGCGGTGCGGCAATAGAGGGCACTGTTGTAGCCACCGGGAAAATTTGAAAAAAATTCAAAACGCATTGACGTGCATTTTCAAAATTGACACGCACTGACCAGAGACCGACTACTATTTTGTTTGTGGCCTAAACCCGACATGTAAAGAGAAATATGAAATCATAAATAAAATGGATTCACATCACAGAGGGTCTGCGTGAACACTCCTGTAGAAATATAAATTTCCATTGTATCGGTTTTTAAACAGCAAAAGTAATAAAATTATCTGTAAGGATGATTTTCAATTGACTGCGGGTATGGGTATTTACTGGTGCGTGTAAAAGATCTTTACGGACTTCTTGTAAGAACTGTACAAGTTTAATACTATGTAGTCTTCCAATAAGAGGCAGTGTAGGCAACTTCTATTATGCACCAATGGTGTGCACTCTTCACAGACAATTTTCACCGTAAATGTGTCCAAGCCCATAGAATTAAGTAAATCTTGCCATTAACCAACATTTCTTTTATGTTTGATTTAAAGGGAATGTACAACATTTGCAAACATCAAACAACAAAACTTCCGAATTATTATGAAATACCTCACTTGACTGTAAGTGAATAATAGTCTCAAGCATCCTGTGAAATCATGGCACCTGGTGTGATGTCATTTTTAAGAAAAGTGGAATTTTTTGTATCAATTTCCAACGACGGTAGTACTGCCCCCAATTCACTAAATTTAGGTAGTTCACATTTTGTTTGCAATCAGTTACACATCCATGAATGGTTGCAAGCCAGCTAGTCTGGTTCCCTGACCTGACAATTCCCGGACGTGTATATATTGCTCTGTTTTGTCTCCAGCAGGGTTAGTAGGGTCAGGAAACCAGACTACAAAAATAGCATTTTTGCCCTTGGTTTTTCCAGCATCTACGAACACAGAACTTTTTAAACAAGTCAGTGTAACACTACTTGCTAAAAAAATACTAACCCCCAAATCAGTCCATTTCTGAAAATTACAGCAAAAGCAAATGTTGAATATTACCTTTAAATTCTCTCACCCTGCATAGAAGGTATAAAAACACTATTGAACGTATGCACAGTTCTCACAAGAACACCCATTTGGATTTGTTTATCCGGAGGGCGTAACTATTTTGCATCGTAATATTTCACAAATTTGAAAACCTGCATTTTCATCAAAATCATCAACAAGGGATAGGGGTGTTCTTCTTTGTATCAAAAACACTTGTAATTTCTTGTAACACATACATGTACTAATGCTTCATTTTTGTCCCCCAGCTTTTCTGTTTTACAGTTTCACCCAGAATATGCACCTTTTGTTTTGAACCTGATATTTGTGCTTGATTTCCTTTCCAATATGCACTAATTATCCTGATTTCTTTTAATTTGCATTTCTTTTTCAGGATTTTAGCAATAATGATCAACTTGTTATAATTTTTTTTTTCAGTGTTGTGTTCGGTGATGTAAGCATGAGTGTAAAAAAATGTATATTTTCTTTTTGGTAGCACTGTTGTTTAACTGTATTTAAAGTGGTTCCGATTTGGAAATAGGGTATCGTCATAACTAAATAACAATTTATTGTAATGGTAACATTGGTATTTTGTCCACATTTAATTGCCTCAATCTCATCAGCATGTTTAAAGATAAAATGCGCCAGTCCTCAGAAGTTTGACATTTTTCAGCTCTCATTTTACAGCTTCATTGTGTTCATGCACACAAAGTTGCACAAACATGTATACAGCATAAGGCCCATTCTAGACCCTGTGCTACTGCCGTGTCAAACTCAATTAATTTGACTGTTTAAATTCCGCACGGCGATAGCACAGCATTTAGAACCATTCGGTTCAGCGAATTTGGTTTGGCATGGCACCATTCTTTGGCTCGATAGGTTCGTTCCAAATGGCAGTGGTACGACCCTGTTCTAAACACTGCCGTGCCAAACTCAATTCAATTCGGCGTTGGGGCAAACATTTTAGGAATGCACATGCTCACAAAACCCTCTCTCGCATCTGCATCAGGGGGAGTGAAATTGGCGCGAAACTTTTGATCGTGCTGAAAGTTCCTTGAACTGCTTTAACCTGGCCAGTTACTTGAGATGCATTAAGGTTCGACTATAAAGTTTGGCGTTGCTGCACTCATTTCAACTAAGTTCGGCGCGGCAGTAGCACAGCCTCTAGAACAGGCCTATGAAAGAAATGCCGTAGTTGGATCTTAGTTCAGATAAATCTTGCAGTGTATCGCACAGCATGGCAAGCTTGTGTAGACACCATTGACAGGAACTGTAGATGCCATAATGTGGCCAGCTTGCAGAAGCTACTGACAGGTGGCCTCTTAACAGTGGCCAACATTCAATTAGATAATGTGCACTCATAATGGCCAGTGGATTTAGTGGCCACGTGGGTAACCGTAGTGGCCAGCATTGAGTTTTCAACGTGCATGCTTTGTAAAGGCTTGCGAAGTAGCGGCCTCTGTAGTGGCCATAACTTGAACCAAAAAAAGTGTGTCATTGATGTGCATTGCAATGGCCTTGTGGCCCCAACTAATAACAGGTCTTTGTCCATTTCTGTGATTGTAGTCTGTGATATTTTAAACTTTTAATTTACTTGTTTTTCATCTATTCCATCTGATAGAGTCCACAGGTTGATGAAGAAGGATTCAGCATCAGACCGCAAGAGGCCTCGCCAAATATCCTTTGAAAAAAAAAACATCTTGTTACTCCTCCGAAGAGCTAACTCGGAACCAGCTATGGTTCCTCAGGCCCCCCAAAAAAGTCTCCGGTTTCTGGTATGCGCGCATCGCCGTAGCCATGCGCGTCGGCAAAATGAAAAAGTTTTTTGTTCAATGTAAGATGATGTCTAAAAACTGCCAAACTCACTGGTTTGACTGGAATCCTGCTGCTGCACAATTTTAACGTGTTTTTAGATGGGGTTACGATCGAATATAAGCTTTATGTGGCCTATCTGGACTCCCATATATTTTGCACTACATTTAGTCGGCACCATTTGCAGTCATCAGCCGACATTTGAAGAAAAAATAAAAAAAAAAAAAAAAAAAAAGCCGCGTCGCCGCACCACTTTTGGGGCAAGCTCCATACCAGAAACCGGAGACTTTTTTTGGGCCTAATGATATTTTCCTCTTTTTTACCCTGAACTTGGGTCGTAAATTTTACAGACTTGGATATGAAAAATCAGCCACCTCTCTCTAGAAAAAAAAAAAAATGGTGCTTTAAAACTGCATGAATGTTAGCTTGATAACAAAATCAATTACCAAGACAATTCTTAAAGAGCCCATGCAATATATATATTTGTTTAAATCCATTTTAAGGGTGTTTTTAGTGCCTTTTTGGTTTTTATACTAATTTGAATTTCCATGTTCATGAGCAAAAGTGGGATGTCATTCCGGGCAGAAACCTCAACGTTGCAGCTATTTCAGCACAAAAAAAGGACTTTTCTTTTGGTGATTTAGTTGTGTCAGAACATGGCAGTAAGCCAATGAGCAACCCAAATTTTTGGGTTCACAATTTGAACGGAAAACCCCTAAACTGAACAGTGTCTTCCTTTGTCCTTAACCACCCTTGTTGCACATGAGGCACCCACGCGGGACAGTTTCTACTCGGAGTCGGACTCCGACTCGGACAACGAGGACCGAACGAGGAAGATCCACGTGGAGATCAAGCCGGCCGTGGTGTCGGACAGCAACGGCGGTCCAACCGCCGCGTCCGTCGACGAGATCAAGAAGTCGCTAGGAGGACTGACGCTGTCTCCGCCAATTGTAAGTCTTGACAGACGGAACATTTTGATGGAGCTGCTAAGCATGAAAATTTGCTTAGCACAAAAAAGTCTGGCTTAGTAAAAGCAGGTTACCAGCTAAAACTGCATGTGATTTCCATGCTGAGCAAACAACAGCTGAATACCAATCACAATTAAGCAATATACATCACATTGGTTGGTAATCCTGTTTTTGCCAAGGAAGACTTTCCATAATAAGCACATTTTTGTGCTTAGCAGCTTCTGGATATTGACCCCAATACAATAGAATAGAATCTTACGACCACATTAAGAAAACAATTTTTGATCTACTCTACCTTTAAGAGCCAATGAAGGACGCACTACGGATTGGGGCAAGAAGGGTTACACAACCTCAAGTGGCGATCAAGTAAAGACCTAATAATAAAAACTGCAGAAGCATTTGACTTCATGTTTCAATGTCTGTCAAGGAGACTTTCAATAATCCTTTTCCTGTTATGCAAACCGAGTAGTCTGGTAGAATCACTTTTGGTTTTGCTTCCCATAATTGCCATGCTGTCTTAAAGGTAGAGTACATCATTTGCAGCTATCCAAAAGGTAACTGGTGTAATAATTGTTGAAAAGCTTACTTGGTTTAAAGATAGTAATGGCACTAAACTCCCTGTGAAATTATTCTTTCTGGTATGCTGTCATTTTGAAGAAAACAATATAAAAAGGCCATTTCCAAATATGTGTCAAGTGACGCATTTTTGGAAATATCCATTAGTAGTTGGTTCAGCGTATCTGTGAATGGGTGCGCGCATGCCTTGACACGACACACACTGCGCGGTTGCTGCAATTTGTCGCTTCTGTGCGTGACGTCGCGTAGCTGCAATCGGATGAATGAGAATGGGTCCCGGACGCTGATTTCAGGTGCAATTCAAAACATGACTTGGCAACTTTTGAATTTGAAAGCGAAATCCTAGAATATTGTTTTCTCAGAATATTCAGTGTTCATCATTCACTGAGCTAGAACTTCATCAGGTTAGTTGTTAAGCACCCGTCCTTAGATTTTGAGCACGTCTGTTGCTTCAAATGAAGAAAATGCACAAATGACAAATGATCTACTCTATACCTTTAATATTGTGTGTAGAAGACTTACGACAGATGAATTAAATGACATTAAATAAAACTGAAATTGATTTATTTTTCTGTTCCTTTTTTGCAGCTGAGGAAAGATAAATCAAGTAAGTCATCCGAAAATATTTCAAATTCTTTTATAGTTAACTTTTTGGTCAGCATCTCCAACTTTTAAGTTTTTTTAAAGGTTTGGTTCAAATATCCGATTCCCCAAATCCCAACCGATAAGTGAAATTAAAACCGAAGATTAAAAAATCCGGAAATTAATCCCACCACTGGTATTTATTACATCCGTGTTTTAAGTTGAGGTTAAATTTTGGCTTTTATTCCAATAAATATTTTCTAAGTAAGCTGCACAAGAAGACTGTATCAATTTCTATTTAACGTCTTTCCTAGTGTTGAAATGGCTAAATTTGGCTTTTTTTCCTTGTCCCTTTTTCTCAAAGATGGTGACATCAAGAGAAGAAACCAGACGGTTTTACGAAGCAGGTAAGCGACGTTTCAACTAGCCCTAGATTTGTGCAACAGATGATAGACAAAAAGGCTGTGCTGATGCTACCAAGCGTTGTTTGGGAGTGTGGCCTAGTGGTTAGGGTTCGTGTCTCATGATCAGAAGGTCGGGGTTCAAATCCAGCTGCTAGTCATATGTTGTGTCCTTGGGCAAGCCACTTCACCCCCACTTGCCTCTCTCCACCTAGCATGCCTAGGAGTATAAATGGGTACCGGCATTAGCTGGGGAGTAACCTGCGATGGACTAGCATCCCATCCAGGGGAGTAGAAATATTCTCAGTCGTTTCATGCTACTGAAACCGGAGATAAACGCAGGCCTGATAGGCCGCATTGGCTCGTGAGGGACTTGACTTTACTTCCTGTGATAAGATGCCAAATTTAGGTTCACCACATTTCAAATGTTGTGTGCGAGTGTTGCCTTTTCCTCGTGTGTGTTTTGTACGTTACGCTCTTTTGGTGTTGACTTTCTTGCCATTTATGCCTGTCCATTTTCAGCTTTTGCTCCAGTGAGATTATTAATTCTGAACTTTTCGCTTCCTGTTGAAAAATTGCCCTTTAAGTTTGTCCTTTACAACCTTCGTGCCAATAGGATGTTATTAGTCGACTTCAGTATTTTTTTGGAGTCAATTCCAATTTGGTCAGGGAATTGCAATTCCTTTTGGAATCAATTCCGAAATAACAATTGAAAAAATAATATTAGGGAATAAACTGCCATCTATAAAAGGTCAATTCCGTCAAGGAATTGCAATTCCATTCAAAATCAATTCCAAAATAACAATTGAAAAATAACATTGGGGAATAAACTGCTGTCTATAAAAGATCTATGTGAAAAATAGTTAAATCGATTATTTAGCAGTCATAAGAAACAATATTTCTGTGGAACATGTTCATCTACCTTGAAAAATCCATTTTGAAAATGGAAGATTTAGCACACGATTTAAGGCAGTCAGAAGTTTATGAAACTGTGAGTTTTACACGATAAAAAAAAATGAATACCTTCACGGTGCCATAAACTTCATCATGTTCATTGTTCATTTTTTTAAATGTACATTTGATTCCACAAAGTCCCAGTAAGTGTTCAGTCAGTGATCATACATGTATCTTTTTCCCCTTCTTTTTTTCCACAATCTTTGAGAAATGATTCCATTCCTAAAAAAAATCTATTACAAGCAATCAATTTTTTGAAAAAAGGCGGAATCACGATTTCCGATTCCAAATTTGAAATGGATTTGAATAAATTCCAGCACGGAATTGCCCAAACCTAGATATGACACGTGTATCAACCAAAATTCTACAGGTTCTGTTGCCGTTGAACTCTCATCTCATCCTTTGGATGACATAAGATAATAGTACATGTAATATAAACCCTGTTACCCATATCTGCAGCTTTCTCAGCTTGATGTTGCTATCTGATTGGCGTTTCTTTTTTAACGTGGCGTTGCCGTGCTTTGCTTCCTCCCCCACCCCTCCCCCCCCCTCTCTTTCTCTCTCCGCCTGTATCAGTGTGTCTGTCAGTCCATCCATCAGTGTGTCTGACACGACTCCTGCCTGTCTGACTATAAAGCCTTTTCCTGACTCTCTTTATGCCAGCTACGGGGCCTCGCCCACCCATTACGCCCGCGTTCTGTCGTCCAGGGAGAGTTTTGCCCGACGGAGGTGGGAAACTATGTTGCATCCGTTGTACATGGGGCATGCTCTTGTGGCTCCTAGTGTATTGTGTTCAGGAATGCCGTCAAAATGCTGATTTCTTTTCGTTCTGGCATGCTCAGTTTGCCCTGCATCTTGATTTTGATTTGAATACTTAACCATAACAGAACCTCCCTGTTTCCTCTATAGCCCTGCCTACCTCTTTAGCCCCGCCTATCCCTATAGCCCCGCCTACTCCTATAGCCCCGCCTACTCCTATAGCCCCGCCTACTCCTATAGCCCCGCCTACCTCTATATTCCCTCCTACTCCTATAGCCCCGCCTACCTCTATATTCCCTCCTACCCCTATAGCCCCGCCTACTCCTATAGCCCCACCTACTCCTATAGCCCCGCCTATCCCTATAGCCCCGCCTATCCCTATAGCCCCGCCTACTCCTATAGCCCCGCCTACCTCTATATTCCCTCCTACCCCTATAGCCACGCCTTCCCCTATAGCCACGCTTACCTCTATAGCCACACCTACCCCTTTAGTCACGCCTACCTCTATATCCCCGCCTACCCCTATAGCCACGCCTTCCCCTATAGCCGAGCCTACCTCTATAACCACGCCTTCCCCTATAGCCACGCCTCCCCCTATAGCCACGCCTACCCCTTCCCCTCTCCCTTTTTTGTACATGTATGTTTACTTGATTGTGTAATTAGTTTCAGCATTGAGTTGCCTTGAATATTGTGAAATAGTTTACTTTCTTGTTGCAAGTCGCATTACGAAACGATTCGCTGGCCAAACTGAATTTGGGCAGGTTCCAACTTGGCACAGTGCAATTGTTACACTGCAAAATGTTCTGTTAAATCAAATTTACAGGGTGAGTAAAAAAACCCGAAACCAACAAAGTCATTAAGCTTTCTTTTAGTACAAGAATCATTCAAATCACTCATGTACTTTTCAAGTTGCAGAATTTTGAACACAAACACCGCTTGAAAGTTCTGTCCACGGATCACAAAAAAAAGTGTTCTCATCGGGATGCGTGTAAACTTTTTTCATTTTGCTGAAAGAACACTTACCTCTTTTGTGATTGTGGTCAGAACTTTAAAACGGTGTTTGTGTTAAAAATTCAGTACAAGTACATTTGAATGATTCTTGTACTAAAAGAATGCTTGACGACTGGGCTTTCATATCCTAGCTTTTGAAAGTGCTACAGGCAAAACTTCATTCAAAAATTGGTCCTGCCATTTGGGTTTCTTTTTTTAAAACTCGCCCTGTAGTGGAACTAAGACATGAATTTCAAATGTTATTTTGAATTTGCAATGAAAACAATGCTTTTTGTTCCTGGCTTTTGTAGTATCATGCAGTGTGTACAATGTGTAATTTACATTGAGTAATGTTTGTCTTAAATTTTTTTTGTAAGACAATAAGTTTTTACTGAAATGGAGTGTTGGGTTTTTTTGGTCAGTTTTGGTTGTAAAAAGGTATATTTTGCTGTTTTTCTTTCTATAAGCAGAAATAAAAGACTTCATTGTATAATTTCTTTTATGATCATCATTTCCCCCCGTTGGATTATTTTGTATTGTTTTACACTTGTATATATTTCAGCACCATTAAAAAAAAAATAAAAAGCAATGCAATCAGTAATTCTCTACAAGCTCAAACTTAATATCCATCAAAAAATTACAAAAATATTATTTGATTTTGAGTTCTCTGTTGTATGAATTCCAGCTTAATTATAGCATGTGTTTAAGTCATTCACTCATTTCCTTCCAAAGTGCGCAATCCAGTGGCAACCTTCTAGATCTAGATTTTTTCGCGACCTCGTCTCCGACCTCTGACCTGATGTCACCGACCAATAACACCAGTTCTGCCACCACACCCAGCTCCACAGATGGTAAGAAAAACATCCGCTGTCTCTTCAAGAAAATGGTCAGAAATTTTGAGTTTGAACTGATAAAGAAAACGTGTATACATATTTAACCTATTCATAAGATGGAATTTGCTTCGGGGTGATGTAAATCAATATTAGGGTCTTGTCCCTCACCGACGTATAAACATTGTATACTCGGTGTGTTACCTCCCGAGTGAAAGTTGGAAAAAAATCACTCAGGTGGGACTCAAACCCACGATCTCCTGCTTTCTAGTGCAGACGTCTTACTACTCGACCACCGAGCTAACAGGATCGGTTGGCTGGTTCGAATCTGATGTACGTGTAGCAGAGGTACCGCAATTAAACTATTCATGTGATGGAATTTGTGTGGGGTTGATGTAAATCAATATTTGGTTTTGCCCTTCACCGACGTATAAACACTGTATACTCAGTGTGTGTTACCTCCCGAGTGAAAGTTGGAAAACTTTTAATAGTTTAATTGCGGTACCCGCTGCTACATGTACAGATTCGAACCAGCCAACTGATCCGGCAAGCTCGGTGGTCGAGTGGTAAGACATCTGCACTAGAAAGCAGGAGATCGTGGGTTCGAGTCCCACCCGAGTGATTTTTTTCCAACTTTCACTCGGGAGGTAACACACTGAGTATACAGTGTTTATACGTCGGTGAAGGGCAAAACCTAATATTGATTATAAATATTTACTCGTACTACATTCTATGTGTCTACATGTATGCTCTAGACAATTTGAAAGCACTTTTAGTTCTTCCAAATTTTCTTTTGGTTTCAAAGAAAATCATGTAATTTTTCTTCAGGTCCCCTGATTTCCTCGATTTTACTTCTCATGAATGCCATTACAAATTGAAAAATACTGTACAAAGTCTTGTATGGTTTGGAGTTTCCTTGTTTTTTTCTCTCTAAATTCCCAGTTGCATGCCTGTGAAATGTTGGCCCCGCGATGTTCACGTTTATTTTGTTAATGTTGGATCATCCATGTTGTTACCCTTTCTGTTAAGAGAGAAATAACCACATATCAGCAAAATACTGTTATTCCATCTAGAACTACATGTATGTCTTTTCTTTGGCACAATCATATTTTATGTTTGGGTCTTTCTATAAATTTAAGGTTCAAGTTGTGATGTTTTTTTTCCTGTCCCCATTATCTCAGAACTTTGTAATTTGCCATTCAAAGTATCATTAACCAGTTCGCATCAGAGGATATGATAACACGTACTGGCTGTTTTCATACACAGGCACGGCTGACGGGTTAAGACGTCAAGATTGCCTCGACTCGCCTTCGGGTGACGTCTAAACACGCTAATCCCTCATGCCTTTGTACACACACACAAAGTCCGTGAAGTCTGTGGAGGCAGACCCAGACCGTGTGTTGATCTTGAATTGGCCGTTGTGCACGGCCTATTGTTGTACAATTTATGCTCCAGTGCACACCCTGGAGTATTGAAACACATGAGATTTCGGCAAGAAATATTTGCTGGAAAATCAACATTTTTGAATCAAACAATTCAAAAATTCTTTTTATTTGTGGGGTAGTATGTTTGCTATTTATAAATTCATAATCACTCTTGGAGGATGACTGCATTATAAACCCTAACCCCCTGGACCATTTTGGCTAGGAAGTTAGGAAGCCTGCAATATCCTCCAATTGCCCCATGTAAAAATTGGTTTCAGCCTCAATCCTCCAAAATCATCCGTTAGTTCTTGAATTTGTTCGGTGGAGGGCTCAATCCTTCAAAATCCTCACACAATCACTGTTTGGTTGAGGCAGTGCCGATGACATTCAGAGGCAGTGCGGATGATATCGAGCATAATGCAGGGCTCAATTATGCATGACTGAACATTAACAATGCTGGGTACAGCCTACAAACGCGACACAATGCATCCTCCAAAATCAGCCGACACTTTTTTTGCCATTCAGCCTCAATCCTACAAAATCCATCAAAACTGCATGGAGGATTTTGCAGGATTGAGGAAGGTTATGATCAAGGAGTGCATCAGAATTATCAAGTCATAGATGTCAGATGTAACAGGGACAGGAAAAAAAGTGGACCCCAAATTTATAGAACGACCCGTAAATATTAATTCTCACTATGTTCACAGTCATATCTCTAACCCACTCCCCTATTAACCCACATATTATTTTCTCTTGATTTTCCTCGTTCTTGTCTTGTATTTTTTGTTCCCCCTTCTTTCCATCCTTCTTCTCGTCCGTTCATCCCAGGGCTACCAAAGTGGGCCGCTCTCAAGTCCGTAGTTGGGCTAATGAATGAGAGTCGGCCCAGGGTCGAGTCCAACCCGAACCCCGCCAGTCAGTTCGCTAAGCCGATACCGAAGCCACGTGACAGATCCAAGACCGGTATAACTTTACCACCGACAAAATTTCACCGTTTTTCCAAATTTTTGATTTCTTCAGCATTTTTGTCATCACGACACAGCCATCGCTTCAGACTCAATTTGCAAGCCATTGACACATTCTCCATAATTTTTGCGCTTTTTTTTCATTGATTAAAAACATATCATGTGTGGCCTCATTATCTATGCGTGACCTCATTATCTATGTGTGACCTCATTATCTATGTGTGACCTCATTATCTATGCATGACCTCACCGGTATACTACTTATCAGTACAATAATCTAAAAAGAAGATAATAGTTGCAATATTAATCCAATAGCGTCTGTACTATGTTGTATTAAATTGTGCTTATTCACTTAAGAATCAATGAACCCATTGAGTGCTCGGACGGTTTTGGGCGCTCTAATAGGCAGGGCAGTTTGGGGCGGTACAGTAATAGATTAAAGGTAGAGTAGATCATTTGCAGCTATCCAAAAAGTAACTGACCACATAATTGTAAATAGTAGTGGTAATAAACTCCCAGGGAAATTATTCCTTCTGGCATGCCGTCATTTTCAAAAAAACAAAAAAGAAGGTCATTTCGTCGCATCAGTGCAACAAAAATGGCACGAACGCAACATGCGAGTTTCAGACTGACAAAAGTTCGTATCTCGCTTAAAATAACCCAGATGTACGCGCAAAGTCAATGGACGTCGAGATACGACCTTGTTGCACGGAGCGTATTCGCGTGAGATACGACTTTGTTGCAGAATCGAGTTACGACCTTGTTGCACTGATGCGACGATTTGCAAAGATGAGTCAGGTGACACATTTTTGGAAATTTCTGTTGGTGGTTGGTTTGTAACGAGGCGAATCCTTGAATGGGTGTGCGCAAGCGTTTTCGCTGATTTCGGGCGCAATTCAAAATATGACTCAGCAACTTTTGAATTGCAATCGAGATCCTAGAATATTGTTTTCTCGAAATGTGCAGCATTCACTGAGCTAAAAGTTCATCAGGTTAGTTGTTGAGCACCCGTCTTTAGATTTTGAGCACTTTTGTTGCTTCAAACGAAAAAAATGCACTAATGACAAATGATCTACTCTACCTATAAATATAACTGCTATTTAAATTTTAATATAATGCTTCGTATGGTTAGAGGATAAAGCTTAACAGTTTGGCTTGATCAGTTAGCGATTAATTATGTGATCTCAGCTCCACAACACAAAGACTAGCACAGATCACAAATTTTGCTGACATACCATAGTGTTCTAGTTAAAGGAAATGTACAACATTTGCAAACATCAAAAACACAAAACTTGACTGTAAGTGAATAATAGTCTCAAGCATCCTGTGAAATCATGGCACCTGGTGTGCTGTCATTTCCAAGAAAAGTGGAAGTTTTGTATCAATTTCCAACGATTGTTGGCTGACCAACTAACTTTTTCAAATACTGCCCCCAATTTACCAAATTTAGTTTAAAAGTGCACATTTTGTTTGTAATCAGTTACACATCCATGAACACTTGTGGGCCAGCTAGTCTGGTTCCCTGACCTGACAATTCTCAGACGTCTATAAATTGTCTCTTTTCGACTGAAGAAGGGTCAGGAAACCAGACTACAAAAAACAGCATTTTTTTTCTTCATTTTTCAAGCATCTATGAGTACAAAAATTTAAACAGGTCTGTGTTACAATATTTGCTATAAAATACTAACTCGCAAATCCACGTATTTGTGAAAATTACAGCAAAAGCAAATGTTGTATATTGCCTTTTAACTACCAGGCATAATAGTCTCCATGTGCAAGTACCTTTTCAACAGTAACAAAAAGTAAGAAATCGCGAACTTGATCACCACTGCCGCCACACGCCCGGCAGCCTCACACATACATCATATACACTACAGGTCTGTGCACGTTGCGATAAAAACTAGTGCTCTGCGGCATACGTACTCAGACCAGTGCGCGGACGCAGCATGTCTCACATACTGGATCTCTTGTGAGTAGGCTGCACAGGCTGAGTGCCGTCTACTGTTTCTTTATGGAGTCCACAGCGTTGCGAAACAGAGTGAATGTTGCTTGCTTTTTATGTATCACCTTTTTCACTCGATCACTTTTACCAGTCATTCAAACCCAATCATATACAATTGTGTGAATGGAATTATTCATATAAACCCGGCTCCAGTCAATTTCTTTGTTCAACTTTCCCCCCCCCAAAAAATATTATAATTCACCAAGTCAGTTTCCCTGTGTGGTTCATTTGAAAATTCGTGATAAAAAGCTGTATCGTCTCTGAGTGATCCCAGTTTGCTATTTTCCAGGTCTGTATCGTGACTTGGGGCGTGATCCGTGACTGTATGGTATATACGGGTTTATGGCTTCTGACTAGCGCCCCTTGAACAAAGACATTGACAAATTGGGGAACCCCCAACATAGGGCTGATGGCTCAGTTGGTAGAGCACCGGAACGGCAATCCGGAGGTCACAGGTTCAAACCCCGCTCCAGTCAATTTCTTTGTTCAGCTTTCAAAAAAATTGAAATAAAGATTGTGCCAGTTTAATTCCTGTCTTCAGCTTCAGACTTTCTGCACAGTTTACTCCAACCAGGCATACTGTTCAACACCCGCAACAAGCAATGCACGGTGTGGAAATGCTTGCTTCTTTTAATGCCATCTGCTTTAGCCCGGCCCAATTCCACGGAGCTGCTGAGCAGATAATAACATAGCTTAGCAACTTTGTAGTCTATAAAGCAAAGAAGTCAGCCAAGAAGCCCTCCTCACACTAGACAAATCTTGGGGATGACGCGGGGTTGAAAACATGCAGCGTTTCACACTTAAACATTTTCAACCCTGCGTCAACCCTGCGTCAACCCTGCGTCAACCCTGCGTCAACCCTGCGTCAACCCTGCGTCAACCCTGCGTCAACCCTGAGATTGATTTCGCCCCGGGTTGAACTCAACCCTGCTCCAGACCAGGGTTGAGATTTTCAACCCGGGTTGAAACTCTTGCCAGGGTTCAAAACAGTAGTAGCCTGGCGAAATAAGCTCGGTTTGCACGGAACAAGTGCGAAACGATGCAGGGTTGAACGCGGGGTTGAAAAATCAAAAACTCAATCCTGGGGCGGCACTTGAGTTCAACTCGGGTTGAGAGGCTCTAGTGTGAAAAGGCTAGCAACAGAGAATGAAAATTTAGTAACTTTGTTCCGACTTCCCTACAGCCGCAGACCTCCTGCACAGTCCGACCACGACCAGCGACAGCCTGCCCCCGGCGCTACCTGTCAAACAGAGGCACAGTATGGGTGGGTTACCAGCAGCCACGACGACCACCCCAACAGGGGGTCCCAGCGCACCAACACCGCCCCCTAGATCCACCAATCGACCCTGGAGTGGGGTACAGGTAAGCCGAAAGATCCATTGCCCAACTGTATTTTAATTCTTTCTGGCGGTGACACAAAAGGGTTCTTCACAAATGTCTGGGTGCCGTGGCTCAGCACCCTGAAGAAATATGGGGGGAAAAGTGAAGACAATGAAATCGTCCTTCGCACCACGAAGTGACGTATTGGGTGCACAAAGTCCACAGACGATACGTCACTTCGTCGTGCACCCGACGAAATAGTTGGTCAGTTTAGAGGTGGGAGGAAAACCCTGCAGTGATTTTCCTGGGGAAAACCCGTTGAAGACAAAGAGAAAAACCATTGTGCCAACCTGACACCGTATTTATAGCAAGTTGAATTCTTGGCATGTAATTGTTGTTTGCAATCTAGATGGTATTAGACATGAATATGATAGGATGTTACTCTGAGAGGCCCAGTTTAAAGCTCTCAGGCCTTGTAATAAAAAAAGTGTTGTCATCTTTATTTTTAGATGCGGTAAAGATCTTGTTTTTCTGACAGACTTCAGCAGACACATCATAATTCAAAATTATATGACACAAGTTATCAAAAAGTAGAGATTTACACCAAATTGGAAGAAGTTTGCAGATACACCCTGTAAAGTGGCTAAATCTTCGAAAGGACGTATGGTTCTGAAAAATTCATCTGGTTCTTCTCAGAACCAGTGGGGGATCCAGAGGGGTTTGGAAGGGGCATTTGCCCCCCCCCCCCCCCCCCCCCCCCCGGGGGGCAGTGACGGCACTTTTGTGAAATAAGCAAATTTTCACTTGAGAGAGCCCTTCCACCCCCCCAGCCTCAGCCCCCTTGGCACTTACTTCTCTGGATCCACCCTTGAGAACCCTATTTCTCCGTGAGGAGTAAGTCGCTTCCAAAAAACGTCTACAAACTGCCCAATTTTGTACTCTCCTCTTCGCTGTTGCCAAACCACATATCACACTTAGATTCACAGCCCTGTCCGACTCATTTGTTTTTCAAACCGTCAACCTCGGCATTTTTCTTCTTTCTCCTTCCAGTCGCCGGTTCCCCGCAGTGAGACCCCCAACATGTTCAGGCAGGACAGTTCCTCCTCGTTAAACAACTCAGCCTTCAACGCCTCTTACGTCATCGGTACCTCGCGGGGGCCCAGCCCGCTGACGTTGGGCATGTCCGACACCATTCCTATAGCTGCCGCCTTCACCGAGTCGGTCAACGCCTACTTCAAGGGAACCGATCAGTCCAAGTAAGTGACCCTCACAAGCCTTTGCTGTCCAAGCAGAAATGCTGCAATTCTCTTGAGTCCTATTTTTCCAAAGTGCACTGATTTTTTTTGTCTCGCCTGGTTTTTGTTCAGGAAAGAGACTATGCAATGTACGTATACTATATGTATGTGGTATTTTGGTTAAAGTTTCGTAAAATTGGTCTCATTTCAAAAGTTGAATTCCAATTGGAACCAAACTTGAATCATAGATGCAACATGGCAACCTTCATATGATAATGATGTCAAAGATCACACACACCAAGGTCAAAGGTCACACACCAAGGTCAAAGGTCACTCTTCAAAGATAATCATAAAAGCAGGCGAGATGTGCGGTTCAAGAACCATCTTGTTTTTCCATTTGCCATTTTTTCCATTTCCATGTTGAAGACCACCGGTGATCTGGTGCTGCTTAACAGTTAGCAGAAAAGATGTGCTTAGCATAGCAGAAAAATTTGCTAACCTTAAGCACTATTTCACAGCTAACGGTCACGCATGCATGGAGATTTCTATTGTTACGTCACTAAGCTAAGCAAATGTTTCCTCTGAAGTAAGCGTGCCTTTTGCTGTGCTTATGCTAACGGTCTCCATGAAATAGACGGAGGAAAATTGTGTGCTTAGCAGTGCCATGGAGTTGGACCCTGATGTTATCATTCCCAGCGGGCATCATCCAGGCATTGACTAGCAACCTTCCCTTCCGGAATTCAAACTCACTGTTCCCTTTTCCATCATTTTTTCCAGGTGTATGGTGAAGATCACCGGTGACCTGATGTTATCATACCCAGCCGGCATCATCCAGGCACTGACTAGCAACCTTCCCTTCCGGAATTCAAACTCATTGCTACCTTTTCCATGAATTTTTCCAGGTGTATGGTGAAGATCACCGGTGACCTGATGTTATCGTTCCCAGCCGGCATCATCCAGGCCCTGACTAGCAACCTTCCCTTCCGGAATTCAAACTCATTGCTACCTTTTCCATGAATTTTTCCAGGTGTATGGTGAAGATCACCGGTGACCTGATGTTATCGTTCCCAGCCGGCATCATCCAGGCCCTGACTAGCAACCCTTCTCTTCCGGAATTCAAACTCATGCTCCCTTTTCCATCATTTTTCCAGGTGTATGGTGAAGATCACCGGCGACCTGATGTTATCATTCCCAGCCGGCATCATCCAGGCCCTGACTAGCAACCCTTCCCCTGCAGTACTCAGCTTCCGAGTCAAGAACTCAGACCGGCTGGAGCAGGTGCTACCCAACAAACAGCTCATAACCAAGTAAGCATCCTCGACCCAAGTGAGAATGACCGACCAAATGGGAACATTGCGCCACTTGAAAAAAGCTTATATCAAATAAGAGTCTTGAACCCAAATGAAAACCCTAACCAATCGAGTGTATTACATACAGTCCAATTTGAAAAAGCCCATGACCAAGTGAGAATCTAGAACCCAAATGAGAATGACCGACCAATTGATAGTGTGGCGCCAGTTTGAAAAAGCCCATACCCAAAGGAGGACCTTGGCCCAAATGAGATTGACAGGAAATTGGAAATGTTAGACCAAGGGCCGATTTCATAAAGATGCTGAGCAAATGTTGGCTTTGAAGAAAATAGGTTACCAGTCGAAATTGCATACTAAGTGTATTGCTTGTGACTGGTACTCAGCTGGCTTTTTGCTAAACACATTCATTTGTTAAGCAATATATTCTGCTCAGCAGGGCCGTGAAATTGGGCCCAGTTTGAAAATGTTCTCACCAAGATACATTGTTTCAGCTACTCAGAATGTTGAACAAGCAGCAATTTGGTGTTCTGTAGTTATCTTTATTAACATCCTAGACGATGAAAATTAATCAGTCGGTCGATATTCAATGCTGTAATGATGTGCAATTCCAAATAGGTCACTAAGACAGACAAAACTGTTGAAACTTGTAGGCTTATAAATTTTGTGTGTCAACAGCAATCACCTGAATTGGAAAAACAATTCCCAGCATACTTTTTGAGCAATTTGGATATTTACTGATTTTTTGTTCCCCTTCCACAGTGACACTTCCCAAAGTACGTCCGATAGTCAAGCCTATTCCTTTAACATGAGTAACCTTGTACTGTTACTAAAGAGACAAGCTGAGAAGAACGTAGCAGCATCTTACTTTAATGTAGACATCCTCAAATATCAGGTAGGAACCATCCTCCCTTCCCCCGAACTCCCCCCCCCCCCCCCCCCAGTGATCTTGGAAATAGAATAGTTTAGCCAGTTTTGGAACTTAACATTCCCTTAACCCTCCTGCTATTCAAACAGACACAGACAGTCAAAAAAATCCATCCACTTCCCTTGCCATGCCTTTTACACAGGCAAGTCACCAACAGTCAGATCATATTTCAAGCAAGCACTCTGACTAGTCAAATTCAGCCAATAGACAAAAGCAGGCAACTTGTGGCACAGCTGTCTTATCAATCACCTACAGTCAAAGCATAGCCGTATCAAGTTTCATAAACAGTCACAGCCAGTCAATCCTGCTTTATGTGGGCTGGGAGCTCTTAACTGTTGAAAACAGTCACTTGATTGATTTTGACTGAAAGGACATCTTGGCACAGAGTGTATGTTTGCATAGGAGGGTTAACCTTCCTGGACAATATGTTCCTGGTCCGAAGTTTCACAGAACGTCAAAACAGAAAAATAGAGCACTGCACATAACTTGTGTGAAAAGAATGGTTTTGAATGAGCAGTTAAAGGGAATGTACAACATTTGCTTTGGCTGTAATTTTCAGAAATAAATCGATTTGGAGGATTAGTATGTTATAGCAAATATTGTTAAAAGGACTTGTTTCACGCTTTGGGCTTGTAGATGCTGGGAAAAAAACGAGAAAACCAATCATGTTCTTGTAGTCTGATTCCCTGACCCCATTTAAGATGAAACGGAGCAATTTATAGACATTGGGGAATTGTAAGGTCAGAGAATCAGTCTAGCAGGCTTGTACCCCTTCACATGTGTGTAATCTATTGTGAAGAAAAGGCGGAATAACTAAATATGAAATATTCGGAGCAGTTTTTGAAAAAAAGTCAGTTTTCTCCGACGCTGGTCGGCCGACCAGCGTTGGAGAAATACCATTTTCTTGAAAATGTCAGCACATCAGGAGCCACGATTTTACAGGATGTTTTAGACTGTCATTCCCCAACAATCCAGTAAGGTATTTCATGATAATTTAATCATGTTTGCAAATGTTGTATCTTTCCTTTAAAAAGACATCAGAAAAAAAAGAAAATTAGTATTTTATTTGTTGGTTTGGGGACTGCAGAGTGCAGTGGCCTCGTGGTCTACAGAAATACGGGCTCGCAGTCCTCTGCACGACTTCCACCCTTCTTTTTTTTATAAATCCTCAAGTTCATGACCCTCAAAATGCTCTAATACCTGAGAATTTGAGAGCATAAAAATCGTGATTTGGCCGGCGTAGGCAATTTTCAGCCTATTTGCAGATCTGCACCTGTAGCCTCATTTCCATTCATAACCTTTGACCTACCCGTTGACCTCAGGTCAAAGTTGAGCCAGAGGGCCGGTCCACCCCGCTCCATCTGGTCAGCTACTGGAAGTGCGAGCCCACCACCACCGACGTGCGGATAGACTTCGCCTACAACTCCTCGGCCGTGGATCAGGCCGTGGATCAGGCCGTGCCGCTCAGCAACGTCACGCTGATCGTTCCCGTGGACGGTGGGGTGACCGTCATGCAGTCCAAGCCTGCCGCCACGTGGTAAGCTTGAAAAAAGATTGGTGGTGATGATCGGTGTTAGAATGAGACACTGAATGTTATAACTCAGGTTGAGTCGAGTCATTCTAAGGTAGTGATTTGAGTTGAGTTGGGTCATTAGGCCAAAAAAAAAAAGTCTCCGGTTTCTGGTATGGAGCTTGCCCCAAAAGTGGTGCGGCGACACGGCTTTTTTTTTTTTTTACCTGTTTTTTTTTTTTTTTTGGCTTCAAATGTCGGCTGATGACTGCAAATGGTGCCCGACTAAACTTAGTGCAAATATATGGGAGTCCAGAGAGGCCACATAAAGCTTATTCTCGATCATAACCCCATCTAAAAACACGTTGAAATTGTGCAGCAGCAGAATTCCAGTCAAACCAGTGAGTTTGGCGGTTTTGAGACATCATCTTGTATTGAAAAAAAAACTTTTTCATTTTGCCGACGCGCATGGCTACGGCGACGCGCGCGCATACCAGAAACCGGAGACTTTTTTTTTTTGGTCTAACTTCTACATGCTTTCATGGATTTCGATGAAACTTGCATGCAGTGACCCTTGGGTGGGAAGACACAATTCTTCATCGGATTACTGAGGTTAGAGGTCTTGTAGGGGTCATGTGAGGTCATTGTTCAAATATGCAGAATAGTTTACCCTTTTTTTTGACAAAAAATGAATGGGTGTTTACTAACATTGCTGTGTTTAAACATTTAGGGCTGCTGATGTGCTGTTTTGACACTGTAATGTCTAAGGTCATCCAGGGGTCAATTAAGGTCATAACTCATGATGGAAAAAATGTGAAAATGCTATTGTTTCAAAGAAACATACGTTCCAGGAGTCAGTAAGACATCTTAACTACTTGACGACAGGATTATTTTTTGGGCCAACAAGCACCCATTTTTGAAAAAGCAAACAAATACATTGTCCAAATTTTTAAAATCAGGTGAAACACCACAAATACTGACTCTTGAGAGTCATTTGTACAATATTTGTGTCATGCTTCTCACTGTAACGTCATTGTTTGCAACCCTCCTAAGCCCCTCCATGGAGCGATGTTTGCCATGAGGACAGGCCATGCACAAATGGCCAAGTTCAAGCTGAGCACATGGTGCGTACAAAACCAATGGGAACCATTGAGGTGAATTTACGTCCACCATCGGAAACTTGGGACAAGCTAGAAGATTGCGCCCGTCACCCGCCCCTGTGAATATACATTGCCAGATCGTGTTTACACGCGGTCCGGCGTTAACAATGGGAAATTGGTTAACAATGGGAAATTGTTCTAAGTCCAAAAATCATTGAGAAGTAGTAAAATGGGATAGGGATAAAGCCAAGCCAATCGAAGACAAAATGAAAGCAAGTGCAAATACGTGACATCGCGGCAAGTATTTGCACTGCGAATTCACAAAGATTGAACACATGTCAAAGTAACATCAAATTTGCATTCACTTGTATTAATGGAGTGTCATGGCCTAGCGGTTAAGAGCACCAGACTGCCCGGGCCCGGACACTTGTGCCCTTAAGCAAGGCACTTAACCATTATTGCTTCTCGTCCTTCGGATGGGACGTTAAGCCGGACGTCCCATGTGTTGTATAAGGCCTAACGCATGTAAAAGAACCCAGTAACACTTATCGCTAAGAGAAGGGTTTTCCCCGGTGTTTCTGGCCTCCTAGTTATACTCCCTTGTGGAAGTCCTTAGGAAAAGAACCAATCAAGTACCAAGTATTAAAAACTACCCATATAAGTGTAATTTGTGTCCCTAAATTCCCCCCCCCCAAAAAAGAATCCATTGTCTTAAGTTTTTCTCCCCAAAATTTTATTCCCAGGTCGGCAGAGAGCAAGCGTGCCCTGTGGAAGATCGGTGACATTTCAGCCAGCAGCGAGAGCGGTCTGTCAGGCTCCATCCGGGCCAAGTTTGAGCTGACGGAAGGCCCCAGCAAACCTGCCACGCTGGCCGTCCAGTTCAGCAGCGACGGCACCACGTTATCCGGCCTGGATATCGAGCTGCTGACCACCTCCTACAGGCTGTCGCTGGTCAAGAAAAGATTCACCACAGGTAGGGACTAATCCTGTCAGCAACAAATTTTTGTCAGTTGTAAAACCCAGCAGCAGATTTCACAAAACAGTGCGTAACTGCCATGCATAGGACTTAAGCAACAAATTTATTGCGCAGCTGCGCAATAAACTTACGATTGATTTCACAAACTTGGCGTAGCTGCGCAACATTTTAAATAATCTAAACATCTTGGACGTGGATAATAACAGCATTTAGGACGGCTGTTTGTGTATGATTTTGTTCGTTCATGAAACAGTCGTTGAAACACCTCCGCCCGCCATGTTGAAAATAGTTTTGTCCAACTTTCTCCGGAATCGTGCTCCAACTCCAAAAAAATATTGTCACAAGTCTAATAGCAATTCATTTACTTCAAACACAAAGCTGTGTGTCTTGTATCAACCTTGATAACTTGCTCCACGACGATCACGATTTGCTGGCAAAATTGGCCATTTCAGCTGCTATGCCACGACATATGCTGCCTAAAACGATTGCCCAAGTTACGCAATAATTTGTTGAGCAAGTCACAGACTTGCGCTCAACTTTTGTGAGATTTTCGTAACTGAAGTGTTTCACAAAACATGAAGTAAAACGGTTGAACAAAATCATTGGAATATTTCAATATTTGACTTATTTTGACTTGGCCATTATCAGCATCCAGGCCCCTAGCTGGTTTTAAACGTACTTAAATCGGCCAAGCACATATTTATTCCCTTATTTATAAATACCTAAGACGGTTTACCCATTCCTATTGGTCGACAGCCCATCACATGGGGGGTTTTAAACTGTTAATAAACACAGACTGCTGTTGAATGATATCTTAAGGTTGCCTTGTGGTTCTGACGTTTTTACTAGATAAAACCAAGGGATGTTATATATTAATCCTAACTCCCTAGCATAATTTACTAGGAACAATACTCATTCTGGCAAATTCCAACACCCACATGGGAAATTGTACACACACACTGTTGGACTTAGTTTCTGGAGGTGTGCCAAACCTAGTGTAAAAGACCATCAGTTTAGGGGTACTGTACCTATCCCAACAGATTTCAACAAAACCTGCTGTTGGGCTTTGATGGGTTGAGTTCGGTTAGGGTTAATTCAGACTTATAACATGGATTTCTATTGACGCAGCAACTCATTTTTGTCTCTCTTTGCAGGTAAATACCTATCCGAGAGCTAACGTCAAAGCAAGTGCATCCACTTCACAACTGCCTTGAAAAAGAATTCATTTTTTTCCAAGATGGCCGACATAACCTTCAAGAAAAGGGAATCCTAAATCTTGAGCATCGTGTGGCCGTCTGTACTTCTTCCTCCGAATAGCGGTAGAAATCGTTGTCTTGCTCTTACAGTAATGTAGAGGTACATTTTTTTAAGAGTTTAGAACTTAAACATCAGATGAGAATCAGCCATGAAGTTTATCAGAGAGGGGAGTTGTTTCTTCTGACAAGACACTGAAAAAGTTAACATTGTTGGTTAACCCCTAAGCTGGCCTCAGGTCGACCCGCGATTTTCTTGCGCCACGACGGAACTGTCGGCATCAAGCAGAACAATAATGCTCAGGCCACAAAACTGAGAAATCGTGTAACGGTCGCGGAATACGTCGCAGAAGTTGAAATGTTTCTACTCTTGCGACTGGTGATTTTTTTGTTAGCGCCAACTGATGCCGATCGTTTTATTATCATCGCAGTTACACTCAGGTTGCACAAAATCGGCGACTGAGTTGTTCCCGACGGTCGTAGCTCAGGCCCAGCTTGATCCTGCAAAGTCAGTCGCCGACTGATCTGTGTCGTCGTAAGGTTGACCTGAGGCCGGCTTTACATACTTAAAACATTTTAAAATTCAACTTATAATTATATAGTTAAAAAGTTGACTGGAGCAGGGTTTGAACCTGCAACCTCCAGATTGCCGTTCCGGTGCTCTACCAACTGAGCTATCCAGCCCTATGTTGGCGGTTTTACCCAATTTGTCAATATCTTTGTTCAAGGGGCGCTAGTCAGAAGCCATAAACAGGTATGAAACTCGATACAACCAATTTATCTTACCTAATTGAAGTCTTTAAGTTTTCAAACTGAAGACTGATTTTTAGAAATTTTGGCAAAAGAATTTTCCATTTATTCACTGAGACGTGTAGGAAACTTGTAGGAACTTAAGTTGCCAATTACATTTTCAGAAAATTGGTGAGTTTAACATTCTACTCCAATTGTATTACTACAGCAGCCCCTAAATCACCTTTAAAATCCCAGATTTCATCAAAAAATTTGAACAACTGTTGAGCTCATTTAAAAGTAATAAGCTGACTACTTTAATCCAAAAACTCTCTATTAGAAATCACAAAAACAAGGCCAGTGTTGGAATTAACCTTTTAAGAGAAAGTGAATGTGTTTATCATGCTGGGATTTTTTATTTTTTGGGGCCAATTAAAAAGTTTTTTAAAGCTATTACAAAAATTGATGGCCATGCAATCCCAGTCTGCAAAAAATACTTAAAAAAACGAAGATACTGAAATTATAGTGAAACGTAGATAATTAAAAAAAAATTATAGATAAACAGTGTAAGTTAATGTTATGAATTGTACATCTTGTACTACTTGTGTAAATAGACCTAAAAAACTGAAGCGACGTGGACAATTATCGGGCAGAGATGCGTCAAAATTAAAGGGGATATTTTTGTATATAAAGAGGAATTGAAATGGGATACCAGAGATTTGGTATCCAAATCGGGCGCGGTATTTTTTAAAACAGAAATTGATGTATAGTATGAGCGGTTTCCATTTCGAGTCTTAAATGTCTAACCACAGTGCTAGAGAAGAGTGCATTTTCACTAGAATTAGGTTTACAGTTGTAGTTATTCCATTTACGATTGTTGAGTCACTCTTATTGTTAAACTTCATTCATAATACAGACTCTTTTTGAAGGCTTGTGTAAACTCTGAAAGGTATCGGATACCATTTGCATTGGTCGTGACTTTATGAAATTCAGCAATTTCTAGGGATATTACATCTTGGAATGCACCCAATTTGGCTACAAAATGCATTTTCAAAGAAACGATGTTAATTGGAAAGAGCATTTAAAAGTAGGATATAAACGTCCACACAACCATCCTTTAAAAACTGGGCGTTTTGTGTTATTCTTGCGAGAACGAATTTTAGGGGGCAAAATTTTGACTCTCAAAAATCGAGCTGTTGGTCGCTAGTCGTGAATCCTGCCGCACATGTTCCATCAGTGCATCGCATTCTGCGGACGGGTTAGAAACAACATTTGTGTATCGATGCTGTGTGTATTATGTGACACACACACACACAATGTGTACGGTACATTGAATGGACGCGGCTAGAAATATGTGTGCCACAAAATGTCCGCTGTGCCGGTTTTTTCCCCCGTCTTTTCTCAGGAACGGTAAGACATTAGGTTGGTTTCCCTTCAACAGACCTTTGAAATAGGATAAGTAAACAATCCAAAACGTACAATTTTCAGGGATTGTCCCTTTAAGGCTAATAATTTGCAGCAACCATCATTCCGCTGAGCTGTTCAATGTTTCCTGTCCATTGGTGCTGGAAAAACACGAAAAACCGCTGTTTGTTTTCAACCGTCAACGTGCAGCGTAGCTTGCAGAATCTGCCATGCATAGAACCATAGGGCACAGGGCATGCCCGATTGCGGGCTCTGTCTTAGGGGAGAAAATTACACACGTGTTGCTTAACCGATCGTACGCATAGTCAATTGCTGGCTCAAGCCCATCAAATGATGTAATATTTGGAGAACAAAAAGCCATCGTATATTTCACAGAGACTGTTAGGCCCAAACCATCATTGGCACTGATACAAAATTCCTCTATTCTTGAGAATGACAGCATACCAGGCGGAGTGATTTGACAGATTGAAACATATGAGGTTTTGGCACGAAAAATCAATCAATACTGTTGAAATGACTCTTGCGAATCAGTGTTTGTGGCGTTTGGCTGTTTTTTAGAAGTTGGCTGGAAAATTTTGCCTTTTGCAAAAAATCGAAAATTTTCAGCCAAAAAAAATCCAGGCGCAAAGTGGTTAATGATCAGATGTTTACATCATGGTAACTTGAAAGCTCAAACCAGCTGTGGAAATTGTGGTCTGAAAATCTCACAGGGCTGGATCCCTTTAGACTAAACTCATCAATGTGCATTGTGCATGGTGTGTTTTTTCACCTCCAGTGAGATACATGACATTATTACAATATAGTGACGTTAGTATTTGGGTTATAAATTGGCCATTGGATATTCTTAAAAAGTACCAAGGGCGGATCCAGAACACAATTTTGGGGGGGGCCAAAAAAATTTTTGGTCCCCCCAAAAAGTGGGTCTAAAAACTTACGGCGTGGGGTTCGGGGCCCGCTAGGGCCCCGAAAATTTTTTTGATTCTAGATGCTCTATGGTGCGATCTGAGGCAATTTCTGACCACTTTAACCAATTTTTTTTGAGGAAAAGATGGTGGTGTACTCATTGCCTGCCTTTATTGCGATGTCACATAAAAAAAAAAAAAATTGGTTTCGTTGGGGGGGGGGGCCATGGCCCCCTTTGGCCCCCCCCTGGATCCGCCCTTGAAAAGTACCACATCTCACATCGCAAAGATGGTTCCAGGATAATGACCGCATTCACCCATACTTCGGTGTCCCCCCCCCCCCCCTTCTTTTTTTTTGAAAGAGATGAAGTATTGCTTCCTTAGATTCCATATCTACTAAGCAGAAAGAATAGCTTATCACATTTATAAGCTGAGTAAAAATCATCAGCTGACAACCATTCATTAGCAATATACGTCACATGGCATTTTGGAATGGTTACAAGTTCATTTTTGTTTATTTATTTATTTATTTTTTTGGCAAATTGTTTCTGCCCTTAACAGATGTCTGTGTTTAAGGAGTTCCATGGAATCGTTCCTCGCTGGCTCGTTAGCTCATTGATTTAATTTTGAAGTCAATAATGCATTACCACAGTCATCGAGTTTAAGTTGTTATGTTTCATTCATAAGTCAAGGCTACAGAGTCACAAATCTGTGGGTTTTCTTTTCGCAAACCTTAATTCCAACTTGCCTCCTGCATCCCCCCCCCCCCCCCGGTAATTTGCATATCAAAGCACTGAATGTGCAGAGCTCCCCATTGTCTGAAAAGTCAATTCAAGAAAGTGACTCATACCCACAATCAAATCTTAATCATCCATCGTGGGAGATCAGAATCGATTTACAAATAGTGAAAATATGAATACTGGAGGGCCTCCAGGAATTGTCCATTGTACAGATATATGAATCATTTATGACAAAACAAAAATTACCATCTGTACCAGGTATAGCTGTATACTTCTTTTTATGCAGATTAATTTATGATTGACTGTATCGATGAAATCAAGAGTAGTTATATATTTGATTCAAAACATGTTTTATATATGTATATATATTATATTGTTACGGAAAGTATGTTATGTTTTTCTAAGTTTTATGCTATTATGTAAAGGACGTCTGTATAAAAAGAAATCGCAATGAGGAGAGAAATTTGAAGGATCTTCTGTGGAGATTTGACAGTAATTTGCACTTTTCGGCCAATTTTGCTGGTCATGTAAACACTGCTCTATCGTGCTTTGTGTTTTATCGCACCCATGTGTTCACGCATGTTTGTTATACATGCGCTATGTGGACATTCCTTTGTTTTCGTGTAGTTCAGAAAACTCGGTACAAAAAATAAGTTTACTTAAACTGTGAAAACTCTTTCAACCCAATTTTTTTTTTTATGATCCCCTTTAGTGTTTCTCTTCATTTTGCCACTGATAAACCTAACCCCAAAATGCCTCTAAACCTGTTTTCCAGAGAGGACAAAACGCTTAGTCCACATAACGTCAACACAACCTGCATTATGTGGACATCTTTTGTTCACAAGTCCACATAGTGACTGTAAGACAAACTCAGCCATACTTGTTTCTGGTTTTACAAAATGCATGTTCAAGTTTCAAACACCAGTATATTTGTAGGTTATACCTTTTATTCAAAATAAGACTAGGCAAGCATAGTGAAACTGTCCTATACCAATTTGGTGTAAAGCCGTCCTCAGGTCGACCCTTGATTTGCTTGCGCCACGATGGAACCGTCGGCATCAAGCACAAAAATTATGCACAGGTCACAAAACTGAGAAATCGTGTGATGGTCGTGGAACACGTCGCAGAAGTTGAAATTTGTCTACTCTTGCGACTGGTGATTTTATTTTAGCGCCAACTGATGCTGATCATTTTAATATCGTCGCAGTTACACTCAGGTCACAAAAAATCGGTGACTGAGTTGTTCCCGACGGTCGTAGCTCAGACGCAGCTTGATCCTGTAAAGTCAGTTGCCGACTGATCTGTGTCGTTGCAAGGTCGACCTGAGGCCGGCTTAAGTGGTCTAGGTAGTCATCTGAGTCCAGTTTATGGGTCAAGTCTAGGCTACATCAAGTCTAATT